TTGAACAGAATTTCGTAGATAGACAGTATATAAAGTATTAAATATATATGAGAAATAAATGACACGTATATATACATTATCTAATTCATTTTTTATCCTTGTAGTTTATAAGTGTAATACCAAATTTAATAATGTTTCATTTTAATAGGAACTAGGAAAAAATAAAATGAAATATCACCGTAGAGTGTGACAGCATAAGAAAGAGTTTTCATTTCGTCTAGTAACTTCTAGATTGTCTGATGTGAATGGGGTGAAGAATTATTTTCACTGTTGCGTGGGCCCTCAGGAAATTCCTTAGTCTCAATGTAAGTTAAAAGTGAAACGCGTTAGCTTTATGGATAATTGAAATTAAAAGGAAATTATAACGATAATAATAAATTGCAATAGAGATTTAAATTAAACTTTGAACTATATTTAAAACTATTGCGATAAACGATTTAAACTAATTAAAAGAAAAACGAATTTAATTTATAAAGGTAATTATATTAGTCCTTTCCGTTACAATGTTGTCGATGGAATGAATGTATTTTCATTTCTCTTTATACACCTTTTTGTTTAATTACAAAATGTCCTTAGTTACTACTGACCAATCCATAATTATTAATTTCTAAGATTTATCCTGATTCGTTGATGCGTTTCTTCCCGGTTATCGATAACGAGCGATTTACATATCTGCAATGATTCTGAGTGGTAGGATAGGAGGCGGAGGCAACTGGCAAATGTTTAAACATTCGTTAATAAATGAATATTAATTATTTTATAATCTTGAAATGCGTTTATTAAAAGGATCTCTAACAGGTTTCACGCTTCTTCAATTAGTGTCAACTTCACCTTTACCCTCCTTTCCTATTACATGTGTCGTTCGATTCAAACTTCGCGCCTCTGGAGCTTATGACATATATCGCTACGTGGCATGAGCGAGGATCGCAACAGCACCATCGTTGTATTGGGAAAAATCACTCAAAAATATGTCAAATGTTCTAATAGGGAGTTTGTGCTTATAGGGGTTACTGTACCGTTGAGCAGACGAAACCCCGGGAGTTATAAAACCTAATCATGGACTGAATGTTGATATTCCGAAATTGCTTATTATAAAGTTGTTATTTGTTATTCAAAATAAAGTAAACATCTATCTTAAGCATCTGCTAATGTTTTTAACATATTCAATTGCACACATATTCTGAAATTCATTATGACAATATTAACCTGTAATCGTTAATGAAATTAACCTCTACCTACATATAAAAAGTAAGGAATATTTTATTAGTTGTCATAAAAGAAGACTATCACATTTTTTATTATAACCAAACGCAGATTAAGATGTCTGTTACTTGATGTTACTGGATAATATGGAAGAATGGAGGGCACATACAATTCGGAAGAAACAGTGGCACCTTCTAAATTTGGAAATATAAATCAGTATCCCGAAAATATATCGGCGAAACAGAAACAGAAAGGTAATTTAAAGCGCACACAGGCCATTTCACAATCTCCTAGACATTCAAGTAAATTTTATAAGTCCGAAACAACTACAGTTTATCGGCTTCACCAAGTCTTAATTGCATTTTATGATAGCACAGTCAACTTCTGGAAAGCAGCAAGAATCACATGGACGCAAAGTACAGATTGGCGATGCTTCAGGCCCTGAATCCGGACAAAAATCTGATAATCCAGTGAAAAGATTTTTTAGAAACGCTACAAAGCGGACGAAAAACTTTTGGAAGCGTGTAAAAGAAAAACTAAAATGTGGAGGTAAAAAGAAATCGAACGATGATATTGATCAAAACAGTACCAGAATCGCAGGATATCCAGATCCAAATGATACTACGGCAAGAAATCGTAGACAAGGTGGGAGGTCGCGACGAAGGAAAAAGAAACGGACTGCAGATACTGCACAAACTTCAGACGTTTCCCTTAGCAGTCGCACACATCCGGCAGATCGGAAAGACAAGTTCTGTAATGACCACGTTCTAGGAAAAGACTTTCCTGATTTCACAAAAAGTTGTTGTTATCTTTGCGCCAATGCAATGACAATTGCTGGTATGGTATCTAATAACCTTGAAAAATCTCACGCATCAATCCAAGCTTCCAGTTCCTTTAAAGACAAATTAGACAAAAGTTGTAGCCCAGTGTCGTACGTTAGAACAGTGAAGTCCTCTGTCAAAGTGAAAGTGCGCAATATAGGAACTCACTATCCGGAAGAAAAAAAATCCACAAATATGAAATTCAAATTACAATTTAAAAAATTTAAGGATAAAGTTTTGTTCAAACAACCGAATAAGTTGAAAACTCCAAGAACGCCAAGCCAAACCTCGAATATTCCAGAAACTCCAAAAACCCCTAAACCTTCGAAACCTCCGAAACCCCCAAAACCCCCAAAATCCCCAAAACCCCCAAAATCCCCAAAACCCCCAAAAACCCCGAAAACTCCGCAAATCCCGAAAATGTTGAAAACCTCGGAAAAACCAAAAATCCCTAAAACCGCGAAAAGCCCAAATCAACATACTGTTGCTTGTGAAACAGATACAGCGACGAAATATACTAATACGCCGCAGTGCATGGTGAGACGTGGAATTCAATGTGTAAGGGAAGAAAAGTAATATTCTTATCGGTCAAAATTTCATGATGTGATTCGTGAATCATTAAAAATTTTTGTTCCCATATTGTAATGAAAAAATATAGTGAATCTGTAAACAGAATATAAGCAATGTTGATTTGACTATAATTGTCTTTTAAGATAGTCTTTTAGTCAATATTACAACCGAGAGTGCATTGCCGTTCATAAGTATTGGGACACCTGGTTTATATAAAGTAATCGTGACGTTTCATAAAATTTATATGTTCCAGGCCACTTTTATTACTGTATATTTGCAATTATTTTAACCAATCTTTATTTTAGACGTTCAGCAATTTCATAGTTAGTACCGTATTACATTATACTTTATAGTAAGTGTCTTAATACCTACTTATGAATGGAAGTTTGTATACAGAAACTGAAATTGGATTTAATACTATTTGAGTGAGTTTTAAACAATCATTATTACGAAAAGTATTTAAACATATCATTGAAATGATGCCGGAAAATCTGTTTGAATCATGTTACATGAAACACCGTTTCTCTTTAATTTTAAAATTTACGTAAATGCATTAAATAAAAGCTGAGTGATTTGCATACAAAAATAAAAATGGTACATTGAATACAGTTGTTTATGTATTGTGTTAATTTTTAAAATACTGACATTGAAAACACATCGATCATGCTTTGGCTTTACTCCTTACAATGTTCAGTACACGTGTCAATCATGTTTCTATGTACAGTGGGAGATAAAAATTGAAAATTTAATATGTACATTCGTATATTATATATGTTTATAGACATTAATAGTAACAAACCTATAAGAACAATAGTTATTTCGTTACTAATGCATATACGTACAGTAGATGATTAAATTGTACTACGTATGATGTACGATCTTTTCCACGCTGAATATAAAATGTACCAAGATTATTAACTGGTATTATTTTGCTTATGAATTATGATATTGACATATGTATACATAAATTTAATAAATATTTATTAAATTCTAATAAACTTCGGATGTAATCAATGCATGCTAAAAAATGAATGTTTTCGAAGTTTCTGTATACATAGATACACTTTTAATCAGTATTTTGACTGATTTATTCTTTTACATAGTATTGTTATCTTTACTGTTGTATTAATTTTACTTATTTGCGCTACATCTCACTATATTTGTATATTAAGTGCTAATTATATTATGAATTCTGTATAATATCTATTATGCCCAACTTATACAAATACTAATTTCATGCAAATTTTATTATAACAGAAACAGTTATAGCATTTCCAATAAGCGCATAATCACCGAATAGAAATTAAATGTTTAGTTAAGTGTTATTTACATCCAAATAAAAAATCATGTAGAGAAAAAGTGTTATCATATCCAATTAAACTAACACATGAATATATGAATGTAACATATGATGAAATAAAAATATGTGCATTACGTTAGAAATAATTTTAGAACATTTATTTGCATCACGTTTAAAAGTAATTCAGAAAAATTATAGAAATACCTTCTCTTCAATAATACATAATACGAAAACTTTTAATACGAAAGTAATTAAAATTTGTTAATTTTATCAGTATATTTTTTTAAAAAATTGAAAAATTGATGCTTATTATTAATAATTTAAATGATTTTTACTTGTCAACTCAATTCGATAATAATAAATTACTACATTATGATATTAATACAACAAAAATACAAAAGTAATAGATATATGTACATATGTAATACAATGCAACTAAAAATATAATTGACTATTACAAATAATTGTAGTAAAACAATTTTTGGCACGTTTTGCATCTATTTTTCATTATTTAACTCTTTGCCTTACGATAAACATTTCATTTCTGTAATAAATTATTTTGCATATTCAAGTTTCCAGTTATTTAAAAAAGTACATACAGTCAGATTTTTAACATAAATAGAAGAAATGTAAAGTCACAAGTTTAAATTTATTTCTATTCCGTACCTTCACATTATTAATTACGCATTTATCTATCATGTACAATATAACTGATTTCGCATCCTGAAATGTTACCTGATTTCCTATTGTTTCTCTTCCATCATTCAACATGGATTTAAATGTTCAATAATAAACAATAAACATTCAATAAATCTATTTACGAAAACAATAGAAGTTGATTGCACAAATATGTATTTATCATCGCCGCAATTTATATACACATGTAACTTTTGTATTGTTAAATATACATGTACCTCGTACAATTCTGGTAACTTAATATTCGCAATTTACACGACAACTTCTCTAATTAAAACCATTAAATTAAATGTTCTTGACTATGATTTAATTAGAATATTAATGTTTCGTGGTACATATAGTCTCGTTTTTTATTGCACTTCAACGCCACGCAATTCACGGTCAGCTAAGTAGTGCGAATCGATACCAGTTCAGGCGGTATCTGGAGACGATACCGCAGGTCGTGACGGTATTGTTGCCACGTTCACATTAGCGTCATCTGATGTTGGATTCCCAAACACGAGTGGTGTAGTGTAGTATGGCAACAGAGGGTACTGCGTTGGAGGGAAATACGGGGGTGGAAAAAGTCCTTGCCTCTGAGCGATCTTCAATCTGGAGGTAAGTTGCTTCTTCCACTTGGTACGCCGATTCTGGAACCACGTTTTTATCTGCACTTCCGTCAGATTCAATGATTTCGATAGTTCCATTCGTTTGCTCACGCTTAAGTATTTGTCGATCTGAGGTAAAATTTGTTTCGTCAATTCCACATTCAATAAATGCTTCTACCTTATTAAATTCAAATTTTTAATCTGTAGAATTGTGCGAATTATTAAGCCCAAACTGTAATAAAGTGCAAGGAAGAAGAAAGTTTTCCTGTAAATTACTTTTACAAACGAAATGCACTTTTGTATTTTTAATAACAATATTAACACGATTTCGTATGTTACAACCATTTCCACGTATTAACGTGTAACGTGTCATACACCGATTAGACTTCCAGACTGGAAAAAGCAAGAGAAAGATACCACTCCGAAAAAAAGAGGAGCGAATGAATTGCTCGAGTACTTCAGATAACATGGAATAAAAGTAAAAAGATTTCTTTCACATTTTAAATGAGATTTTTTTAGTAGAAGATTCTTGACTTTTCTACATAAAATTTGTAAGGTGTCAAAAGATTGTGATAAGGCTAATAATTTGCACATTTCTATGTCGTTTGACTCCAAAACAGTTTCCATTCCTCTTTTCTAAGGTTCTGTACGTCAACTCAAAATGACATCATTATTATTAAATTTAAGACTTATTGTTAAGTTCACAGATTTCTATTATTACAACCTTTTAATCATTATAAATATCATTTTATTGGAACTAAAAGTCATCAATAAATAGTTCGGTTAGGCATTTGTATATGCTGACATACCTTAAATTCTGCTTCAAGCCTTTCCAATTGTTTTGCGCTATAAGCTTGACGAGGCTTTCGATCGATTCCCGGCTTTCTGGACCGTCTTCCGCTTGGTTTGGGCGCTGCACAAAATGAACACACTTTACAGAATTTAGTTACGTACGCGTTACGCACAAGATAAAAAAATGCTTGACGATACACCGAGAAATTTCTGTGAACCTAAATATTAATTGAATAGCACCATCGCCAGGAATGACAGTTCAACGGAACAGACCTTCTCGAAGATTTACGGCCGCGATAATAAAAATTTAACATTATAATCATCCTTCTTAATTGTTTGGCTAACTTCGTCGGCTTGTACTCAATTACCACTTTCTCCGGTTGGGTCTACCCATTGGACCGCGTCTAGAGTTTCCAAGCGTGTCTAAAACATGTGGGATTGTTTGAGGAACGTGTGACATCTTACAGTCAATATAAGGCAGAATGTGGCAAAGAGCTGAACAAACAGTTTATATCGTGGAACGTTTGGCTGCGATTATCATTATGGTGCAAAGAAGTTCCACACATTTCCGTTCATGGGGTTATATGAGGTATTATACCGTTGTTACACGCATTTAAATAACACGACACTGCGATGTGCTTTGTACAAAAAATTAGACAAAGAATTCACACGAAGCGACATGCATCGGTATAATGTATTTGTCAAAGTTACAACGTTATTTTACTTCAATATTCGAATTCCAATTACAGTTTGAAAAAAAAAAACGTATATAACTTAGTTATAGGTTAGAACAAAATGTTTTTATTTAGACTATTCTATAAATTTAGTGATATCATATTTATGTAAACAATGACGAAAAATTTCTTTCTTGGCAAAAATTCATTAAGAAAATTTAGATATTAAAACAGAAACCATCAAATATTTTACGTTGTTGTTACAAATACACTAAATTATACATACTGTTATTCAACAGTTAATAGGAAACTTCTATCCCCTTTCTTATAATATGTTTTTGCCATTCTCTTATTTATTTCTCACAAAAATTTTTTAGTTTTTTTATCACGGAATTGTAATAACCCACGTCGATTTTACGTGAAAATGGGGAGTATTCCCTTTGTTTAATGTTGAATTAGCTGCCCGTCCCTGTATGCTAACAAATAGATATTACGTATTTGTATAAGGCCTTTTGCGTTTTTCCGGAAACTTTTCGAGCACTTTTAAAACTGTGACGAACGGTAAACTTATTGTCAGATTTGTGTAACCTTCGCTACGTACCTTTCATTATCATATTATTTCAGAAAAGATATATTATTTTTCGAAGGAAATATTTACAATATTCCGTCTACTAATTGTTTTTAATTATAAATTATACAAACACAAAACAAACACTGTACCATTTTTAATTTTCTATTAACTATGTATTATTATAATAAGGTAAAATATACTTCTCGACCATGGTACGACAATAAAGCCAGTTTCAGCGATTTTTGTATTAAATAATTGGAATCAATTGTTTTCAAAGTTTTATTTCAATAAAATTAAATCTCTATCAAGTTCATGAAGTTTTGTAAAACAAGCAAGTTTGTTACAAATATAAATCGTTTTTTGATTATTTGTAGAAATTAATCGAAACGATTTTATCGTGCAAATTATTTCATGTTTCTCAGAAGATGAGAGACCACTGGCCAAGAATGGAACATTTTGATGAAGAAGAAAAACCGGCAGAACCAAGATTTACGAGTGTACGGAGACATTTAGCACATCTCCGGAAGATGGTTAGAGTAACGTCGCTGATAAATGGGCTCCTAACAGCATGGCGGATAGTATCGAGGGAAGAGGAACAAAAATGGCGGATTGAGATCTCTGTACAAAATTATTCATATTTAATGGTTTCCCGTTCAAGAAGTGGACAAAATATTCTTCCAAGTATGAAAAATATTGCAAAATTATGTGTTCAATCATAAACCCTGAAAAATATTTTATATAAACTCCTGCCTTATAGGATTTTCCCATGATGTAACAATATCCACATTTTAGCTTTCACTCAAATCATTAATTTCAAACTAATGAATACTCAGAAATTGCTTTTTAATAGTTTAGTAACCTGTTCCAATTTGTGAGATTAAGGTGAGTATATTGTTGTATTTTCTTTTAAATCTTACTTTGGATATATTGTAATTGATAAAAATCCTAAACAAATATTAAAATATTGTTAAAAATTGTGCATTATATTTGCATAGCAGAACTAAAATTAAGAATAAATAGTGCATTTGGAAAGACATACTCTTGTTAATATGGAAGAAAATAAAATTGCAATCAGTTTAAGTCTAATAGCGTGATTTGAAGTCTAGAAGGTTCATTGTTGTTATTGATGTTACATACAGTCCGTTCCAGAATGATAGAGCTCCTCTAGAAAATGGCAGTTCCAAAAGTATGGTATGTACGTGTTAGAAAAAAACTACAATATCACGTTATTCGAATGTTTACTTAATATATATTTTTACATAAAGAAGATGAAAAGGAAACCTACCTTCAATATACCATATACATAAATACATACAATAAGAAAGAAAACAAAACGATAGCGCCACTCGTGTAATAAATCTCATTTTACTGCTCAACACGTAAAAAATGTGTAATCTTCAACAGGCGTGTCTTATTGATCTTCATGAGTTTTTTCTCAAAATGCATAGTTTTTGAAAAAAATTAATTTATAAGAAATTACAATTGAAGATGTTTTGTGCTTCTACAATAATAGTTATTCAGTTGCTATTAACACGCAATAATTCTGTGGACTCTCTCCAACAAAATGATGTCAATTGTTATTATATTATGAAATTTAAATATATTCGCATAATGGTCAAAGTAAAAAGAATCCAAAACGCACCAATTTCTGCAGATATTTTTCAATTTATTTAACAAAAGATGGGTCTAGGAGAAAATCTAGGAGAAGATTTACAAAATAATGTCTTATTTTCACTAGAGAAGTGAATTAGTTTACCAAACCCGTGGCGGCAATGGTACTCAATGACGGCGGTCGTGTAGCTGTGTGCGTTTAGCGCTTCCGTTACGTTGAGCAGAAGTATGCAAAACGTGATTTTTTAACTTTTTTTTTACGCTTTCCTTAGCAGAAAAATTAACTCCATCGTATGCTATAGTTAGATTTTCCCTTAGAGCCTTAATTTGTGAAATAAATTAAAAAATTTCTGCAAAAGTTGGTTGCGTTTTGGATGTCCTTTTACTTTGACCATCATGCAAATATATCAAATTCTATAATATAATAATTGACATCATTTTGTTCGAGAGAGTCCACATAATTATTGCGTGTTAAAAGCAACTGAATAACTATTACATACTGTAAAAGTACAAAACTTCAATTGTAATTTCTTATAAAATAATTTTTTCAAAAACTATGTATTTTGGAAAGCACATAAGTCTCAGCACATAAAGATTATAAGAAACGTCTATTGAAAATTACACATTTTGTATGTGTTGAACAGTGTAATGAGATTTATTAAATGATGCTATCATTTTGGTACATGATTTTGTTTTCTGTTCTTATTGTGTATTAAATACAGGTTTTCCTTTCATCTTCTTTAGGTCGAATATGTATTAAATATGCATTAGAATAACGTAATGTTGCAGTTTTTTTTCTAACATTTACCATACTTCTAGAACTGCCTTTTGTTAGGGTGGTTCTATCATTCTGGGGCGTACTGTGCTGCTTTTAAACTACATTAATTCAATATACGTGGAAAAAATAAAAGACAATAAATATCATAATAAGTAAGTCGTGTGAATTCTAGAAAAACTTGTCAACATTATTAAAACGAAAGCATACACCAGAAGAATATATTTCAACCCACTAAAATATCTTCTTCAAATTCAAGTATATACATACTATATATATGTATTACATTGGTAGTACAATACAGAAATCATAGTGATTCATAAGTAGTTCATATCTCGTGACTTATTTATGAGTATTACATCCTTATTTGCATTTTTGGCCACGCATACCGTTTGTTTACATTATGTACTACTAAAAAGAACAACAAGAACGGATTCTGTTAAACGAATTCGCATTAAAAACTAAAAATACCTTGCATAGAATTATAATCGTTTGAATTCCGAGCAACTAAATATTTTATATAGCAGCTAATATATCGAAATTAGGGGGATACAACACCCTGTTAATGCGTCGTTCGCGTGTCGAAAAGCTGTTACCGCAGACGCCTCGAGTAATGTCCAATATTCCCCACAGCTGAGAAAGAATACGACGATTTCGCTCTTCTCTGCATTGTTCGCGAAAATGGAATTACGGCGATAAGTTATTACGAGTAGATAATTAGACTCTTTTGTCGTGGCAAAACGAAAACACACGAGAACGCTGTTATTTCAAAGGAGGCGCAAGAAGTTTCCTCTTTTCCCATAAAATGTGAAAGGGGAGGGTATACCCATAAGAACTGTACGTGAAACGGTGAAATTTCGTATTGAACTTTATGAGAATTCATTGTCTGAACATTACTAGTTATATCTTTTGGATTTTAGTCGTGAAGCTGTAATACAATGAACTTCTTTTGTTAAAAATATGTTGTAAAAGTTTATTCTAACGTGTTTGTTTTAAAAATTTGTTGTAATGTTTTATCCATTTTATGTTAGTGAATATGTAATGTTGATTGTAATGTAAATTGAGTATTTCATTTGCTTGACAATTGAAATTAAGTGTAATATATCTACATATTAATATACCACTCGAAATATTTGAAGGATATTCTTGTTGCTATCAAGGAGAATGAAATGACGAACACGATACATACTTTGCATTAAATATAATAACTGATTTAAGCAAGTTTTTCAAAAATGTATCAGACTTAGTACCTTCTCTAATAAGAATTAAATTATTTATTCATAACTTAGATGTAGATTAAGCGAGATACTAGAGATATATTAGTTAACGCAGTAAATAAACTCACCTTGCAAACCGAATAATTGACCAGGTTTCGTTTGAGCGAACCAACTGTTGTACAAAAGAGACGCAGAAGCAAAAGATGTTGCTGAATATCCAGATGGGTCGGAAAATGTGACTTCGGAATACGATAATCCTGTCGGTGTGTATAGTCCGATTCCCATATCTGTGACATAATAGATTACATTTTAAACATAAAAAGCTTTACTACACGCAATTATTAATGGCAATATCAAAATGTATATTATGTTTATTACAATATTTCATCAATTGAGAAGATTACTCTTTTCACATAAAATATATATTGACTATAATAGAAAAATTTCCATTTTTTATCGCACTACAGATTTATATGATGTACCCATATATACATATACATATATACAGTGGGTGTAAAAAGTATTCGTACACCCTTTAAAACGGAACAACTCTTTTAAAATTGGTCCAAATGGCTTGAGTTTTTTTTGTGAAGTTAGAGACATTAATTTACTAAATGATGTGAAAAAGAAAATTTGAAAAAGTTGCAATTGGTCCGAATCGCGAAGAAAATATTAAAGGTCGTGTTTTACAATTTTTTAATCTGAGGCTATAATGAAAATTTAATAAATACGTATCGAAGATTTATGTTAGTTATATACATGTTGAAAATTTTATGAAAATCGGTTAACGTTGCTACGAGATACAAACGATTAAAAATGTTGAAAATCGCAGTTTTTCCCGACTTTCGATCTACAACTGTAATAAATCTAACAATTCTCATTTTTTTTTATGTCTGTCCCTCGTTTCTGTATTAACCGATTTCAATGAAAGTTTCAGTATGTACATAACTAACATAAATCTTCGATACGTATTTATTAAATTTTCATTATAGCCTCAGATTAAAAAGTTGTAAAACACGACCTTTAATATTTTCTTCGCGTCAGACCAATTGCAACTTTTTCAAATTTTTTTTTCACATCATTTAGTAAATTAATGTCTCTAACTTCACAAAAAATTTTGTATCTCACTTCGATATAAGTGCAATTATGTAATAGCAAAATAAATACACATCGCTGGATGTCGTCATTTAACAGACATAGTAATAATGTATATTTTTCATAGCATAAATTGTACCTGAATGCGTAGCCGGTATTGCAGTTGGCATTATAAACTGCCTTTCTTCCATTTTCTCGTCCCTTTCGTCCTGCTCCTCATCCCTGTCGTGAGAATTATTTAAGCTGGATGACACTTCCGTATCTCTTTCATCGTGCCTCCCAAGAATATTGTCAATTGTGAACGCACTAGACACGGTAATCGGTAATGAATTTTTTCGTTCGACTTGTTTCCTGTGCGACTCCTTATAACTCTCATTACTAGAATCGGATGCGTACTCCAATGTATCGTGGTGACTATTCGCAAAGTTAAGGAATCGTTCGCGATCTTCTTTCGTCTGTTCGTACGTGTCGTCGATAACATCGATTTTATCACTATTCTGTTGCATATGTATCCGCCGGAGATCACAGATCTCATCAGTCACCTTGTTATGATTTTGATACGGCTCCATTGCCGACAATGTCATTGGACTTTCTTGGTGAAATCTTCCAATACCAAACGTCACTTCAGCTATGTACCGATGCACTTTTAAATAAACTTATAATTAATATAACTTCAACGCAATTACTATGATTTTAAGACTAAATTCACAATTATTGTCCAGAATTACATTTCATTGTACTCGTTTCCCTCCCAAGGACAAATCTCTCATTCACAATATTGTTTTCAATCATGTGCACTGGTTCGTTCATTCCTTTGTTTTACCACTTTTACCGTTTTTCAAACGATCGTTGAAACACGATGTTTCGTTATATTTATCTCGCGGTAATCCGTGGTGGCATTTCAGATCTAATGTTCGACTAATCTCCCTCTCAACCGCCCGAAAGCAAGTACCTCAAAATGTATGACAGGTGGCACGTGTCCGTGGTCCAGAAGGACCTCCCAGCTTCCCCACCATTGGTTCCTGAGAGAAGGTCATCCTATGAAGCTGGAAGAACATCTCGCGCCAAGGATCCCCACTCATTTCTGTTACCTGATAGGAGTAGGGGTCAAAAGCTTATTCACACTCGTTTAACGTTACTTTACTATCATACGTACGGTAAATCGATAGAATCCTTACTCTTGTATTAAACATCGTCCGACATCTTCGTTTTGCAATGAATTTCAATGATTGCGAAACAATATCTTCTATCGTCCTTCGACTTTCTGTTAATGGTAGAATTACAATAAAATAACAGTACTTTTAAGGGAATTTTTATAGAAGCGAGAATAATTCTACTTCCAAAGTGTTTTATTATATTTACAGTTCAGGAATAAAAGCAACAGAAATAATGGCAAAAGCACGATTTCAATATGAATACCTTTCCAAACTGTTTTCACAAAATTTTTTGTCTTTTTGCTTTAGAATCTTCATTGAAAATGAGTTCATTGTGATAAAGACATCTCAGTATTTCTCACCGGTGTGTATTGCAATTAGTTTTATCGTCTACATACTAAAAATTGTTCAAAAGTCTTCCCTTACCATGTTGTTACCACCAAATGTTTATCTATAACCGATTAGTTTATACGTGGATAGGGTACCATTAACATAGATTCATTCTCCATCGCGTTATTATAACAACACAATTTGGTATTATCCAGTTATGGCTGTGATTATTATATGTATGCATTATCGATGTTTCTAAGAACATAGTAGCTTAATATCACGATATGCGCAGTAGTGAAGTTTATCCACCGAAAAAGAGTTCATCAGGGATCAGTAAGGGGACTTCTGATTGGTGCTTACGAGCGCATGCTCTTCCAAAGCGTCCGCCTTCTTCGACCCCTCTATTTCAGAGCTTTATGTCAGCAAACTAATGGTTCCTTCTCTATCATATGTACACTCTCGCATTGGATAAACGTTTCTGCCATACGAAGAACGCTGTGAAAAAGTACCGCAAAATACTTCTTCACGCGTTTACTAAATTCCATCCAGTGGTTCTCATAATCGCGTTTAGACATTTTATAAAAATGCGTTTACCTGTTGTATAGATACACACGCTGAAGATGACGATGAGGCGGCTAAAATATTCTAGCAATTATAGTATTGCTGCGATTAAATTAAATATTGTTAGCAGCAAAAATGTTCGGACTGCGCAAGACTCAAAGGTTCTTGTGAAAATTTTGCAACATACTACAATGAAGAAAACCAAATTTTATATGTATTGACCCTTGAATGATGGATTTTCTGGCGGTCGAGGATACGTCGAATACAGGGTCCATTCGGACCCGCAACACTATAGCAGATATCGAAATTTGCAAATACAGATTATTGGAATACAGTATAAGTGGACACAAATGATATAATTTCATTTATTTTTATTGATATATGAAACTGTGAAACTCCTGGAACAATTACCCGAAAAACAATTCACTAGAATGAACTTTTCTTCCTAGTAGTTCGGATAACCATGGTTCAACTGTATATGAGTATACTTTTCGGCGAAATTGGTATCTCTAAATCATAATTACTTCAATCTAAATTATAATACATATATTATATTTGAAAGATACATGGTTATACCTTATGCAATATTTGTATTATTCGACTGATATTACGTACGTAAATATCGGTATGGATTAGTCCAGTATTAGCTAAGCGAAAGTTAATTAACAGAAATTAACGCAACATGTACATGAATAGTGCAAAATTCCTCACAACAATTTATCATATATTTGTGATAATTGGCGGAAAACTTTCACTACTCATGACATAGTACATGCATGTTTCTTTTTAATAAGCCTGGGTTTTAAAGAATGTCTGTCTTCATAAAATATATTTTTTTCATTATTTTAGTCACTAAATTATGTAGAATGATGTAGAACACTTTATAAACTGATGTATTTAGTAATAATGTACTATACTTATCAGGGTTTAAGAGAAATTTGTTTTTTTGTTGTTACGTTTCAGTATATTCTAAATCTAAACAATTTGATTCAAATTCTGTAATGTAAAACGATAGAATTGTACACAATGGTAGAGCAGAACATTTGAGATAAACGTGTAAAACATGTGATTCGCAGAAAGCTTCATCTCAACGATACATTTTATCGAACCATATCGAGCTGTTTCTGTTTACGAGCTTCAAATATCGAACATTTCCGTCGGTAGTGGTACCATTAGTTTCCAGATAGCACCAGCCAATCTCAATGTTCGTCCTTATATACCAAAAATCCATTCAGTTCCATGCTGCTAAAAGGATGAATGGCGATTGTGAATGCTATCTACCGTGGACTGGTGTCATCAATTATTTTCAGGATCCCTGTCTACTTACTTTTATATCATGTACCGATTCTAAACAATTTCTTGCAATATTCTTCAAAAAAATTGTCGTTTATAGTAACAAAATTGAAAAGCTTATTTTTTAAAATGCTTTTTTACAATAGCTTATTTACGAAAATAAAGAATATATTTATCCATGCTGTAATTAGATTGCAATAAATTCCTATTATGTAATTGAGATGTTTACATATAATATACTATAACGTTTTTTTTTAAATGTGTGATTGAGCAAACATCGACAGTTACACATGTCCTTCGACAAGAATATATTTATTTGTTTTTCTGCATAAATAATATACAAATAATTCAGTAACCAAAACGAGTATTTTCAAGAAATGAGTGAAATTAATTAATAACTACGGACTTCCCATTTTAACAGTTGTAAGGACGATATTCTCAGAAGGTAACGATGAAAGAAATTTTTGATTATTATGATATGACTGCTATAAAAAAAAATGAACACTTCTTCGGAATTAATGAAGAGAATATTATTTCTTTGTGGATAAAATTGCATCTTACGTGTGTCGCTTATGAACCTTCTTAAAAAATTTAACCGTGCAAGTGACGAGAACAAATATTGAGCCTCTTGTACGTGAAACGAAATGCTGTGCATCACCTTTTCGTTAGGTGTGAAAGGCGGAAGTAACGACATGGTCGACGCGCACGGAATTTCACGGATAGGTATCCGCGCTTCTTCCAGGAAACCATTATGAGCCCTTAAAACGTCTTTCAACGTATTCCAGAAAAGGCAGTCTGTGTATCTGGAAAGATGACAGCAAATGATTTTAAGGTTTTATCATTTGTGTATTTTTGAAATTTGATTCAATGCCGCGAGAAATCTTAAACATTGAATTGAACGATGAATAGATACTATAGATACATATTCAATGGCTACTATTTCATAAAAATGGGGAAACATTAATTCAATCGTTTCCTGGCATATTTTAACAAATGAAAATATTATTTTCGCTGTAGTTTACGCGTTTTAGATAAGTGAAATTGAATACTGTCAAAATACATACATATTAACGTACGGTACACTACAAATTTTAGGGGTTCTGAAATTTCATATTTCCACGTGACAAAATATATTTCATTAAATTTGATTTGTTTAGTAACATGAAGTGCAGAAATATAGAAAACTCTGTAAAAACAACACTCACGGACATAAATATTTAATATTCTATTGAGAAATTAATATTAAAAAAAATAGAAATTTCATGACAAAAGTATTCAATATTATCAAGTACAATACTGGAAATATTTATTGCACGAGTCGAAACTGCTATTAAACATGTAATCATTTATACCTTACTTATTAATTATTATTAGTACCTACTAAGAAAATTAAAAATTAGAAAATTTCCCCACAAAGTAGAGTAAACATGTCAGATTTCAAAATGTCACAGATATAATATCCAGAACCTAACTTGCACCGCTAATGATGAAGCAGTCGATACAATATAAAGACCACAATAAAATAAAAATATTTCCTTATAAACATGTAGTACTGTATTAATAAGAAAGAAATGTTTGTATCGAATTCATGTTATGTTAGGTAGTTCAAGTCCGCAAATTCACCAAAAGTATCTTTTATGACTACGATATTTGGTAAAGTTCCCGAATGAACGATCCTCTTCCTGATGTGGATTTTACTTCTACGTTTGATGCACGTTGCGCCACGTAATTGAAACGATCAATCAAACACCTGCGTAAAGAAGGGCGTACTAACGCGTGCACAAATTGCCGTGGAACGCATTCGTATACGGAGAATTTATCGGTGCCACACCCTTGCTGAAAACAGCATCTGTGAGATCCTTTTATCCCACTAAACTCAACTTCATTGCTACCATTCATAGGCAAAAATATCATACGTGGTTCAGTTTCATTACGGCAGTTTTTTTCCCTCATTGTTTTGTGCCGCATTCATTCTTGGCGGTTATCAGCAACGATAATGTTCAGTCACATTACACTTGCAAATAGTTTTGTTTGTTTAAGGAATTGGAGAAATATACGTATTTCTTTATGGTTGAAGAAGTTCTCGTTTAAGTTGTAATAATGTTCAGTCACATTACACTTGTAACTAGTTTTGTTTGTTTAAGGAATTGGAGAAATATACGTATTTCTTTATGGTTGAAGAAGATCTCGTTTAAGTTGTAATAATGTTGAGTCACATTACACTTGCAACTAGTTTTGTTTGTTTAAAGAATTGGAGAAATATACGTATTTCTTCATGCTTGAAGAAGTTCTCGTTTAAGATGTAATAATGTTCAGTCACATTACACTTGCAACTAGTTTTGTTTGTTTAAGGAATTGGAGAAATATACGTATTTCTTTATGGTTGAAGAAGTTCTCGTTTAAGTTGTAATAATGTTCAGTCACATTACACTTGTAACTAGTTTTGTTTGTTTAAGGAATTGGAGAAATATACGTATTTCTTTATGGTTGAAGAAGTTCTCGTTTAAGTTGTAGTTTATGTACATTGTTTCTTTGACGTAACGTCAAGTACTTTATTGCAGTGTATAATTATGTGGTGGACAGTTATATATACATTACATTTGCCATAAATTGGAGGACTATTTTTCCAGGGTAAATGAAAATAGATTATTTTTATAAGTATATACAATTTTTATAAGTAATGTGTTCTTTTCTTGACAGGTCTAGTGGTATATTCTCCCTAGTTTTGAAACTACTGTTCATTGTCTGAATATGTGGTGGTACTGTATTTTTCCATTCCATTTCCCATTACCATTTTTATTGTTTCCATTTCCCATTACCATTTTTAAGGTAGATTCTTGTAGATCCGTTCGTGATGTGGGAGTTTGTGTTTTCAGTAAAGCTTCGTATAATGTTGGTAGCCCATTCTACTGCTATATCTGCTATTTTATTTTCGGTTGTACCATTATGGCAGTTTTTTCAGCTTTACCATTTGAAAGCGTATTATCACATGCAGTCACAAATAGTTTTCACGCTGCATTTTCAACTTTATTTCAATCTATAATAGTTTACAATTAAAGTTAACCTATTATACAATTTTCATCATTATTAAATTTAGTAATAACTATTGAATGAAAATCCTGTTATTACCGATACCTAATTGTAATTCAGTATTCACTAATTTTATTTATTATTTAGTACTATTATTAATTATTTACGTTGTCTACAACGGAAATTACTTGTTTCGACTCAATACAACTTAAAATAAAATAACAGAATTTTTGTGATACGTATGAAAAATGTGGCTGTATACAAATCCTTTTTTTACCCACTGTATATGTAAAACAAAAAGACTTGTCTGAAAAAATGTTAATACTGTTTCATGTTGACAAAGATTAAGACGTATCGTTTGCAAATGAATCTACTCGTGCTTTTAAGCGGTAATGTAATTAGTTTTTCATAGGAACGAAGCTTCATTCTGTTTGAAGTAGAAGTGGAAGATTAAAGAGATTGCGAGAATTCTGAAAACTGAGCGATTAATTTTCTGTAAGCACCATGTATAACTGGTCGCTATTGGTATGGGCGCAGATATAGCCACTCTCGTGAGATATTAGACAGGTGAGCGAGTTCCCAGGGGAACAAAGCTCCCATTACCTCATCTCGCCAAACCCATCCCCATCCATCCCGACAGACCCTCAGCTCCTAAAACATTCATAAGAGCAGTGTAAGTGGTTTTTAATAAAGGTATTTAATCATAGGTGTCGGATTACGTGTAAATCGCCTGGTGGTGTCACCAACTGGTACAGGATTAGTCACGTGTACAAATATGTGTTGAGAAAATCCAGTCTATTTGCATGTGGGCGATTTGTATCGACTATTTAAGAAATATCGTTGAACAGTTAGACTATGCTGGACGGAAGAGAGTTTCATCGGACAAAACTGGATAATTTTTAGTAAGGGTTCGGTCAAGTTGTAAACAAAATAAAAACCTCATTAACCTTCATTTTATCACACCGAGTTTCAGTCGTTTCAGACAATCGCGCAAACTATAACTGCATAGAATCCTAGTCTATTGATAAAACACTAAATTTCTTCATTTGTAATTTTTTTAAAGACTACTCCAAATTATTATAAAATCGTACATTCTGTTACGATGTACAACATATTTATAAAAATCATATTATCACATTGGCTTGATCGCGATTATAAATTATTAATTTCATATAATTTATTTCTTAAGGAACTGTAATTTTCACGAGAAGCACTGTTAACGTTGTTGAGGCATGTATACAGTTAAAGCAATTATTTCTAGTAGGTGAACAGCTTGTTACAGGACCGTGTCTCCGTTTTGCCTTGCCAGTCTTTACCGTGCTGTCATTCGTTATGACAAAACCTTGCTCCTATGAAGTAACACGTCGACACCTTTACAAATGATTTTCCTCAAGCAATTCTATTTTATCGTGTTTCTCAGTTGGATTTCGTCAATGGTGCGAGCAACTGTCGGGCAACAATGCTTCGACGATGGCAACGAATTCTGTATCGATGAAAACGACATAATGTCCGTTGATCTTCTGCCTGGATCATTCTTATTCCCAGATCAGCAAGCAACGAAAAATACATCAATAGTTTCTGATACTAAAACAGCGGATGGCTCTGCCAGCGATGCGTTAAATAACATGGAGTATCACAGGTAGATTGAAACATTATATTATTCTTGTGAATCTAAACATTTGGTGATTCGTGATTTATGAAATCAGGAAAAAGATGAATGAATATTTGTGTCATGGTTACATGGCCGAGGAAATCATGAAATTGATGAGCACACCTCGAGTTAAAAGGCGGCTCGGCATCACGGAAAATAATGAATTGCGTGACTTGGTGGACGTCGATAATGTTACTGTTCATGACAAAATGTTGGCGGATGAAGGAAGTGTGAAATATAAACAGTGGTTACAACGGTAAGTATTTAAAACTTTCACAGAAGAACGAATGATGTAAGTTCTATTCGATGCGTATCGAGTTTTGAAACACAATTAGAAAATAAAATATATAACTTTTCTTAGAGAAATTTCTTCCTGTTACCAAAGACAGAGGAAGAAGGAAATAGTTATACCATATTATTTCAGTTATAAGCTGTTCATTTAATCAAATTTCTAAGTTACCAAATTTTTATTTTAGATTCATTTTTTTTTAACGAAGTTAAAGTCGAAATTTTTGTTATGGGTATGCTTTTTCTCTCTCTATTATTTATGGTCGCATCAACCATCTGTTCGGGTTATTGGCGACACTAATAATAACACATTCAGATAAATTCACAATTAACTGTACAATTTGGAATGCTTAAAATAGTTTACTAGTCCTTGAATTGTTTTTGTATCTTTTAAATTGTCCTCAACACGTGATCTCCCATGGTGGTCACCGGTGACAGGACCCATTAAATTACACAAAGTAATATTAAATGAGTGTTTAAGTCGTCGTGTAAATATTTATATTGTTATTAGAAAAAACAGAAATAAATATATTTTATTATGGTATTGTTCCAATATTAAAAACTGTGGTAGTCAGCGTGATAATGATGGGTATAATCATAATCGTAACCTCTTAGTTGCGGTGTTGTTTTTTAAAAGTATGTATGTATCTACCTTGTGTCGCTGGAACGACGCTATAACGAGGTATATAATCATCAAACAGAGAGTATGTGCAGCTGCTGTAAAATTGAAAAATTGTTGAAATTTATTTACATTATTTACAAAACTTAAACATTTATTATTTTTTTTTATTAAAAGAAGAATTATTTAGAAGAATGATGCAGAAAGAACAAGTCTAAATAGGCAAGTAGTCTCGAAATACTCTAAAATATCTCTAATTTACAAATACTTTTAATTTTTTACAAAAATTTTAATTTGAATAACAAATGGTACTTTGCTTTCCTCGCACCACGAGTGAATGAAGAATTTCTATTTCTTCATGACGAGTATACTTGTCATTCACAGCTAAGAGGTTAAATTGCTGTTTATAGCTAGAATATGGATATGTTGATTTGTTTAGAAGGACGACATTGGACGACGTGTACCGACATTATGCTCCTAGTAAGAAGATGAACAAAATGCAAGGACCTAGGGATGATAATATTGATGAATTCGATGGTGAAGTTACGGGATACGCGATGCCGGCGCCGATACCATCTGGCAAAGTAGGTTTCCACGAAGAGCAAGGCGATGAAAATGGTAAAGAACGTTTCCTAATTTCTTATTTTACAGTATTCAATTTTTCCATAATCTTTTCACTTCACAAATTCGTGCTCATTTTCTAACAAAATATATACTGTAGTACGTCAACAGTTACTGAAAATACTGATTATCCGAATATTGATTAACCGAAAAATGCAACGATGATTACATTTTTAAAATTATACTCTTTCCAATTCAAACGTCTGAGTCTAGTATTTCGCGAGTACATATTACATATCATAACAATGTAAATGACAACATTAGTTAAATTGAAATTATAGATATTGTAAGATTCGATGCACAATATACTTAGAATTGTGAATTATAATTATGAGAATGTTCGGTAATGATTAGAAATAGATAACGATACAAAATTATGGGGGAAGATGATATTGTTTCATTTGTCCTTGTTAAAGTACGCTCCCACAAACCAACGTGTTTTATTCGCAGCGGCAGTGAATAATTCGCGGCGATATATTTTATATAGACAAATTTATGCGGAAATTTTCAACATTGGTGTGAACAGCCTCATAAGACGCCATGCATTTTAAACTGTTGCGAATCTTCCTAAACTAAATGGAATTTAGTAAAGGAATATCATATGGATTAAATATTATAATGTTTAAAGGAGGTCATAGTCTACCAATTTCAATATTAGGTGAAATTGATCTGTGAAAATATGTTCAGAAAAATGAAATAAAAAAGAATAGTTCTGAAACAATAAATAAAATTATTCTATATTTTATTAATTTTATTACATTTAAAGTATGATATCCTAGTATGGTTCTTTCTCAAATTACGTCTCGTCATCATTGAATTAATGATATGATTATTATTATTGTATTAAATATGAATATATAGATTGAATAATTGTTTAGTATAATAATATGTTATTATTTAGAATAATATTTTTAATTGTTTCAATTATTACTATAAATCTTATTAATATAGAGAGGGTATTTATGATCACTAAGTGGATAAATATATGTGATGTATTTATTGTTCATCCATAGATTATAAATCTTGATAAATATTATAATGTCCTTAAACATTATAATATTTTATCCATATGATATTCCTTTACAAAATTCGTTACCGCTGCGAATATATCGCGTTAGTTTGTGGGAGCCTTTACACAGATGAAGAAATGACGGAAATATTCACCTATCAGCCTATCACATTAAACTGCAAAGCTGTTGCGTGAAGATGGATGAAAGCAAAAGAAAAAATCAATGCTTTTGAAATATTTGTTTTAAAATGAATATGGGACTTAGCAATTTTTGAAAATGATTTATTTGCTTATTATGATACGTTATCATCGTGTATTCTTTTATCCACTAAACAACCACCATTCAATTGTGTTTTATTTACAATCTTTTTATAACATATTCGAAACTTTGAGTCCACTAGACTGATTATGCAAGAAAATCACTTGCCAGAACGGATCTGTTTCCTTATTAGTTCGGATAATTGGCGTTCGAGTGTATTCATAACTATGCACAAATTTGTGGACAGATTTGCTACATAGAAGATTTGTGAGACAATTATTTATTGATTGGGTAGATCACATGCTGTCGTCCTCTTCAGGACACAATGTCTATTATGGTCACTCTTATGGTCACGGAGGTGATCATTTCATACCTCACACCGATACTTTTCCGGCCATACACGAGGAACACTATTACCCAGCACCGTACTATCACGAACACGAAGAAGAGTATCATAAACCCCATTATTATAAAGGAAAAGGAAGTGAACTTTCGGTGAAAGACTTCTTTGAAATTGCACTTACGGCTCTGGCGTTTTTAGCCTTTGGTTTATTCATTATACAGTTGCTGATGAATGCTACGGTATCGTATATCATTTAACGCCATCAACACATTGACTACCATTATCGTGAACGGATCTATGCTTGTCTTTTCAATAGCATCCTGGTCCTTCATAATCGACGTCACAAAATTTTTTTAAATACTTATAACTAGTAAATGCTGTCAAATAAAATATGTACTTGGAATAACATTAATAAGCGAAGCGTGATGTAAAGAGGAAATTATTGTAGTTAACAAATAATAATTATTATCTTTGCGAGTGTACACATGAAGATGCAGAAAATCGTGGTGGAACCAATAATGTAGATGTTTCTACGCGTAAGAATACAACTTAAACATACTGTCATTTTATTTATACAAACTTCAATTTTGGTGACAATCAGATTTGATAATACGTTTACTATATATGTATACATTTGTGTACTACAAAACTCGTATGTCTGTCCATTCCTAACTGTTTCTGGTTGAGTTAATGCTTATAATTATAATATATTATAATATATTGGTAGTGGTAGAACATTATCAACTTTTCACAAGAATATTGTATAAATCAAGAGTGAGAATCTATGTATCAAGTGAGACGGAAAACAAGTAATTCTATAGTATTATTTACCAACGTTTGGTATAAGTAGAAGTAATAAGTAATAGATAGACACATTCAAAACCATAGTTGCATAATAAATTTTCAAATCCTATTTCTTCGTATACGAAGCTTCATGTGAAACATTTCGTTTTACGTTTTCACTTCCTTTTTATATGCAAAACCATCTGCTCCTCGGATACACCACGATTTACTAGAGATTCTGTATAAAATTTGCAGAAATTAAAACTCTTGCGCGACTTTATTAAAGCTTCCATAAAGTGGTCTTTACAAAATATTGTGACTTTCCTCGTACACTTTTTAACGACTTTCTTACAGAAAATTTATAGAAGCAATAAATATACCGTTCTGTTTAATAATATTACAAAATAATAGCCTGTCATTATATGCTTGTGACTATGAAAACTGCACTGTGACATATACAGTAAAGCATGCATAAAAATTCATTAGAGTAGTCAACGTGTTAAGTTTGTAAAGAAGTAAATTGAGAAATTCATAATCTCTAGTTACCTGATTTTCTAGAACACTATGAACGCAACCGCTGCTACAATGGTGAATACTGGTAAACGTTCGAAGAGGAATATCGCTGGCTTACCTCTATCTTATGCCAGCAACGAAGAATTAAATGAGCTGTCCTACAATGTTCTGAGGTCTATTGAAGGTGCCCTCGTCGCCGACATGGATTCTGGTAATTGTCTTCGCAGAATTCTATGCGAAAACAATCGACATTCTACGCAAACCATAGACGCGCGTAAAATTTGGGTTCCCGTTTGGAGGTAGGTTATACATTACAAAACACAGAATGCTATGGACGCTTATATGTTTATAACCATGCATCATTAGATATTTGATTGCTTTGAGGAATTTCAAACAATTTCGATGTATAATATCATTACCAACGTTTTCTTTTTCTGCGTGATACTGATCATAATCCGTTGAGCTCTACAGGGTGTCTCAAAATAATTATAAGTCTTTCAAAGGGGTGATTCCTGGGGTGATTTGAAACAAATTTTTCTTTAACAAAAAAGTTCTCCGAGGTTTTGGTAACGAGATCTTAACGAAAACCTCCGACCAATCAGAGCGCTAATCTGCCGGCTGAGCTCTCGCGGTAGCACGTAGCCAACGTTACTCCATGAGCTCAGCTGGCAAACTGGTGGTGTGATTGGTCGGGGTTTTTCGTTAATATCTCGTTAACAAAGCCTCGGAGAACTTTTTCGTTAAGGAAAAAGTTGTTTCACATTCAATTACCCCTTTCAAGGACTGTCACCTATTTTGGGACACCCTGTATAGTAACTGGAAAGCGGACTGAAGGGAGCCGGTCGGAGAAGGAGGGAATACTTATATGGTATGCGGTGAACTTATTTCAGAGTCTTAAGCCGCGTCCCTACTGCGTCGGCAATTGCCGGTGACGTGGCTTTACACACGTGCACAGGCCAGAGCGTGGCGTCTATACCACCTCTACACGCAAATGTACTACAGAATATTGATGGGCACCATCGACTAAAAACTATCGACTAAGTCGATAGTAACCAACGACTACTTTCAGTCGACTAATTCTTTCAATCGTCGACTACTTTAGTCACTTGAAGCGACTAACTTTAGGCGAATAATATTAGTCGCTTGAAGCGACTACTTTCAGGCGACTAATATTAGTCGCTTGAAGCGACTACTTTAGTCGATTAAATTTAGTCGCTTCAAGCGACTCGCTCGAACTGTCGAGCTATTGACTGAATCTTGATTTTCTTCGTGATGCAAACCAATTGCAATTTTTTCATACATCTTTTTATGCATTACCAAGAACTGTTCAAATTATTGCTTCTAACCTAATAGATTTACATAAAAAATTTAGAGCAGTTAATTTTTTAAGTGCCAATATTAAATAGCTTACAAAAAATCGAATATTAGTAATTGTTTAAAAAAACGTGTGTACCACTTATATTTTCGAAATTCTATCTATGAACTAATACATTTCTAAAAGGTAAATACAGCAATGGTGCTGAAAAGTTGACGACGTAATCTATACATAACCTATAAAGCAAAATTTCAGTCGACTAAAAACCATCGACTAAATAGTTGATAGTATGTTGCGATTAAATAGTCACTAGTCGATAGTTTAGTTTAGTCGATGGTGCCCATCACTACTACAGAATGTTACAGATAGAGAGAATAATAGGAAGAAGATGGTTAGGTTCACCGCATATCTTCCTTCTCCTTTGGACCTCCGTCGTCCCTACTTCCTCGCACATGAGTTCGCACTCCAAGTAGTATTGTACATAGTTCTGAATATCATAACCCTGCTACGGTTTTCAATCCAGGTATACATTCCAAATAATGAGGAGGAAGGAGAGATACGCAGATCAGTAATAATTTTCTTACACATTTCGTGAACCTAAGAACATTTCTGAAGTGACGAGATTCTTAATCTCAAAATTAAATCGGAGAATTGTGAAAAGTTGTAACAGTTGTTAAAGAAATGAAAATATGGTTGGGTCGATGTAGACCTAAAGACCATACCTGGGCTAACTAAAGAAGAAAGCATATCAAACAGAGACCCTTTCAGAACGCAGTTCAAAATAGCTTTTATACTTTGATTCTCTTTCTTTAAATGGCATGCTGCAGTTATTTTTCCTTAAGATGTCTAAAGAGGAATAGAAAAAGAATTTGTTCGGAAATGTTCAATAATATTGAAAATATTTTGAGTTTATTTTGGGTCGCCCGCGATTCCATAGTTTCACATACATAATTTCGATAAATGTGACATTAAACGTTAACTTGAAACTAGAGAAACCATTAAAGAATGTTACAATATAGAAAGATAAGTATGTAATCCTTCTTTCCAGTTTAGGAATGAGTTGGATATCCAGCAGGGTATTAAAAGGATCTCCATGGTCGGCAATGTTGGATTCTGTAAAAGCTTCTATCCTGGGTCTCGGTGGAGCCGACTGTGCAACCCTATATCCTAACTGCGAAATCAAAAAAGAGAGGATCAAAAGAATCCGAAGACGCCGAAAATAATTCGTCACTGACTTATTACTTTTCACATAACTTCCTGATTTTACAATACTTACTACTAGACTGCGTGTGTTTACGCAGATATAGATGTTCCTGGGCTAATTTACAAGAACTGAAGTCGAAGAGAAATCTATTTACATCATTTAATGCTCTATCAGGTTCGATGTAAAATAAAAACCTCTTTAAACTTTATTAAACCCTTAAGTACATGAAATTTAGAGTACCTATGCTATAAAAGAATAAAATCCGCAGTCTACTTATTACTTTTCACAAAGTCTCGTAATTATTCAATGTTTATAATAGTTCTCGAATTTTGTAATTAATATACCATTTCAAATGCATGCAAACGCGTATTTGTTCAGGAGGCAGTAACTATTAGGTGCAAGATTTAAATAAAGAAGCTGTACTCACATATTGTACTCTGTAATATTTTTTAACGACGAATGGTACAAGGTTAAGTATTTTCTATAGAAGCGTGAACTGTATTGGGGCTATTTCCATCTTTGGTGCTGGACCATGAATGCCACGGAAGCGGTAAAAGGGAAGCGTATGTCGAACCCGATGGACAAACATGGAAGATGCTGCTATGTTTTGCCTCTTGCACGATGCGCACGTTCGATAATATGGGCATGCCTCTTTCATTCATTAATGTGCGAAATGCTGCAACCTGAGCAAGCAATTGTACATTATACATTGTTTGCTTCGACTGGGAAAAATTATCACAATATTGTATGCTGTATAATAACTGAATGGACCAATGATGAGCAGCCTTTTTTTATAACGGGATACAATATTGAAAATCTAATAATCCGTATAAAACCGCTGCAACCGTAATCTCAACTTTAAAAAATCTAATTTATTCATTGTTTCATACATTCGTATACTTATTGTATGAAACGCGAAAATTTTTCACTCTAACTGGTTAAAGTGGGTTGCACAAACAACTTCAGTGGGACGCGGGTTGCTCATTACTGGAATAGACGTATAATGGAAAAGGAACAATAAATTGGAAATCGTGATAATATTATTTAAATTATGGGACAATATTATAGACGTCACTCAATTTTTAATTAACGACGTACTATTATTACCTTGCTGGTGTACACGATTCAGCGCTCACTGTCAGAGCTAGATATGAATTTTGTATTAAATATTCAGATGCTTGGTAAATAAGGCGAGTATGTTTTGGTCGATTTTTAACACGGTGAATGCCACAGTGAGAAATGCTGTACGTAACTAGACACACTTTATTTCGTATTTTAAGTAATAAATCGTCTAAAATATATATCTTTAGTTTTAAATTATAATGCGATATTAATTTTTCAAAGTTTGTTAATGGTATTTAAATAATCCAGCCCCCTTTAGAATGTATCTGTCACCCATATTTGGGTGACATGGCAGTGAAAGTGTTAATTCGTATTTTTAGTTTTGTATTAATTACATAATTGTGCATTATACTGAATTTGTAGACTTTTTAAAAACACGTTTAGCTGCCACTTTTTCGGTGAATGTTAACATCACTAAATAGTATTTTTTTAGCAGAAACTTAACCTTACTTATGAATTCGGCTTAAATGTCCATCTTTTAATACACGTGATGAAAATGACAGTATTTAACTGAGATTGATCCTCTATCTTAATTAAATTTAGTGTTTAACATAATTGGTTTTATTGGTACGCTAGATTTAGAACATATAAATTTCAAACGAGTAGAGTACACCGTGTAGGTTTGCAATCATGAAAGAATGTATGTTAATAATTCTCATTCAAAATTTTTCAAATATACCTATCAATAAAATCATTTATTTCATGTGCAACGACCTAATAGTGTTGTAACTGTAACCTGTATAGACATTAGAGGTGTAGGTATGACAAACTATCAGTAAACTTACTTGCTCAATTGATACTCCTACTGGTTCCCTACTAATTACCCACATAATTTTGTGTATATTAGTACTTGTTACTATAGAGCCCCGATACAAAAAATAATCTTCAGTAAACGGTCTCAGAATATTTGTTAGGTTCATAGGCACTAAGCGAACTGAGGAATTCGCTGCTCGAATAGTAGGAAAGTTCTTGACAATTTGATGTATAAATTCATTTGGCTTATTCTGTAACTAAACACTTTAAATTACGTAGTTGTAATCATTTAATGTATGCACATATATTTCATACCTTACAAAGATATACTACAATAACAACTCCATCAGTCCGTTTTAGAGCTAATTCCAATGTTTCGTAGTTGCTCTTGTAGTGAACTGCGTGACATTCCATTGGCATACTTCGAATGAAATCAAATGAAATTAGTTCATAAAAAAAACAATATTCCAATACTTATGTATAAATTATTTTTCTTTTATTTCCAACGTATTGCTAACGAATGTTAATTTTTTTTATTTTCTTTACTTTTACGTGACTCCACAATACACATGTCCGAAACTAAATATATTTCACACTAAAGATTTTCAATTGTAATTTGAATGAAATAATATTTACATACACACAGATGAAAGTATTGAATATTTTATTTATTTTGGAGCCACTAAAGATTCCATGTGTAGAAATAAGAGAAATTATTGTCACTATAACACAAATGTTATGTATTTGTGGAATACGCAAATGTTCAAAGTACAATGAAATGGAAGCTTAAACAAACATTAATAAAGACCTCATTTGATTTTGTTTTTTACAATTCTTTCATTGTTCTTTGTTCCGTTAGTTTTTGTTAAATAATCTATGAAAACGTTGCATAACATTCGCATAAAATTTGCATAAACATTCGCAATCTAATTATTACTTACATTATGTATAAGTAATATAGGTATTAAAAATAATAAAATGTTCAAATGTATTGTAAACCTTGCACCATCGACCGTGTGTTCGCTACCATTCATATCGTTCTCTCCCCAATGAAAATGAATTTGTGAAAGCACATACTTTGCTGTGAACGGTCCATCGGTAAGATACGGCCGATCCGTTACCCAGGTTGCACTAAGAATTACTATTGACAAATAATTTTTAACGACAATTAATTACAGATGATAAGTTACAAATAACATGTTTTACCTGTGTAACCTGTATTAGTAATTTTCATTTTCCTGGGTGTTATATCAATGTTAACCCATTGCAAGGGATTCAACTTGATAACTGTCATCAGGCTAATATTTAAATCGACTGGAGATTCCAAGTCAGCGTTAGTAAAAATTAAACGTTCAATCAACGTGGCATTTTGTGTATTCGTTTCAACTGGTTCTAACAAAATTCGTGGTTTAAATAATTAATGTTGAAAGCACATCAAGAGAATTTATAAAATTGGAAACGACAATTTGTAATCTACATCTAAAATTGTTGCGTACCTGTTGGATTCATCTTGAGTTGAAATAATTTTAACGTTAACCCACATCACTTCGATTTTTTTTATGTATAATTAACTGCAACTTCATTAGACATTCATATTTTCATGTGACATTAAAAAGCATGGCTTTTGCTGTCACGACACCATATCTTCTTGCAGATGGTTTCACAGAGCTTAATGTCGTGAAATTTAGTTACTCTGAAATATGACGTTCAGTGAAGCAGTTTAAACAGTTGTTCGTGTTGTTTGTGAAATTAGAAATTGTGAAAGCAACAGAATTAGTAGGAAGTGGAAGAAACAAGTTTGGATACGGAAGTAGATTGAGTGAAGGAATAAATATTAATAACTTTCATGTTTTTCTACTTGTATACAATACCAATAATATACATAAAGTCGCAACAATACGATAATTTTCACCACGTACAGTGCGTGACACTGCCTTACAAACTTCACTTATAAATCAAAATGATTGGAATTTGTGACATTAAAGTGGTGACACGAAATCCAATGCCATGACAACGCTACTTCTAGTTTTCACGACTACAAAAATCATAACATTTCGTATCATGATAGTAAAAGTTGCAATTTACTGTCACGTGAAAACTGAGAGAAACGAAATTGTCTCTTCATCCATACACATTGAAGTTGAATGCAGAAATTGCTCATTTATATCTAAAACGTTGATTTATAATAACAATAATAATTTTGTTTTAAATAGTAAGTAAAAATGTACAAGAAAAATGTAACATAATGGATAATAAACAACCAATGATTTTGTTTTAAACAGTAAGTAAAAATGTGCAAAACGCATATAAAAAAAGGAAACGGAAGAACTGGTACTTATGGAAAATAGTCTTGAATAAAAGTTAATTGAAAAAATTACTGTAAATTTTTATGAACTCGACAGACAGTGTTTTTTTTCAGGCCATTCGTCAAAAGAATCTGTAGCATCAGTACACACATTATTTTGTATTATACCTATGAGTTACTATAAATTGCACATTTATAATGTTGCGTTCTCCTTAGTGAATTTTAAAGCTTCCTGGGAAAAATGGCGTGAGCTAGCGTCTATGGGGCTCTTTTAGTTGTAAAATTGTATTTAAATATTCAATTAAATAACAATTACGATTTAAACTGTTCACAACTCTTTAATTTTAATTTCAATATTTCTTTATGTAAATCAATTTACTAAGAACTTTTACAAATACTTTTTATGTTTTACTTTTATGAATGGCAGAAAAAAGAAAAAAGGATAGTCATCTCCTTGACCGATTATAAAAACAAATACAATTTGTTTAATATCAAAATGTCTTAAATACCGACATCCAATCAGGAGATTATTAATTAATTAGAAAGACTTCCTATTTGCCAATGCATTTCCTTTCATTTATCAATTGTCCAGTTCGCGAACGTTTTAACACCTCAGCATTGTTTTGCATATTAGAAGAGGGAGATAAAGAGAAATTGTTCAAACATAAATAATTTGAAATCTATCCTTTTGGATGAGTATCTACTGATTTCAATTCCTTCCTACATGTGCCAACTTCACTTTTCTCACTTCTCCTATTACATCTGTTTCAAACTTCGCGCTTTCAACACTCGCATATCGATAACCCTAAATATCGCTTGAACCAAACACCTATTCTCGCGACAACGTAACAATAATAACGATGTAAACTTGAGTGAATACAGACAACTTCATGTGAATCGAAACATGTGCTAATAACTGAGTAAAATGCGCATATCATGTGACAGTTCTTCACGTTTTCCATTAGTTACAACATATTATCCGTTCTATTGTGCAATACAACTAAGCGTCTCTGCCTACATTAAAGTACAGAGTATACCAATAACTGCTTCGTAAGTGATTTTGCAGGTCACTCATGGATTACGCGCGAAAAATCGGCAAATCAGAGGAACCAAGAAAATGGTCGAAGAAATTGCCACAATCTATACGCGTGTTCGATAGAACCTTCTATAAAGAGGATATCGTTTACCCTGAAGATCGTCCATTGGTCAATTGGAAAAAATGGTTAGCAAACCGAAAGAAACAGTACAAGCACATCGAGTCGTTTACTGGTCGTCATCGAACCGATCAAGTTTTGAATACTTCCGAGACCGTTCGATCGTTCGTCGAAATGAGAAATTTAATGGATTACGCGACTGTTCCGGCGCCAGTTATTCCAGACAAATTTCGCGGTGGGCCAGAATTTTGGAGGACTCCCGAAACATTGTCCAATCACGGCGATCCGTGTTTACCGATCGTCGCGATTACACCGAGCAAGAAGGAATTGAATGTACTTCCGGAATTGATGTACGTCGATTTGCCGGAGTTAATGGAAAAAGAAAAGGATCTGGTTGGTTTGAAGTCGAAGGAACCATTATGGAAGCGGAGTCAATATTTAATGAAACGAAAAATTGAGTTGTCGAAGGAAATCGCGTTGCTCGTGCCGAAGGAACCAGAAACGAGGCATCTAGTAATCCATGGTCAAAGTCCACGATTAAAAGTGAAAGCAAAAAGAATTCCACCGATAACAATTTCGGACGATCTGTTGGAAAAAGACGAAGAGGAAGATCAACGTGATCCAGAGGAGCTTCAAGATCAGGCGATCGTACTGAGGATTCAAGATCGGGAAATAATAGGGCCAAGATCTGCTTTTGAGTACGGAAAATCTGATCCAATCACGTGGAACGTGTCTTTCTCTGCGCGAGTAAACAGGAGAACGGAAAAGGAGATTGAATTGGAGAACAAAGGAAATCGTGTAATTATTTATGAATGGCGAAACGGGGCTTCTGGGCCGACGACAATACGTATGAAGAGACGACTGAGTCCTTTTTACTTCAATAAGACGAAAGGGGTGATTCCACCTGGGCAGATAGTTAAATTGCAGTTTTGGTACCGACCTCGAACATTAGGTGTTTTCTCGGAACTTTGGAGATTTAAAACTGATCCCGATTTGTGTCCGTCCCCATTAATATTCCGACTTTCTGGTTGTGCCGAAAGTCCAGCAAATATTCTGACCTATGATCTTGTCGATGAGTACTTGGACCATTGTATTCGTGATACCACGATACGGGAGGTAATTAACGAAATAATGGAGGACATGTATTCTGTTCAAATACCAGGACCTTGCTATGGGTCTCTATTTCTAGAATCGGAGATATTCTTAGCAAAAAATCCATTATGCTTTTATCATCCGAGTATTATTACGGAATTTCATAAAATATACTACAGCGCAACGAACCAAAAGGAACTGCGTTGGAATTTATGCGTGGAAGATCTCCGACAGACGTTATTAACAATTAAACAGCCAGAACTTAGGCATCCTATGCTGTTGCAATTCAGTCAGCTTTATAAAGAATGTCTGAAACCCAGCTTATGTGTACCCAGTCAATACACCAAACACGAAATGGTATACAATTTGTTGTGCTCGTTTTTTAACCGTTTCGAATTCGAAAGCGAGTACGCTAAAACTGCTTGTTTCATGAAACAATCTACAGAATCTGTTCTCGTAGGGCCAGAAATAAATAATATAAAGCCAACAGCGTTTCAGGGATCTGTTAGAAGCAATATATCGCGTAACAAACGTGGACGAAACTCAAGTTCTCGCGTGCCAATTATTCAGGTTCATGAAACTTCCAAAAAGTCTTACACTGTAACGAACGATCGTCCATACAAGGAAATATTTTTTATTCGTATTTATGAATTTTTTGATACGACAGTAGAACGGGTATTTGCGACAATTGACTCGTTTAATAATCTGAACGAACTTGATAAATAAGGAATTAAAAGCTGTCTATATACGGTAAAGCTTACTGTACTGGGCTGTGCTTCAGGATTACTGCGACAGAATTGAGATGTCTGTGTCATCTTACAATTGGGGGATGTAAGTATGTATAGCCGACGGGCGTAATAGTGTGTCCTCATAAAATTAAGATACCTAGAAGTGGCCTGAATTTTAGGATGCAAACGTCATTTCGGAATTGATATTTAAAACTTCTGCTTATAATATTTCATCAAAGGTGAGCGGTATTTAGCCTCTGCTGCCTCCTACTCAAAGTAATTACTGTATTGGTAAAAATTAAACTGCAGGCAATCCATTCCGAATTGACATTGCAGGGTCCTAAAGATGCTTGAACGTCTCAAATTATAGTTTCAGCTACCGAAACGGGGGTACCTTTACAATTTAATGGCTTTACGAGGACATAAAATGGTGCCCATCGACTGTACATTTGATGGGAACGATACAGTATATAGCTGCTTCAAAGATATAGCGTCAGCCATAAACGTGGTCGACCCTTAAACCATTAGTACTCGATCATCGGGAGCCCATTGTGTCCCATCGCACTCAGGTCATATGCAACTTTCAGCTATGGGGTTCCAAAGAACAAAACGAAAAAGACTGGAAGATTTGAAAGAAATTACGTTTTCATTAGCTTTCATCAAGAATAAAAGGGATAGAAGTATTTTAAATCTGAAATTAGTACGCTATAATAACTTGTTTAATTGCATTAAAACAGAAAACCAATCCCAAATTGACGCCTTACACCTTTGAACGATGGTCGAGCACAGTTTTTACACCTCAAGGGTATCGAGTGACAGGATTCGGCTGCTGAAACACAAACTTTAGGGTCGGTCGGGTTTATGGTTAACGCTATATCTTTGAAGCAACTATATTTCAGGCTTGCTCAACATGTGGACCACGGGACACATCGATCCGCGCCCCTAACGGCCGACTGTTTCTGTCGTAGAGGAATTACCCCCTCTACACCCACATGACGGCATACAGTCTATGTCACGATTGGCGTGCGGGACGGTGCAGAAATAAGAAGGCGCGTGCGCGTGCTCGGACCGTTGTGTCTCGTCTACCGATCGCTAAACAGCACAACTGATCGTGACTAGTAAACGGATTGCACGAAAGGCCGGTAGGGGCGCTGGACAATTCGGCCCGCGGAACACACATTGGGCAAGTTTGGTTTATACTTTATACACGGTAGTAGTGCTTTAGCGAACGAGGACACCGAATAATTTTACAACTAAACTTTGTTCCACGTAAGAACAACCTTACGCTCGGACGAGTTTTCGACCGATCTGTGCAGTCTCCACTACTGCCGACCGATTTGGACGCATGTGTTCGTAGCTCGCTATCTTTACCGGTCTCTTACCAATTAACGGTACATGTATACATACAGGGTGTAACAAAAACGTTGTCCGACCCGGAAATGGGGCACTCAGGAGGTGAATTAGAACAAGTTTTTCCTTAGCAACAATGTAATCTGAGGCTTCGTTTCCGAGATATTAACGAAAAACCCCGACCAATCAGAGCGCGAGTTTGCAACCCCGAGTGTCCCATTTTCGGGTCGGACAACATTTTTGTTACACCCTGTATAGCCCAAAGGCATGGCGTCCCCGACGCCAACGAAAACAGTGCACAAGTGACGGTTTAGACGTTGTAACGCCCTCTTAGATCCGTCACAGCGTGAAATGGGGTTATTCTTACGTCAGACAAAATTTAGACAAATTGTGGTGAATCGAACGCCTGTTGACGAAACTACGGTCAGATATACTACGGCCTTGACTGCGGTTTCTAAAGCAGTATCACCAGGTATAGATGTAGAGTAGACCCTTAACAAGCGGCTCCTGTTCATGGCTAGTTTGAACACTAAAAAACAAATTGTTTTAGTGGAATAATGAGAATAGTGGTAAAACGTAACGGAAATAGAGGATACTCAACTGGAAATTATTTATTATTACCATGCATTATTTATTTATTTTTTTTTGTTATTGAAAATTTCAAGCTACGTTCACGATACCTCATAGCTACGGTGGGTGATCATTTTGAAAACATGATAAATTAATGTCCCTTTATAAAGTAATTTGTTTTATATTTGCCTATGGTCGGTACAGAATGGTTGATAAAAACTAGTCAAAGATATTCATTGGGTAATATTACTTTTAAGACACTGCTAAATATATTTTTCTACACTTTAAGGGTTGCGTGTTTCGTCGATTCGACTTTATAGGCTGCCCATCTTTGTTCCTTAGTTTCCGGAATTCATTGATCTGTCGATTCGTAATTGTTAATGTAATTAAAATTGATTAACACTATACTGTACTTACTTCGCTACATTGTATTGGATTAACTACAGGGAAAACGATTAAAGTAGCGCATTCAGGACATTCAGAAACATTATATGATCCTGAATATGTATAGTATCTACTGCAGTATGTGGCACTCCGCATAAATGACAGAGAGTCTAGAACAAACACAAAGACTATGTGTTATTTTTTTATAGTAGACATTGTCTAGTACTAGTGTACATCCATAAGCACTTTTTAATTCTGAGGTATTGTTAATTCACTGCAAATTGCAAGTTTTATTTATTGTAATATAATCTGAATAAATAAATGAAACTCAAAGTGCATACATTAATTTCTGAAGAGGTTATATAATTTCTTAATAATACAATTCTTATAAAATGTATCTCATTATTGATATTATTGTTCATACATACTGGGTGGTATTTTAGTTTCCGAATCCGCTTCAACAACGAACTTCAACCTTTCTGTTATTCTTTCCATTTGCGGATTAACACACACGCAGCAAGCTGGCTGCACCTTTTATAATACATGCTTGTATTTACAAGTAGCAATAAATGGGTTGAAATTGTACAGGGTGGACCACATAAATATTCTCGTTATTTGTACGTAATTCAAATTTCTGAATTTCAGAGAAATTATGTACTCTGGACATAATTGAAATATACTGAATTATACGTTTACGAGTTAAGAGCTGTTCAGATGAAAATATCTCAAGGTTAAATGATGGGAACGGTATGGTTATTAAGGTACTTGAAATGGTTTTTTATGCCCTTTAAGAATATTGGTAAAATATAAGATTCCGATTAAGAAAATATCAGTGATCTTAAAATTGTTTTAAAAACTACTATAATGTTTAAAGATAGGAAATGTTTGTGTGCTTTTTAATGCTTAAAGATACTAAATTGTTAAAAGATATTTCTTGGATACGACAGTTTATAAACAAGGGATATTTTTCGGAAATGTTTCAATGTTTACATCAATGGAATCCTACTAGAGTACGGGAAGCACGAACATCGTTTTCGTACGTTAAGATATGCTTGTTGCAGTATAACTCCAGCGAAGGTCATTTGGAGGTTAACATATTATACATGGTTGAATTTGTCTTTTCATTGGATACAATATTACACTAATCAGAATACCTTATCCCGTTTAAAAAAACGACGATGACCTTGAAATATCGGAAAATATGACCTTGAGAAAGACATCTTCCATGTAACAATAATTGTCCTACTGAAGCAAACATTTCTTCCCTTACTCATTTTCTCGTATCATTAAAACCAACGGAAATATTTCAGGTGAAATTCTTAGGTGACTCACCCTGTATAATGACAATATATAATTTGTCTAGAAAGTTCCCGGAATAATTCAATAAAAACATCAATTTTGCACCTAAACAAATTTCATTAATTTAATTCTCTACAACGGCGTATCTTTCAATGCACAATTTGCAGCGTTCTCAAAGTCATTCAAAAACCGTAGGGAAATCATTTTTCGGGATGATTTTTACACAGCTCGCTACGGTTCTTTGAATTTCCCAAATAGATTTTTTGAATTAAATAGAAGTCTGCTGGTTTATTCCCAGGAGTCAAATTTCTGATGAAGAAGAAACGATATGAGTGAATTTTAGAAATTCAAAGAACCGTAACTAGCTATTTGAAGGCCATCCTAAAGAATGATTTCCATAGGGTTTTTGAAGGACTTCTGGAAGGTTGAAAGTTGTACATATACTAACAAAAGAAGCGTTCACGTCGAGAATTGAATTAATAAAATTTGTGTATAAGTGACATGTTTTTTATTGAACCATTCCGGGAGCTTTTCGAGCAAACCATGTACACGTGTTATCAATACTCCATACTAGGAACAAATACGCCAAAATGCATAGTCCGTCTTTATGCCTGTAACATTCTTCTTGCGTTATGTACTTTCTATTCCAATGTACCGCGTGGCATTCCATCGAATACCTGAGCAACATAATATTTTTGTAAGAAACGTATTATAGTGACATCACGTGTTTTAAGTGATTAAAAATTTACAAATGTATTGATCTTTTACCAAGTGCCATTGATCGTGTGTTCAGCGCCCATGCAATTATCTTCACCCCAATGGAAATGCACATCACAGAATTCGTACACATCATTTGCGAGTGGTCCACCAGAAACCGTAGATGGAATTCGGTCTCCGGTTAAAATTATCTTCGCTAAATATTAAGAAAATATGTTAGACAAGACACTTCACGTTGATGGAATATTTAAATATTATTATTAACTCTTGTAATACTGATGGATCCTGCAATCACCCAGAAGAGGGTATTTGGATTTACTTGGACTCATGGCATTTTCACTTGTATTTGGAATTTAATTTTTATTTTTAGGACGAATATTAAGACCAGTTTTGTTGACGAGATCATTTTGTGAAGTACTGAATAGTAAATGGCAAAATATGCTAGCCCTCCACAGCTATGCAGAACGATAAAAGAAAAGTTCTAAGACTTTCGTGGCTTATAGTATTCACCGAGAGGAGTAACAAATGCCTAATCACCGTAGGTCCTAAAATCAATCCTTTCAAAGAAAAATATGAAAGTTTGTTTTTTCATCCGTTACAGATCTTGCACATGTCTTCCTTTTATTTCATCCGTATCTCGGATTGCTGGTCGCCATATCCTGAATTAATGTATCTCCAAATCGATTTTGCTGTTTACATTCAATATTGTTCCGAAGAGATTTACTTGCGATATCGAACGCTCGTAAATGTAAAAGTTAATTTTACATCGAAGGATTTTAGAACCTATGTTGATTAGACAGTTTTTACTCCTTCGATGAACTCTGAATTATTTATTGTTTTTCGTAACATTAAGGAAGCAAATCTTTCATCGTGAATTTTTCATTGGATTAATTTATTTCTTTTTCTGTGGAAGTATTTGTTCTATTGTCACCCATACAAGTGGAAACTTAAAATTATTAAATGTATCAATAAGTAATTCATTATGCTTGTAATAACGTTATGATAGAATTTGAATTTAGAATATTTGTTCGATCTTTTGTTCAGTGATAATGACAGAGGCTGTTGGAAACACATACCAAATATTGTTAAGGTAGCATCAATGTTTGAGTTCATTCGAAACAAACATAGAAGTTAACGAAAAATAGTGCATTACTTATTGGCACACCTAATACATCGGAATCAAAGTGGTTAATTTATAAAATATTGAATATTTCTTACATTACCTACGTGTCCACTATTCATCAAACGTGCTTCGCCGTCCTGCAACCAATGGCCATTCAGAACCAAAGGAGGATACCTGCGTGGCCGTGTTATTCTGTCGTCTAAATCAATTGGTGATTGTCCTGTTGATGGTAATCCTTAAAAGAGATTCATAAATATTTTTTATACGCATCTCATAACCTGATAAAATATTTAGAACTCCATTTGACTGAGTACCAATTAAACCGTTGTATCCTAACATTTTTACAGTACGGACAGAACATTTATCGAAACGAAACGTACAGACACATGACTTGAGAATTTATTTTTTCCTGGAGAATGACATGATGAAAGTGTATTGTGTATATATGTTAAATAATAGTGGGTTATGTTTCAGTGTGACATTTGAGAGGCAAATAAATAGTTGAGTGTGACTCTTCCTATATTTATTATAAGACTTTGAACGGTGCTAAGAATACGCAATAGAGTATTCACAGTTAGGAATATATACGGATATTATACTTAGGTATTCCCGACTTGGTTATAACTGTAAAACACACTATTACAATTAATGGAATAGTTTTTTAAAGATTTAGACAATTATTTTTAACTTCAGAAATTTGTTACTCTACAGATATTGAACATATTAAAATGTTTATTTGTTGTTTTAAAGGTAATTTTCATTATGCAACTGCGCTATCGGTGGCAAAGAAAATTCTTCTTCTGTGAATGTTCTGTTGCGGTCTTCGATTTTCTAATATATTTTCTGATCTAATATTGCGAAGAGCTCTAAATGCATCCATCTGTATGGAAAAATAAAATAAAATGCTGAATAATAGTGATCATAAGATTATATGGGTTATATGTATCTCTATATGTATATGTATATATGAATAGAGAAAAAGTATTGCATTAAATAATACCTGACGAAGCGATATCTTCGTCACAGTCGATGCAATTATCCAAATAACGCATTCACTGTACGGGTGCGTTGTAAGGGAACCAGGATAAACGTAATACCCGTGTCCCAGACAGGCTTCCAGCATCCAAGCCAGACAATTCGCTAAGAAACATTTTAAAGCGTTATTAATAAGGGGAACTTTTTCATGTAGTAATATATAATACATTTAATATTATTATACATATAATTAATTTGAAAACCCAGTAATTTAACGCTCGTACACTGTCCAATCACTGTCTAATAAACTATTGCATTACAACTCCTTGAATTAAATTGGGCCTGAATTAAAATTGAATTAAGGAAATATACTTGACGATCGCTAGATTATAATATGTGTATCAAACATAGCCTTTGGGTCAAATTGACCCGAAAAGTGTACGAGGGTTGAAAAATTTATATATATGTAATAGAAAACGCAGTTCTAATAATAATCTCCACCGTGTGACTTGATACACTGGTATCAAGAAAATAACATTCTTTTTGTTTTTCCTTTCGCTCCGTCATTTCTTTTTTCATGTAATTTTTCTGATGCAAGTTTTGAATATTCGTTCTTCTTTTTCAATTAATACGATCAATTAAATTTGAAGCTTATGAAAAAAGTTAATTCCACTAGTGAAGGTTCATTTATCGGTAAAAGAAACGTGAATTAATTATATGCATCATGTTTTTAAAAAAAAATTTGTTTACTTGGTGGAATTTCAGTGTTGCTGCCCATTCTTTTAATCTTGCACAAATTGTCCGTAATCGGCTTAAGAGAAGGATTATCCGGGATTCCAGGACATCCGACGACCTATTGGAACACACATTATCCAGAAATCGATTGGATTAACTATTACCTCGATTCCTACTTGCATGAGGTACGAGAGTATTGCGATTCCATCTGGTTTATCGAAACATCTTTCCATAGTTCCATAACGAATATTCCAATGCATTACTTGTGCTTCCATGGAGTACCTGTATCGAGCGAATTCTATGGAATATTCAGCGGTATGACTACGATATATTGGTTCAAGATGTATCGTCTAACCAAATACCATCCACAGAGTGTTCAGCGCCAAGTGAATTTTCAACACCCCAACGGAATTGCACATTCATAAACTGATACGTGTCGTTGCCCAAAGGACCACCTGTCATGGTGGGCAATCTTCTATTTGCAAATTCAACGCTGACTGAAAATTAATTAATGCGGTGTAATGTTATTTCATTGTTACACACGCGTTAGATATTTGAAATTACTCTACTTCTAAACGGTTTGTCAAGTTGAACTCAAAACAATAATTTTAATCAGAATTTCACTGTAATGACTGAAAATATTCAAAGAGAACCTGTTTTGCCTGTATTCGTTATTATAGCTGCACTTTCGTCTGACCAATAATTCGTTAAATATAACGACGGAAATTTTTTAGGCCACGTGGCTGTTCTGGTCAAGTCAATCGGTGATTGTCGCCATTTAGGTAAGCCCGAAGATGACGTTGAAATGAAACCAGAAGGCTTAAACGTTTTTGCAACTAATAGACCAATGTAAATATATTGGAAATCTCAAAATACCATTGATATAGATAATAAGAATAACCTGTTCCCTTGTACTAACCTACCCTTTTAGTTTTTTTGCTTGTTCTTCTTGCCATTCTTTCTTTGATTGGTACTTCAACTATCAGGAATTCCTTTCATTAATTTTATAGAATATCGAAAGCGTTACAAATTGTTACAGCCACGAAGCCGAAATAAATACTAAAATTGAGTATTACATTGAAGGTTACATCTTTGAAACCTTGCAATGAAGGTTGTTGCGCACCGTCAATCGTATAATAACATTTTACGTTATTTAAAATATCGAAATTTCGTTCGAGTTATTGTTAGATACATCAAGAATATACTGCGAATTTTATACAATCATTCCATGTATCTAGGAATCCATATGCGACGCCAGAAACATAAAAAATGCAAAAAGTAGAATTAAAGAACAAGTTCAATAAACATAAATAAAGTTTTATTTCAGCTTCGAGTGCTAAACTTTTTAAATTTCAATAATAACGTTTCCAACAATAAAATTACAACTAATTTCCTTTGTTAAATTGTAAATTTTATACACTCATGGTATATACAAGACAAATGTATAAGAACACAGTAACATAAATAAAGAAATAATAAAATTCAAAAATTTTTCCCTAGATAATAAATCGCATCATAGATTAAATGACTTTTTCATTAGTGCAAGCTTTTCTGATATGACCAATAAAAATCGGAATTTCTACAAACTTCCTCAGTCTGAAGCTGCAAGTAAAAAGTCGATGCTTTTGGTACAATTTTATATTTAACAGACCTCCTTTGTACACTAGAGTTTCACTAAACGTTGTATACATAATTTGATGTATATGTTATGGACCAAGTGATTAATAGGTCACTATTTATAATACCCGGTCATTATAAGTAATGGCTAAAACGGCCGTGCAGCTTGATAAATATTGATTGATTTATTAAGTTGATCAGACATTATGAATAACGCTACAATCCTTCTGGGAAATTTGATTTGACACTCTGAATGACTTTTTCTTGAACTGTTTTTAATCAACTCCGAAATAGGTATGCGTGGAAACACAAAATAACTGTCTCTAACCAACTCTGAGTGACTTTTTTCGTTGAACTGTCTAACCAACTCGGATCAGTATAATGCTTCAGAGTTGCTTACAGACAGTTATTTTACGTGTTTCCACGCATATCTATTTCGGAGTTAAGTAGAGACAGTTCAAGAGAAAAGGTATCATTATTATCATTTTGTCCGACCAGACGATAGAAATACCTTATTGACTGGTTAACGTGATATATCATGATAGACAACGTGAAATTTGTTACAGTGCTTGATTTTGCTTGCCATTATTCATAATGGTCAGGCATTATGAATAATTTCCGTATTAATTGGTCTATAACATATGTATTATTTAGAAAACTATACTTGACAATCTACACAATGTCTATAATTTCTTATACAGACAAGTATGATTTAGTTTACGTAGTAAATTGTCCGACCACTTAAATCTTGTATTTCCCGATAATTTTCTGTTATGCGGGCGCCATGCTTGTTGCATATCATTCGGAATAAATTCGCTTGGTTTTCGGATATCCGGACTGCTTCCGGGAAAACAATCCAGGTGGCATTCTCGTAGAACGGAAAAGTTGTCATCGATCCTAAATAATTGTAGTAACCTGGTGTTTGACATGCTTGTCGCATCCAGCCCAAAGAATCTACAACAGATGAAATAAAATACAGTCGAATATTTTACTGAAATCACACAATTAATTAATCTTAATCTATTATATTTAAGAAGACTTGAAAACCTCATCATCCAGTAAAAAGAGATTTTATACCTGCATGAATTTATTGTAAAAATATTGTATTTGGTATAATATAATAATAATCAATCTACTAAAAAAGTTAGCTGATACTGATCCAATGAAATTGTTAAATGTGAATAGATTAACAACCGTTATTTCTTTTTATGCACAATACACAGAGAGTACTGTCCGTGAAAGAGCTTTCGTGGAGCGGGACCCCCGACTGATTTTACAACTAGGAACTTTGTGGGTGACCGAAGGCCCATTGGTGAAACTGCAGTCAGGGCCGTGCGTATCTTACAGAAGTACATTTACTTTACATCTGAGGCCCCTCTCATCTCGTGCTCAATAATATGTAATTTACGTATTAATAAAGGGTAACATATAGTTGTCAAAGATTAGGAAATATACAGGGTGTAAAAAAATGTTGTCCGACCCGGAAATAGGGCACTCGGGGGGTGAATTGGAACAAGTTTTTCCTTAGCAACAATGTAATCTGAGGCTTCGTTACCGAGATATTAACGAAAAACCCCGACCAATCAGAGCGCGCGTTTGCCAGCCGATTTCCCGCGGTAACGCTGCCTACCAGTCGCAGCGCGTAGCCACCACTAGCGCAGGAACTCAGCTGGCAAACTCGTGCTCTGATTGGTCGGGGTTTTTCGTTAATATCTCGGTAACGAAGCCTCAGATTACATTGTTTCTAAGGAAAAACTTGTTCCAATTCACCCCCGAGTGCCCCATTTCCGGGTCGGACAACATTTTTGTTACACCCTGTATAAACTTCTTCCGTGAATGTTGTAAGTTAAACATTCGTTTACGACGAATATGTATTTGCACGAATATAATAACAATTCTAGAATGACAAATTAGTCTCTTTCAATCTTGAAAGGTAGATGACGTGTTATAAAACCGGAATTTGCGAAGGGAAAGTTCAAAATTAATTGTAACGGGTTGGAGACCGACGAGTCAGAATCTAGAGGAAATTTCGGGTTTTTATTAGATCACCATGCACCTTGGATAATCCAGGTATGGCCTCCCTCTCTCCGACCCTCTCTCTCGCTCTCTCACTCTCGTTAATTGATTACTTTGAATTTTTCGTAACAGCCAATCATTTGTATAACTTATTTTCAAAATTGTATGCTGTACCAAAATTTTGTTAAATGTATCAAAAAGAACCAGAGTAAGTATATTGGAATACAGATTAACCAGGTTAAATATACCAGAAGAAACAGTTCCGTGATGACATTCCACGGCCCTGAACGAAGTTTGAGTACCATAAAAGTCTCACATTACGGGTTTTATGGCCAAACCTACTGCCTAGTTGTAAAATCAGTCGGGGGACCCGCTCCACGAAAGCTGTTTCACCGACAGTAAATTGAATGAGAAAAAGATTTGGATCAGTTTGAAATTAATTCGTGTATTGAGGATACTAAACATATCTTGATTGAATGAACATACACTTTGTCGTATACCCCAGGATGGGGTCAATTGATTGTTCTAACATTCATATACTCACGAGTATCGCCTATCGTAACCCAAGTATTAAATAAATAATTCTAATATTTCTTGACGAAAGAATTAACTTGTGGTATAAACTCAATATATTAGTCTTAATCGTGAAACATAATTATAGAATTAGTTTCCTATGAACGATAGCGGTTATAAATTTTCTTAAAATGTTTTCGACCCTCTAAAGACCGACCATCTAACAGCAACGCAGAGCCATTACTTCGTTAGTTCTGAATCAAACTGAATTTTTAAAATTACATAAGCTTTAGCTTATAAAATTTAAATGTTTTATTGTATTTCTTGTACATGAAAAGACGAATGTGTCTGTAAATCATAAATGGACTGCCTTCATTTATTAAGGAAATATTAAAATATATACATACATGTAACATTGTATATGCAGATATAGCCTATTAACGATAAGTTTTACTGTTTCATTGCTATACTAATTATTGGTTTTTCAACAATATTGGAAGTTACGACTTAGACGTAGTTAATGATGGGTCAGAACAGATGCGGTATCGGCTGGACGAATGTTAATGTTTTGCTGCTAAGAAGTAGAGATGTATAATATGGTGGAAATTTGATAAAATCGAAAGATATTTAATTATAAGCATACTTCCTGGTAATTGCGTGTTTGATTCAGCTTGTATGATATTGTACAAGTTGTCTGTAATCTTCGAAAACAATGGATGCTCGTCCCAGAGTGGCAATTGATATGCTTGTAAAAAGTATGAGCAGATGGCGAACCCATCTTTCTTCTGCCAACAATTCTGAATGTTCTCGTACTTCTTGTTAAAATGTATCGCTTGTGCCTCCATTGTGAACCACGTCCCATTTAGAGTATGTTCCGCGCCCTTGCAGTTTGAAGAACCCCATCGAAACACCACTTCTGCCAACTCGTGTACATCGTCTGACAGTGGACCACCTCGTATCGTAGCTGGGCCCCTTTTTCCATCCAGAGTTATTTGAACTGACAAATATTTAGAAATGTCAAAACACAGTCAGAGTTTTATGAACAGTATTGTACCACCTGATATATTTTTCATTGAAAATCTGTTACCAGATTCTTTACAACAATAGAACGTAAATTATCCGAGGATTAATTCTCTAATGATTTAAATAATATGCTTAATATCTTATACATGTTTCTTTTAATACAAGTATAGATTTTTATGAACTAACGTATACATAATAGAATTAAATAGTAACTTTTTTACTATATTAAGGTTTCTATCAGATTCCAAATAAAATGAAGACTGTATTAATCTTTATTAAACTTTTTAACGCACTTATTGTTAGTTTCAAGTATGTAGTCATATATATGAGCTAAAATTTTATAGGAAAAGGATAAGTATTTTCTATGATTGTAGTTTATCTTCTGAAATTTCAAGACAAATTTTAAAGTTTTCTGAAAAAAATTCATGTCTTTTTCAATTGACCGTTTAGCTGGAATGTAGATTATAAATCGGCTCGAAATATAAAAATTTTTTTCGCGTAACAAAAATGCATCTGATGAAATAATATTGTAATTGATTACTTTCACAATGTACTTTTATCCATAAATGTACAAGTATCTATATGAATACCGGATCAAAGGCATTGCTGAATAACTTTTTAAAATGAAAAACACGTATTATACATAGATAACATTTACTTCAAAAGTTCGAACCACGTTATAGTGAAACTCGTATCATTAAAAATTGTGTTATGCAAGCTATTACTGAATTTTATATATTTAAAGAATATATGAATAGGTGGATCAGTTATTAAAGATAGTACTCACTGCAAGTTACAAACAAAATTCGATCACCTCTATAAAATATATATTTTGTAAATATAATTTTCTATCTATAATATATATAGATTATATTTTGCATATATATATATAAAATTATATTTTTTCCCTCTAACCCGTAAGTATGTACTTTCTACGATATCCATGTTAATTCTCAAGCGAGTACATCTTCGGAAGTAGCGTAGATGAACACGTAAACACAGTAATATAGTAATGTAAGTCAAACTTTTGTCAAGATGTTGAATTACCGGTGCTACCGGTATTCCGCATTCTTATTTCGCCATCTTGGTTCCAATGACCGCTCATGATGAGCGCAGGAAATTTTATTCCGATTGCATTGTCCTCGACGATATCGATTGGGGACTGGCCCCATTTTCGACCATCGCCTTAGGGGATAGAATGGAATTAATCATGTTCCTTGGTTAACTTTTCATCGAAGTAAAGAACAAACGTCTTACCTGCACACAGCATTTTATTGTACACCGTTTTAATTCAACCGTAACTTCTGTTTCCGAAAAACTTACTCTTCAAATCAAGTAGAGGATAAAATTCAAGGTTTCTCGCACATATTCAAATTTAGAGCTCGCTAAATTGTTACATGCTGACAGAATATTTATTAACTTCTGCCTAGATTCGAAGAATTATTATCAAATTTTACCTCTGAAGTTGCAGTTCAATACAATCATACTTCATCCTCTTGTTTCTTATCGCTTATTATACCTCGATTAAAAAGGAGGTTAGTAGAAAAAGTTATTAAAATTTACAAGTTCTTGTATAGAGGCAATTATTAAAACGCGTGTGTAATCAAATTACATTAACTTCTAACCGTGTCGAAATTCACGTAAGAAGATTAAAGATGTTAAACATTTCAGTATCGGAGTTTATGATATTATGTAGCAGTGTCCTTCTTGTTTGTAAGTGAATAATTAAACATATTAACAAAATCGAATAAATAAAATGTATTTTTCCGACGAACTATATAAATCTCGTCCCACGAAAGCAATTATACGAAATACAATACATAATACTAAATAGAAATTGGTTCATGAGAAAATATATTTGATCGCTCTCCACCTCGTTATTTGAATTTCTTCTATGGACTTTAAATTTTTCATCGCGTGTTAAAGTTTTGCTGCTCACCGAAATACTGGATTGGACGCAATTATTCCCGTGGGTGGAGAATGAATGCCATTTTCCCGGCTTCTCGTTCGGTTATTCGGATCAGAATGGTCCTCACAGGTGGAAAGTGTTGTATCCCGTCAGTAATGGCAGCAATCAGTCACCAATCAACATTACAACCCGGTTCGCTGTTGTTGTGCAACCGTCGGAACCACTTCGATGGACCGGATACAATACGGGCCCATTATCCATGACTGTAGGAAATAATGGAAATAATGGTGCAAATTTCTCTATTGATTTTCTAAAAATTACTATTCAAAAATTATTAGCCGATCATCAAACAAACACCCTTTGGAAGTATGTTCTGTGTTGTGAATGACGTTTCACTAACAACTTTTATTATGACTTTTCTTAAAGAAAAGGCTTACGTAATTTTGTAACGTAATAAACTTTTTTTATTTTCATTTAAACTTAATGTTCGATCTTCATGCATTCTTGATCCAATCAGATTTTTATTTTTTTAACACTACTACATATGAACAGCGAGTCCTTTTGAACCTAACCGCATTCTCATTGCTTGACACATATTCTGATGTCTGATGGAAATAAAAAGAAGTTTCTCTTTCCTCATCATTAGACTGCGGATCTTTATGCTAAATAATATTCTATAAAGTAATTAACAAAGAAAGAATTAAAAATGTATACGTTTTTACCTCATATTGGTGGTTAACAAAATGCCGATGGAAATCTTGTCTTCTATTGCATTTAATAATACAGAAATAAATAATACAATAATACAGAACTGAACGGAGGAATGTGACGAGGTAGCAGTTAATGGTGTATGATCTTACGAGGTGTTTCATAGATAAATAATCATACATTACCGACACGTTTCACAAATAAAATATTTAAAAATGTTCCAAAAAAAAAGTCTGGAAACGATTTATTAAACAGTTACAAGAAAACAATTCAACATAACGTCAACAGTGAATGTGTTGATACTCTACAAAGAGAAAATTGACGACGTTCATCAAATCTATTTATTTCAACTACATATATTTAATTACTTGAAATCATTGAAAATTTGTATTTTAATGTTACATCAATATAATTTGCTATTTAAAAATGGTATAACCTGTACTTAATGCAAAGTTCACATGGTTTTATTAGTTTTATGTTTAATATTTTCGTAGAATATTTTCTTTTGTTTCATACAGTGGAAATGTTTGATCATTTAAATGTGAACACCCGACAGCTTTTATATTAAGAAACCTTATGTATATATTATTACTAACGTCGCATCGTGTTATGTTCTATTCAGTGGTAGTACATACAATGTGGAACGCCTCAGCTCGACCGTATATCAAAGGAGGACCATTGAATGATACATACGATTTCTGTTCGATGGTGTTTCACTGGGGGCAGACTAACGAAGAAGGCAGCGAGCACACGTTAGATTATGTTCGGTATCCTATGGAGTTGCAAGTGTGTCACTTGAGCCGTGGATTTAAATCACCAATGGATGCAATTACTGCTGAAGAGGCTGATGGGATGCTGAACGTGTCATTCTTTTTCCAAGTTTGTATTTCATTACGTTTGTTCTTATACTTATTTAAACGAAATGTCGAAATTAATTAGTTGAAATCACACAGAGTGTTCACTGTAACGGGCGCGACGATTTTTCGGACATTTTCGATAATTATCAAATATCACGGAATTACGTTCATGTTCGACTATCGCGTTAATAAAAAATCTTATTAGATTTGAGAATGATTTTCTAAGCTAATTATTGAAAAAAAAACAACTTTGTTTTTCCGTTTGAAAGAGTGAATATGACCTTAATTACTCATTTAGGTGTTAATTATTAATTACTAATTTAAGAGGAAGTGTTTTAGCAACTTTTTATATTGCAGTTTGTTGCCTGTTGATCTTTAGTTCGTAACATTTTTTTGCTAAATTTTTGCAAATATATGAAAAATCGAGGCGATTACTACGATGAACACCCTGTAGATAAAATTAATCGTTATAAAGAAATAATTTGAAATACTCTGTTTCATATTATTCAGTAACAAGGAAATAATACCAAAATATACTTTTTTGACCGAGATATTACGTATGTATACGCAAGAGTTACAGTCGTCGTATTTATGTTGATATTTTGGTTCTATTTTACTTTGTTATCAGAAAATTCAACTTTTGCCTGAAAAATATTGAAAAGTTGTAAGAACTAGAGGAAATTATTTTAAATAACATATTATGTATGCAATTATTCAAGGGTAATAGGATTTTTATAATATTTAAAAAAAAGAAAACAATTTTCAACAAATCCAGGGAAAATGATTTGTAAATCTTTGTATTTATGCATTGTTATCCAATGCTAATTATTAACATTGGAAATCACGCGATGTCCACAGATCACAAATGCTGATAATCCTTACTTGGATCACATCGTAACAAATTTATGGCGAATCACTCAGCCAGGAATGAAGGTTCACATTCCACCCTTCCCTCTGGAATGGATTTTCTCAACCTTTGAGAAAAATTATTACACTTACAGTGGTTCACTCACTCAACCACCCTGTAGTGAAATAGTCACTTGGATCTTACACCCTGAACCAATCGCTATATCTGCGTCTCAAGTAACGAATTAACCCCAACACTAACTATTAATCACGAACGTTTGTTTCATAATTCAAAACATAAATATTTAATACAGGTTGCACAATTTCGCAAACTTCGATCATCGAATGGTCCTATATCCGTGAACTGCAGGCCTGTTCAACAAGTGAACGATCGTAACATCTACTTTTATGAATAGTCAAGTGACATCCATTTAGTGAAATGTTTGTGTATTATATTAAACTTATTAAATCGTGTCCAGTCATATACCGTATGTGAACATTGTCATGTTAAACTGCCTGTGTATGGAGTAATTTTTATGGAAATTGATCGAAGTGTAACATTCGTATGTTTAGTACCGTTTACTGGTAGCTTGATACGTATGAAATATCGTTTTTGACAGTTTGAATTTTAAGACTTAATAGCAGACGTTATTTGTGTAAATACGGATAAATATTTTTACATCGTGTTAAAGAAAAAGGAACACTTTTAAAAGGAGAATAGAAACAAGCTGCCACTAGTTGAATCAGGGATGACAATAAATTTTACCAAAATATAAAACTTTATTGTAGTATAATATATTTCTTATTCCACTACTCCTCGTCAGTGTGTTATTTTTTACGAGTTTAACTAATTTTTTACGATATAATTTTAAGCATAAAAAAGAAATGCCAGTAAAAAGATATTCATATAAAACGACCATTTCACGTATAATAATTTAATACGAACGCCAACATCATCGGAAGTGTCATGTAAATGTGAAATAAATATCCTGTACAGAGAGCAATGGTTTTATTATTTCTCCACTATATTCTACGAATGCGCGAAAACGGTTTCCAATAAAATTCTCATAAGAAAATAAAGGTATAACAAAGTTAGATTCGCTTATCGCAAGGTACATTTCACTTGGCACAAGTTATTGTAATAGATTTTTCGTCTTCGAGATTACTCACAAACATAAAAAACACCATTTTTCTTCGGTTTATATAGACAGCGGACGCTTGTGTCCGCTATTTTCTTTTTTTTCAAGCGATTGGTACTCGCAGCTATTAAACTTCTACCGCACACATATACATCGATATCGCGTACATTCATTCATCGACGGAGCTTTTTCTCACGTAAAAAATCCCAAGATAGTTTAGAACATATATGCGCGTGCCAATGTGTATAAATCGTTTGGTGACATGCAACGTTATTTCGCGCCACGAGTCGAGTGAGCGCTTCCAGAAAAGCAAGATGGTTTTGTCAGTTTGTTATTTTTTTTGCTCGCGCTTGACTGTTTCGATTTCTCAGTGAATCCTCGTCGTCGGTTCACGTATTTACAAATTATTTTGTACAGTGAGTGACTTTAATGTCTGTACAGAGACGTGCAGTTTTGTTCGGCATCGTGCTTTTTTATGTCGTTTACATCACGTTTGTTGTTTTTAATTGTAACGGAAATAAAGTGTTTCCTCTAACTTTATTGTTCATTCATGCGTATATGTAGACCAGATCTGTGAAATATAAATTATAAATAAGTACATTTCCATACAATGTTTTGTCTACGATAAATTCACTGTGTCTTGGAAGTTGAATAACAGATGAAAAAAGATGACAAACGATAACATATTGAATAATAAAAGAGAAGAAATATTGGTGGCTCGAATGCTATTATTAGACATATTATTGCAGTATTAGGTCTACCAATAAATAATTTAATTTTTATTTTTTAGAAACATTGTTTGAGTTTATTCCCTAATTCTTAATGACGAAGGATGGTGGAGGATGTGTATGATTAACACTAAGACAACACAGGCTATTAATTTTTTTCAAAGTAAATATTTTATTGGACCAAAAATAGTGCATTACTTATTGGTACGTCTAATATATGTTATACCACCATTAACACTGTTTCAAGTAAATTAACGTAAAATTATTTGAAGATGATGTGAGATTAAATAAATTTTTAATGATATTGAATAAAATTTTACGTTTCAAAAGCCCTAGATATATGTAAATATTTTTCTGTTGCTATAAAATAAGAGTATGGCAGGGGATATTATGAAGATGATAATTGAATTTTGACAAAAAATAATGCTGATAATGGTTAATTATTCAAACTTTAAACAGATATGAATTCATAAAAAAAAGGAAACAATTCTTCGACTTGTTTAAAGAAGCAATGGATAATATGAATGAATGAGTGCAAAAAGTGATTGATCAATGGAGTAGAAGAGGATGAAATGCGTGAGTTTAATTAGGGAATTCAGCTTAAAAATAAGAAATGGTTAAACGACACAATAGCATTATGCATACTTGGTAATGAACATAGATCTTGCAAGTAAAGCAGCAAGAAGTGGGTAAACTTCCTATGAAATCACGATATGAATGCGCGGATTTGTAGTAATATTTAATTAATTTACTCGCAGTAACATTGATTCATCTAAAATTTTTAAAATTTTATTGATTACATCATTCTTTCTGATGTCTTGATGGGTAGAAAGATTATGCTTATAATAATGCCTGAAATACATTCGATATAATTTCTTATTATTACAAAAGGATTGCATAACACGTCAGATTTTATGAAAACGTATAAAATCAAATAAACAAATTATATGACTTTAATATGTAATTTTTGTGCGTATAGTGGTGACAGCAGTCAGTCGACTGAGTTATCTAATCTGAATACAAAGGTTCTTACTTTTCCTTATTCAGTTATTGTAGTAGCTTATTATCTGTTGAAAGGAGGAAACAATTTATACCCCTTACAATTAACCGCGACACATAGGAAAGAAGTTAAAAATTTCTATTAAAACATTATAGAAAGTAAAGATCTTTTCCATATACCTTCGTCCACACACATACTCACATTAAAGTTACTCACGATACGTAAGAATTTATGATTTAGTTGCGACATTTTCGATGATGGCGCCGCGACGATGTTCCAATGTTTTCATGGTAAATTACATGGAAAATGATAACGTTATGGCAATCCTACGCGGAGCGAACACGAGTAACTTTTATATGTACATATTAAAAGATACATTTGTTCCAATTCGAATTGGCACCATATTTCGCAATGAAACACATTTAAGGGACGGGAATCGCTTATAAGGTTCTCGAGCAAGCACAGCTTTCTATTTTACAGTACAACTTCCATAACGATCGTGTCACCTTTAAATTAGAAGTAACGAAACCAGTGTTCTTGTTCGCTTACGAGAAACGTTTCGTAATTAACGAGTTTATTATCATCGGTGTCGTTGTTCCCTCAATCGAACGTTCCGATTATAAAATCGTCGAAATGGAACGGACGTAACGTTCGAGCGACCCGCTCGATTACCTCGCGAGTATAACGGGGAATCTCAGTCCACTTGCATGTCTCTTATCGTTCGGCAAAGGAACGCCGATGTTATTATACCGAATGTCTGAAACGTATACACATGTGATATCAGTTTTTCAAGGTTCGGGATCGAATGTGCTTCGATAACACGTACTTGTATACCAGCCATCGCCATCCCCAGAAATACTAATGTCAAACTCTCGCACTGCAGCCAACCGGTGACTTTACTGAGGCAACCCTATAAACATTTTTCATTACAAAACTAAATAAAATTGTTATTTTGGTAAAATAACAGTTTCGTTTACACAATTTTCTACGGGTAGTTTAGACATACTTTTGTTTACGTGTTACAAGATAAAAAGTAATTTTTTAATCAATTTTGTAGTGTCGTGAAATAACAGCTTCTAGAGCAGGCCAATCCAAACGTTACAGCGGGCCGCAATTTAGGTAAACATGCTTTTAAAAAATGTAATACAAATAGAAAATGAATAAAACTTTATTGTTATACTATGATTCAATATAATTAACTCTCGGGTCTTAATTAATGAGATATTTGTTTATCCTTTCTTTCACTTAATTTTTGTAAATCTATATTTACAGGCATCAATTAATGAAGCACGTGATGAACTCTTTGTAAATTTCATCTTCGAAAAAAATATTTCACAAACATATGTGGATCCAAAAGCACTTATAACTCGTTGCACAAAATATTTTACTAAGTGCAAAACGGATTCTATTAGTAACATTTGGCGTTCGTGGATATCAAATACAGAACTGGAGTTCGTAGTCGCACTTGCGCATTATAACAATGACACGTGCAAATTTTCATTTATTTAATATTTTTTGTATATATACTACGAGAAACAAAAGCTTCAATAGAAATATAAAATCACCTGGCGGACCGCATAATTTAACATGGCGGGCTGCGTGTTGGCCAGGCCTGTTCTAGAGCAAGCTTGGGAATTAACTGCTCTTTTCGGCCCATTTTCAGAAGCAACGTCCTCTTTTTCCCGCCGTGCGTTTTGACACCCTCGGCGGTCGTAGTGCTCGACGCACCTCAGGCGCGTATGTATAGGGTTTTATGTTAAACTATTTCAATGCTCTTTTAGCAAAGAACCAAGGTGAGGACAGTTTTTAGATTTTGTTCTGAATGACACTACAGTGAAAAATTGAGACCAATAAATATGTTTATTGTGAACTCTGGTATCGAACATATACGTATGCAGATTCTCAATCCACAGCGAATATTTTGTTGGAAACTATTATGTTGGGTTGTTCGGAAAGTCCGTAGTGTTTTTAAGGGCAGAGTTACAATCTATAGGTATTTGTTAATTCATATTATATTCCTACTTACTAGATTTTTACAAATTCTTTTCATTTTTTAATCAATTTCATCTTACCAGTAATATACAACATCGATCGCTTTGCTTGAAAAGCTGCTCAATCTAATTTTAGAGGGATTTTGTATTCGACATTTTTTTTTATTCGGAATATTCTAGTGATTTAAATGAATAATCATCTGATGGGGTGAAGTTCTATTAATTGGGTAGATCTTATAAAATTCTTCAGTCGAAGTAGTGTAATTTTTTCTACAAGCTTCATAGAACGTAATGAAAATGGTCCTTAATGAAATTCGTCAGTACTTCTCATAGAAAATAAAAAAATGACTTGTAACTTGTAAAGCAAATATATTCAATCCACATCTTGAATATAGTACTTGTTCACCAGATCAAACGATTTACAGATAATGAAGCCAGTCTCTGTTTGCTCGAAACGTTACGAACTTTCCGAGCGACCCAATAAGTTCATTGTTGTGGAAGGGTTACATTGGAAAAGTAATCGATACAATCTACAATCTAGAGCAAACGAAATATGAGGAACAGTTACGTTGAATACTGCATACTTTAATAAAAGAAAATATATTGCATTTATTCACATACACTATGTGTGAATATGTAATTCGAAACGAAATAAGTAATGCAATAAAATTTGGACTATTGTTTAGGCTCCTTCAGGTATACTAAGACCGTTCATAAAGTACTTCTCCCTATATTTTTCTTTAACACTGGACCTACCAACGTTGAATGTATGCTAAGGTAAATTGTGTGATATATTAATACGTGTAATATATAATACAATACAGCTTAGTATAGTGTAATACAAGGTACATAAACAATTAGAAGTTAACATAAATTCCCATGGAAATTCTCTAGGATTCGAGTAATTATAAAATAAAAACATCTGAAATCCGTCATTTTGACGGGTTCGATAGTTCTAGTGTTAACATACACTTTTTAATAATTGTTTCTGAAAATATAATTGTGGATGTATCTACATTCGCAGTCTTCTACTAATAGACGTATTAAATGATGCACTGATCAAAGTTTCGAATAGAGATTAACTGATTCTGGCAAAGCGGCACGAATGAAGTAATTCAGGAACATAAGGAAGTCAAGAAATGTAACCACTCGAGAGATGATAATTATTTTCGTATGTGAATTCCATAAATTTAAAATATATCAAATATCGATTAGACTATATTATACTTGGCGTTAAGACAATAGATTAGTAGGTAATGTTAGAGGATAATATTAACTGTACCCGTGTTACTAATGATATCTGTTTTAAAAGAATAGTTTACAAAAATCACAAATGAGATTTGTATCACGTTCACCTTTGCGTTTAATTTCAAATTTCCAAGCGTAACGGAACAAACAAATTTTAACCGATTTTTACCTAAATTTACTATCTGTTTTAATTTATTCCAAATAATCTTTAACTAGTTTCACTGCTGAAATAGTGTCTCATGACACTACTCACACAGAGGTGCACTCAATACTGCCTACCTTTTAGTGTAATATTTGCTACAGATGGAGACATGAAATTTATGAAGCTACAAAGCTGAACTTTGTTTACCCAGCATGTGAATGTGATCGTCCCTAAAAATAATATGTATTTAGTAATATAAATATTGTACTTCTTTAATTCTATAGTGACATTTTTCAAGCATAATCGCGTTAAAAAAAAGTTTGGCAAAAGAGCCATCAAGATACTCATGTGGTTAAAAATAATAATTACACATATACTTGTGACTTTAAAAGCCCATAAATACATGATTTAATCAATATTTTTTAGGTAGGTGATATTCTGTGCACTTTTTCACGGTTCTGTTTTTTGCTTGTTTTGTTTGTCGTGATTGAAAATCTTTACATTTTAGCAGTTCTAACCTGCCGTACATGAAACACAAACAATTTCCTTTTTTATCTGAGACTAATTAGATACAAAAGTATCCACTATCTTTCAAAGGAGAACGATTCGAATTTGGATTGGCCATATTAGGTGCGCTTACTCAATCGGTGGATCAATATTACATACTCACTGACCGATTGTAAGTAGAAAAGGAGGATATTAGTCAGCCACAGCATCGACTGGTACGATCAACTGGTAACGACTATTAATAATTTGCATTCATAAAACTGCAATTAACCACAGGAAGTCAATATATTTTTAAGTGAACCAAAGAGTACATTATTAAAAATTATTTATAGTTTCATGAAGAATTATAACATTAAAGTATAATCATACATAAAATGAATTATGGAATGTATAGTATGATGCGAAACTCGTTTACATTACGATAAAGTTGTTAAACTACTAATAAATGTACGTTGCTGTAACTGTATGCTATACAGGGTGTCCTAAAATAGGTGTAAGTCCTTGAAAGGGGTGATCCCTGGTTGTGATTTGAAACAACTTTTTTCTTAGCGAAAAAATTCTCTGAGGCTACATTAACGAGGTATTAACGAAAAACCTCGACCAATCAGAGCACGAGTTTGTTGGCTGAGTTCCCGTGGTAGTGCGTAGTCAACGTTACCGCAGAAGCTCAGCCATCAGACTCGCGCTTTGAATGGTCGGGAACTTCCTCGCGAAGGAAAAAGTTGTTTCAAATTATTCCAGAAATCACCCCTTTCAAGGACCTACAACTATTTTGGGACACCCTGTATTGATCAGAAATGGTTTACAGCAACCAATAAATAAAAGAAAAAGTGTAACCAAATATACCTACTGGGAAAATCTATATTATTACATCCATCGACCAAATACAAGTAGAAATAGCGAACAATAGTCAGACGCAACATCAACTGTACACCGAAGCCACGAGAACCAATGAAATTTTAAACTTTTTTTTTGGATAACGAAGTTGCACATGAAAAAAGAATATTATTTTATATTTTGGATCTACCCTTTTGTACAGAACCAGCGCTTTTTTGGATTGCATAGCCAATTGGTTGATAATCTGTATACAAAATGATATGTGAAAAGATTAAAAATGCACAAATAAATTCTATACGACATGGTATCAGGCAGAATACATATCAGTCTGTTTTCAAAATCCAGAGGAAATGTTCAATATGATCATCTCTAGCTTAAATACAGGTTTGAAGCTTCATCAGAATTTATTTGGTATATTCAAATGTTTCAGGTATCATACGTATTTAATGACAGCAAGTTCTAGACAAAGAACATATTGAACGAAATGGGAAAATGAAATGGGGATAGTTATGAAATAAATTTTATACGGGACACGAGTCTCGTTATTCTATTATGCTTTATATTCACTACTGGAATATCCGAAAATTTTTGGATATTTCATAAATCTGTATTGTAAAATATCTTCATCTAAGTCAATAAATATTAATTATCAAATATAAATTCTTGTTGTGGTTAACTTTACTTATCAATGCCCTTCTTATGGACTTTAAATGGTTTCCTTTCATTTGATATTTATAACTAGTAGATCCTAATTTTCCAAGTGACCAATTAGATACTTGATTTCAAATTTATAACTAAGACAAAAATGTGTAAGTTATATATTTAATACGAAGCTTTATTTTCGAGAAAATTTATTTAACTTCAATTTAGCTCATTTATCTGTTCATTACTGATTACTTTCGTCTACACTAACGCTCGTAAATATTAAGAATTTTTTTACTTTCCATTAATTTAAAATGATTATTTATTTTCTACAATAGTTTGGTATATTGTAACAATTAACATTAGTAGGCTAATATCGATGAACAGATATTGTTTTCAATGTTTATTATGTGGACTATAGAAATACTAACGAAAAATAATAAAGATGAAGGAAGGAGTGAATAATCGTATAAGTATGGTAAGACTGTAGAGAAAGGAATTCTTGATGAATTAACGTTTATGTGTAGAATCACTTGCGTGGTTCTTACTTAACAAATTTTCAGCGCCTGTAACTGTATATTTGTAGGTTACTTAAAGAACAGAACGAAGAATATTGTAGTCTTGCATTTCATATTCCAAGTCTTGCCATTTATCACGTGTGACATATAGGGTGTTTCTGAAATTATGGTACAACCAGAAGAGTGGCGATTCCTTATGCAAAAGTAAGTTGATAATATAAAATGAAATTTTTTAATATATGACTCCGTTGTCGAGAAAATCAAATTTGAATATTTATGTGTCCGTGCACGTGACTATTTAGCAACAATCTGCTTGGTTCAATAAAATCTGGCTATCCACAGCTACACTAACTATATTTTTTTTTCATACTTTTAAAGATCAGAAATTTATTAAAACAATTTATTAAACAGTTGGATCGGCCAAGACGAAAGTGGCCCCAGGATCACCAGATCTTACTTCTCTCGATTTTTGCTTTTGTCATATGCTTAAATTACATTACACAAACTAGTTTATTCTGAAGGTACGGAAAATCGTCTTGAATTAAAAGACAATATCATTCAGGCGGTTGAAGAGATGAAAAATTTGAACAAAGGATGACATTTTTAACAAATTTCTATTAATGAAATAAAAACACATTATTGCAAATTATACCAAATCTTGACTGATAGCTGGATTGGGTGAACGAAGCAGATTGTAGCTAGTCAAGTTAACGTAGGTATCTACCTATACTTAACGAAAGTACAAACTCGATTTTCTCAAATACGGAGACATATAAGAAAAATTTTCAATGTATATATATTTTCGATTTACTTTTACATGAGGACTCACCTCCTTTCGGGAACATGATATCATAAATCATCTATTTAATCTTAATTTAACACATTAAGCCACATTTATATGCAAACGAATAAAATACATTCTGGCCTAATGGGCCCCTATATTACTTTAGGTATTGTGTCCTTCATTCGGATTTGCCTTTTTTCTACACATTCGTCGAAAGCAACATAACTTTTTTTACATGATGACGGATAACATGTTAAAATAGGAAAATGTCAAATGTTCTTTTACATTCGGTGTATTAAATGATCATATAAATTGTAAATGATTGCGTATGTGAATAATTTATTTAAATATGTAAAAATATATAAAATTACACGATATTACTGATAATATTAAGAAACTTTATACGACTTATACAACTGAGACTACCAAGTAAGATTTCTCATTAAATTGAAGATAATGTAAATATTGTAGAATGGAATTTCCTACCTCTTTATGACGAAATCCATCATGTCCTTCTTTATCTTCCACTTGACACGCCGTCTCGTCCTTTGGTTTCGGATGTAACCATGGTTTCTCAGTCTTTCGTACAAACAAGAGAGAAGTTTAATGAACACGATGATTTTCAAACGTTGAAAGTAACTGAGTCACTTACATTTTTGTGAAACACCCTTGAGACGACGCTCATTGGACTTCCGGTATTTTTTACCTATCAGATAATGTTTTTATTATTAGTGCTATTAATGATTGTTATTTTATCTTCATGCCTGTTAAAACAAGAATTGAAATATATCTTGGGTTGATTAAAATCTACTGCCGGGTTTCTGCAGTTGTTAATTCTTTTTGTTGAATGAAACCAGTACTCCAAACTAATAAAATATTATGAAAGTTGGCACTTCAACGCGTTGTTTAAAAAACAATTATTACGATTGAGTGAAATTTTCTTGAATTGGCTTTGTTTTGAACATTTGTGGCGTGAAGGTTCACTTTCGAGTAATTATCCTTTTTTATTTTCGAAAAGGGAAAAACGCGGCACAAACAACAATGATTTCTTATGTGCACATAACCTGAAATAAAAAAACATAATTTCTCGAAAATACTTTATACCTTCTCGTGATTTATTTTTAAAACGAAGTCAGTCAAAATGATGTGTTGAAATGTCAGTTTCCAGAATGTATATATTTCATTAGTTAGGAACAGTAACTTGAATTGAAAAGCAAAAAAGGATCATTTACTACAAGAACCCATATTATTTTCTGGCCAACACAATATAAACAATGTGGTGGGAATGTATGTAATATACATATATTATTTGTTTCTAAATTCATTCGATGTTGGTAAAAAATGAGAAATTTGGTATAAATGTAAGTTTCAGTTATTTTTAATTCAAGCTATTGATTTGATTACTTTAATAATAATTTTATATTTTAAAATCGTCTAATTAAAATTAATTTCTTCCATCGTGAAAACTAATTTCAAATAGTAATTTCAAATATTAATGTTAATAAATAAGAATGAGAAATATATTATAAAAATTAGTAATATTGAACAGCCTTCCTTCATGTTTTACTAGAAATGTATAAACCTTTCGAAACCAAATCATTTCAAGGTTTGTTTTCTAATTGTTTTTATAGAAAACTTAGGAGTTGCTAATAATGAATATAATCAATATCAACTTAAGATTATATTTTAAACTGCGTCCAAACGATTCTCAATCGGTACTGTAATTCATTATGATTTTTAAATTAAAATGTAATAAATCGATCGGTTAAGATTAAAAACTAATTTTCATAGAACTGCCACGTGACAGTATGGTACTTTATAATTCTTACAGTTTTAATAAGTTGAAAGTAAAATGTTCTAGGTAAATGTCCCTTTTTTTAAAAATAGCATTCATATTTCCCTTATCGACCGCTTCTTTCTATTTCCTACCAGACGCGATAAATACATAACCGTCTTAAAAGTTGAAAATAAAAATCAGAACCTTAATAAAAATCAGAAATTTACTGCTAGTTTACTTTTACTTAATTTCTCGTTTAAAGACTCGCGTGTTACTTAAGAATCAGTTCAATTTCCATTTAAATTTTCTATCAGCATCCGTAAAAAGTACTCTTCTTTGAAAGATTATGTTCGTGGACCGTTCACTAATGAGATCATTTATTTTAATTACATTTCCAATATAAGTTACGCGTTTTTTTATAATGCCCGCCTTTATGGGGCTTTCGGCAGGTCCATTATGAGAGTTTTTAAAATATCCTCCGGAAGCGTACCTCGATATTTTTTAAAACGCAGCACGTGAGAGGGACCTGCCTTCTGTTCCCCGAAATTTGCGCGTCTCTCCACCAGGCCGTACCATTGTAGTCTCCGTAGCCATGTATTCCACAGCAATTAAACTGCAATGGAATCACCTATATGCTCTTCGGACCATCATAATATGCATGGATGGACGGTTCGCTGAGGGTGCTATTAGGCGTTATTCGTGCGGAAAATAAAATTTGCTATGTATTGCTATCGATCTTGCCATTTTGACCGTTCCATAGCTGGTCATGGCAAATCTACTTTTAAAAGAAATCGCTGGTTTTCGTGTATTCTAGTTCCTGTTTTTTTTTCGAAGAAGACTCCTGAGATGGGTAGTGGCTAGTTTGCGGCGTTGTTGCGTCGCAACGCGTATACAGTAGATTCGCGTTAAAGTAGCGGTGCAGGGCTCCCGATGCGTGTTTTTTCTGGAAATGCTACTTTAACGTGAGCCAATGGGCACGCAGGATCTCATGCCAGTTCGGTCGATCTACCAATTGGATCAGAACTTTGGTTATAGATGGCGACCGTGGGGTGTGCACACGTTCTTTTGTGACTAATGCGTGTAAGTTAGGGCGTTCCTACCGGTACTTTAACGCGAGTCTACTGTACAGCGTTTGTGTTTATCCTCACACCTCGCGTCTTGACCAATATTTTTCAACTGTTTAGACATGTGTCGCTACGTACCATCTATTTTTATCTCTTATACAGGGTGCCAAAAAAAAGGGTCTGTTAGGACTTTAGAGGTTTATATTACTCCGAGAAATGTAAGTAATAAATCCTTTCGGTGTAAAATCCACTTTCGCATTTACGAGTGTTCGATTTTGTAAGTGAGTCTGTTCGTGATATATTGAATGTAAACAAACAAAATGCATTGAAAGTACATTAATTCAAGGTTGTATGAGAACACCAGATCACTATTAATGTCGAGAAAGATTACTTGATCTATGTTGTACGTGGATCTATGATTCGCAGATGTGAGTTTTGCATTGAAATGGAAGGAAGGCATGTGGAATGTTTGTAACAAACGTGAAAATTGACTTCAGTATTTTTCAATATACTTTTGTTGCGAATAGTACGTATTGTTACGTATTGTAACATTTATTTTGTGCTTAATCTTCACTTTTTGTATTAGTTATTCAAGCAATACTTTGTCATTAGAACATTGTTTATTACAAACGAAAAGTGGGAGTACTGTTTTAACAGTAATGGCTTAAACTTCAGATAAAATCTCTTTTTTGGGTTCATTTGAACTGATCGAACATTAAAAGTTTATTACACGATTAAAACGGAAACGTTGTGCAAAGTTTTAAATGCCAAAATGTGAGGATTCATGGATAAACAAGGAAGTTGTTTTAGCGAGTTAGTGAGAGAGACGCTGTTGAGCTAATGGACAAAAAAAGGTACACGCTATGTTTTACAGTCTGGCAACGTAGCACGAATTACGCCGCGATCATTGGATTGGGTCCCCTCTATGGCACGTGCCAGCATGCGAGCACGCCTCAGGCGTCTTCGTTTGAAAAACAGACTTTAGGAGGTAAAAACATAGCGATGTAGTAAATCTATTTGCATAAAGAATCTCGTTTTGTGAAACCAGCAAGTAAAGATTCCTGAATTCAAAACCACATAAGGTGGTTAAAAAATGTTAAGAATTTAAATAAAAGGAAATTAATTTCGAAGGGAGATGCTTGCCACGGCACCGACATTGAGTGAGACATCAGTTCCTTACTGTCGTGGTACATTTCATTGATCGTCAGACTTAAACCTCCAGCGAACCACTGTTTATGACCCACCCACCATCCCCCACTCCTCTGGTTTACTATCTCTTTATGTCGTTACCTCCTAGTACATAAACTATAGAATGGAACATTGTACATGCATATCACAGTTAAAGTGTGACAAACAAGCTCTAAGAATAACTAATCGATCGCTATTATTACGACACAGTTAGGTGTACCTTATATTGTGCAAAGTCGAGACTATGGCTGAAAGGGATATCGCTGGTCGGTTCGTGGCCATAGTCGTCGGCCAATTTGCTAATTAGTCTCTCTTCTAACCCAGAAAGTATTCGAAAGGTCATCAGTCCACCGACCGCGGCAGTGACCAGCTCTGTGACGATCAGAGCTACAAGCATGCTCATGTACTGAATGAATAAAAATATATTAGTGAATTTGATCCAACAGGTGCATGTGTACGTTACTAAAAGAGATATAGCGAAATCCGTAAAATTACGAAATTTATCGGTCGAAAGTTATTAGTGCGGTGGGACCTAAGTGGGCCTTATCCTCGACGATGATAGGGTTCATACGTGTATTCACGGTGGTATAAATATAGTAATTTGTTTGGGATTTCTTCAAATAACCATATAAGTCTGGCATAGTATTGATTTTATCGAAATTTATACCAAATATTGTATTGTGGGAGAAAAAGAAATCGGCCAATCAAGTGTTGGACACTGCTTTGACACTGCTTTGACCAAGTAACAATTTTTTTGTAAACCATTTAGTTCTTTAATGTATAGAAGAAAATATGTTTCCCACTTTCAACTTCAAGAGCATTTTACAGACCCCTAGATATAGACAATTGTCGATGAAAGAATATATATGATGTCTCTGATGTCCCTGGTCAGCTACTCCTAATTTATATAACGCAAACTAAGATGGCCATCGCGTTCTATTGCCTTTGGTTCTGATTTTGAAAAGAAACAAATCTAAACATAAGAAACCCAAAACTGTTTGTGTTATTTCCTTGTATGGGGGATACATTTGATAATAGACACACATTAGATATCACTCTCACTAATACTTGGGTCTGTAAGATCATACCATTCATCGCTAATTCATTAAAAGATAGTGTTTCTGTCCATTCAACATATAATTTTCTTCAGATTTCGTTTTTTCTCGTAGAGAACAAAAAATCATGCTTTTACTATTAAGCAAAAAATTATTCTAAATTTGCTAGCTTTAAATAAATTTCAAAATAAACTTTACTCTAAAATCTAGATTCCTTAACATACCGTAATACAGACTGAACTTCGTCGCTAATGACCTATTGTGTAGTAATCGAAGTGACGTGAAAGAGAAGAATAAAAAAAATCATAAGTCTTCGTTATATCTCTTTTAGGCGTGCAACGTATATTAAGAACTCACGGTAGCTAGAATACATTGATTTCCGTGTAACGCGGCACGGCATCCGAAGAAACCGACCGTGAGCACCGTGAAACCGAGGCCCAATAAACTGTAAGCTATTAAGTTAATAGTCTCGTGTGGCGTGGCGTCAGGTACGAAAAGATTTAAGAGGTGCCCCTTGCTTGGCTCCAGCAGCAGCCATATTCCTATTACCAGTACCGTACACCCGGCCAACTATTCAACAATGTTTTTAACGTAACATTTATTAACGCTAAAACTACCAGCATTAAATGTATATTAAATGAAATTGTAATGTGTACTTGTAAATGTACACTAAGTAAATAAAGTATAATATGAAACGTAGAGTAAATTAAAAGTCAACAAAAACACCGCTAAAAACACTATGATAATTTCTTCAGTAATTCGGAAAATAAGAAATCTACAATCTGAGACGGGTCCGGTAGTTCTAGTGTTAAAAGCACTTACGATACAGGGGAAAATGATAGCACAGGTTGGATAGTGATTTATTTACACATTATTCAAGCTGTGAATTAACCATCTTCACTGAGGATCGTGTTATTATCAATACATAGAAGAAACATAATTTAACAACGTCTGAATTTCGAATATTTTAATAGCTGTACCAATGGGGAATTTAATATTTTCTGATAAGATACTAATATACAGGGTGATTCTGCTAAGTGTGCCACCTAAATTGCTTGTGAACTGTTTGTTATACGAAAGAATGTTTGAAACAAAAGTTGCGTAGTACCAAAAAGGCTATACGATGTGACTACTAGTTTACTGTTATTTCGTTTGTTACCGAGATTCGAAGGTCACCTTGAGATTTTTCATTGTAATGGGAAAAATTTGACTTTACAGTTGGAAATCTGTAAGATTTCCTGCTATCAAATATAAAACAATGAATACCCTAATGAAAATTTACTAAATTTTCGTATTATGTTTTTAACCGCTCAAAATTTTCACCAGGATATGTACATTTATATTTCATCCCTGTTTCCTTAAGAGACTCGTAAAACTTTAAGTCGTATGACAGTCTACAGTCGAGATATTATTAATTGTCTTTATTATTTTATTGTTAGTATTAATATTAGGTCTGTCAGAAAGATATGTTGTTTTTTCGAACCATGTTGATACTAAAATTAAGATTTTTATGTAAAAGGAATCGGTAAATTACCAAAAAGGTGTGTCACACCTTTTAGTAACATAAACAAGGTGTTACGAAAACTGACTTTTACGGAACTTCTTCGTTTCAAAATGTGTGAAATATTTTTCAATTTTAATATTGGTATCGTTGCTACTGAAATAATCGCTTTATAAACCTTTATGCCGCGTACCTGTAAATTTTGTACACGAGGATATGTAACTTCCCACTTTTTTTTATAAAACACTGTGCTTTATAGTACAGTAATTTTCGTTAAAATATACGATCAATACTGTACTGATTTATAAGCTCTGTTGATTTTAATGGAATATTCAAAAATATAACGAGTGCTATCATTTTATCCTCTTGTGTATAGACTGTTAAAAATGATAACAGAATTATAACAATAGATATCAAGTGTGTAAGGAAATGAAACAGCGTTTCAACAATTTCTACTGATTGAACGTCGATTACCGTGTCCGCATAAAATGATGTATTATAGATACGGATTTATTATTAAAAGGGAAATACTTTTCTACTATCTTATGTACATACATACATATTAATTAATATTTCATAAGACTGTCGTCGAGTTTTCTTGAATAATTTCGGGATTACTATATTTCAAGTATACATGTGGTCGTTAATGATTCGTTGATAATTATACGAATGAAATCATTTTGAACGTATAAATAATCCAGGTATCGGTAATTATTCTAAATGATGTTAATTACTTGAATTGAGTCCACGTGTAAATGGTAATTGTATCCGTTCGGCTCATGTATACAAACATGCGTACAATGTATGTACAAATATATTACATCCAGGGAATCGAGACTGAAATAATTACGGTTACGATTTCAGTATCATTTTTTTCAAAATGATGGATACGATTTGTGTCAATTCTCTCATTTATTTTGGTTAAAGTCCCTGTTGAGAACGACATTTCTTAAGTACGATTGTGCCCCAGGTTGTCGTCGGAAATAAAGGACACTTCTTTCTCTCGGACATGTCTAAAACGTGTCACGTTCTCATGGGACATACTACTGTTGCTTTCGATAAACGTGCTATAAAGTATAGCTGGTGGATAAGATATACTATGATCGTAAAATCGACTGGAAGCATCTTTTGAAAACTTGATTTAGAAACTAGGACAGGAGAAATATTAGAAATATTTAGAATTTTCAGAATTCAAATACTGTCAGTTCAGTGCATTTTCTATTACAATATTACGTGGATAATTGTTTAAATACACATTTCAAATGTAAATCGAAATTTATTTTTGTCCGATATACTATGTAGTACAAGAGTTGCTGTTGGGTCTACTTGGTAGAGTCGATACAGTGTAGTCGTAAAATCGACGGGGAGCTACAGTATTCATGTCTCAGGTGTAGAAACACCAGAACTCACAGAAAGAACTACAGTGGGAGACACAAGTGAATATACATGTTGAAAGTACGAAATTTATTCAACAATTCTTACACATACATATGTTGCATAAATTGGAAATTGATATGAAAGATATAACGTATATGTATAGAAATGAAAATGAACAGTCGAAAGCAAACATATGTTACACAGGATGACAATAAAAAAGTTAGCGCACTTCTACAGGGTAGATTTTATATGCCACATTAAGTCGAAGGTCGAGAATGACGAAATTACGTTTGAGACTTCGTTTCCGTGTTATTAATTGCAGAAAATACTGGCAAAATACACGTAAAGTACGTCCGAGTACGTATTGAGTTCCAATCTTGCAAAAAGACCCGTGAATCTAATAATCGTACTTTCGTTACACTTGCAGCTAAATTTGACTTCGAAATATTTAAATATCTCAAATTCACAGTAATATCAATAAGAGCGAACTGGCGTACACTAGACGTGGCTATACTGCTCCGAACCATAGTAGTACATTGTTCAACGGTATTCACCAAATTTTATAATTACCACACCGAATTTCTTTCTTACAAAATTTTTTGCTGCCCTTTTCGCCTTCAAAATACGAAAAACATACCTAGCTGTATCACTACTTTCATCTTACAAAGAATGCTACAGAAATATTCCATGAATTTCACCTTTGTAACGTGTATACTCAGATTTGACTCTCACTGTACATGTATAAGCTGTATACAATGCTCGATAGTCATATACTTTGCGGAACACCGTGTATACATATAAAGTCTTCTGTTCTGCGGCATGAATGGGTCCGTTAATCAAGGATCTAGTTTACGACTACACTATCGTTTCCAATTTTGAGCGATTTTATAATATCCTACAAAGATTTTCATTCTAGATATCGTGGGTAGGGAAACTGAACCATAGAAGTAGGTACATTTTCATAAAATGGAAATTTATTCGCACATATTGACACAGGATTTCAGAAAAGCGTGTTGATATGGAACATTCGTGATCGTGATACTCCGTTGATCCTTTGCTCGTGATACAGTGCCGTTCGTTGATAAATCAATATTGCAGACCTAGTTAAAAATGTTGACGGTGTATTTTGATGATAATTTGAAATAATATATGTATGATTGCAGAACAAAGTTAAGTTTAATTACAATCAGAGGATTAATCTCAAATCATGGGAAAATTTGCTACACACTATGAGCTTATCCAAATACTGGAGTGATCCTAAACTTTTAATCAGCTATACAGGGTGAGGCACTTAAAACCGGCCACCTGAATAACTTGGCTGCTATTGGTGATAGGAAAAAATGCATCAGGCCAAAATTATTTGATATCGAGGGGCTGATCATCCGATGTTACTAGTTTTTTGATAGGTGGAGGCGTTAAGGAGATAAATAAGGACATCTCTGTTTTTTTAAATGGAACGTTATGTTTTTTTACTTACATTCTGATAGAGTATTTCAAGACGAATAGAATAACCTATTGGAAAGGTCATTCGTGGTCTGGGTTAAGCCAATTGTGATGGATATAATTTACTTTGAGGAAATGATCAAGCACCGTTGATTTATTTATCTAACAGTAATACACGACTGTATGTAAAAAAACATACCGTTCCATTTAAAAAAACAGAGATGACCTTCATATCTCCTTAACGCCTCCACCTATCAAAAAACTAGTAATATCGGATGATCAGCCCCTCGATACCAAATAATTTTCGTCTGATGCATTTTTTTCTATCACCAATAGCAGCCAAGTTATTCAGGTGGCTGGTTTTAAGTGCCTCACCCTGTATACATATTTATCCTGAGTGGTATGCGAACATAATTTCTACGATTAGTTTACACTTGTCAAATGATCAATATTACTTCAGATGTATCGTGTGTGATGATTGCTACATTAATTTATCTATTACTATTATTAACTATTAGACAATTAAGCGCGTCAATTTAGTAATGCATTATTTTTTTCCAATTTCAATATGTGTTCACGAAAATCGAACGAACTTTCGCCTTTAATAATAATAAAATATTATATTTAAACTTAATTATCAAGAAAATAGAAATTATTAAGAAATTCATCAAGAAATGAATTATATAGAAAATAATGAAGCATTCATTTTCATGTGTAATGAGGTTCAGTAGTTAAATATAACTTGTTAATGTTGATGTTTAATGTGCCTGATTCGTACCCTATAAAAGAATTTAATCACGTTTAATTTTCCGCTTTATCTTTTTTGTAACTACTCAAGGTCTATTCATACACTAACATACACGCAATTAAAATCTGTTGGTAAATACTAACTTGACTACTTAATATGACACTAAAGAGGAACTAAAAATTGTGAACTAAATAAATCCTACTTTTCATATAAACATTTATTGCAAATATATTTAAACGAACGAAACATTGTATCTACGTTTCGTATAATTTAAAGAACATAAAAATAATGATTTAATCGATTACACGTGAATCAATACGAAAAGTGAACAACTTATTTAACTAATAAGTATAACAGGTTATTTTATGTAATTAATATTACTTAATTTTTAGTTTTCAAAAGTTTAGTGAATTGGTTATTCATGATAGATACTGGATGCTGATAATATTGTTAAGTAGTATCAACTTTGTAATGGAATATCGTAGTATAAATCACATTGGACGTTCGAAATTGTAAAACAGCTGAGTTGACAGGTCAAAATAACGTATGGTTCAAAGAAAACCAAGAGAATGCCCTGTAGTAACATGAATGTTGAATTTATGAAAAACATAGATTATATTGATTGAAAATAAGACAAATTTAGGACTTTTTGAAATATAATCTAAAGCAATATATGTAGAACAGAACGTATTCATTTTAACTAACTATGACGTATACGACTTTCATATGCAGGGTGTGATCTTTTCTTCCGAAATAAGTGGACAAGCATAGAATAAATCTTTTCCTTTGAAGACTTAATTTTGAAAAAAAATCGACCCCTGAAATTGGCGGCACTCTCCTGAGGGGAATAACGGGCTCGGGAGTAACTCGTGAGCATCTCTGCATTAAGACGTTGACTGCCACAGTGAAAAAGGCCGTACGTATCCAGACACACTTTATTTCGTTTTTTAAGTCGTAAATTGTCGAAAATATTTGTGTTTAGTTAATAGAGGTTGTAGGTCTTGTTTTAAATTATACTGCGATATTAATTTCATGCAAACATTTTATAACAGTGTTTAAATAATCCAGACACTTTTCAATGTACGTGTCACCCATATTTGGGTGACGTGGCAGTCAAAGTGTGAAGTAGTGGTCGCAGTAAGTAGAAAGGGTAAGTAATGGACAGACGTGGTGGTAAAGTCTTATTCAAATGTACGCGTATTAAACAGATTTTCAAAAACTAAACCTCGTACGAAAATATTTCTGCTGCAGTTTCGATTTATGTTTGCATAATGTATCGCTTGCTGTCTTGATATTCACTATGTTATTGATTTCATGAAAATCTTGGATTTTATAAGTAACCATTTATAAATTTTTTCTATTAACTTGTATTTGTCTGCTACACCAGATACCTACTTTAGTGACAATATTTGGAACATTTCTTGACGATCGGCAGTACGAAACTTCTTCAAACGATATGCAAACGTTAGAAAAATGGTGTTATTGTAACCAGTAGTTTATTATTTATTGTGAGCAAGCACATTGTTCAGAAAAGAAAATATTTTAAATACTCTTAGATTATTTAGTTCTTGATTTTATGAAATAAAACTTTTGTACAGGATACCAAAAATGTGCAGCGATTAATTCCTTCGGAATCAGGTACAATTCGGTTATTGGGAGGTTAAATTATATGGCTTTCGAAAATATTAAACTTCTAAGCATCAATTATTCTACCGATAGCAGGTTTATACATAAGTGACCAACAAATTCAGAAACTCAATTCCATAAACGCAATTACCTTTTAAATATTACGTCGTTACCTTCAGTACATTTTCTTTGCCAGTTAAATTTATATTGAAAAATTTGAAACAATCTACACTGTAAAAAAAAGGGCTTACATTCAGATTATTTATTACGTTGGAAAACATTAAAAAGATTTCATTCGTATATTCCAGTGGTATGATAAGTACTGAGAAAGTTGTTCGCGTGTTGTCCACGGTAAACATTTAATCATAAACTCAGCTTGAAGCTACGCTATAAACTAGATACTTTAACTTTTTAAATGAATATTCAATACTTTACCCATATTAACAAGTTGAATGTGAACAGTACGAATTTCAAATATTTCATGCCGACTTTTTACAAGACATCAAGTAGTCATCAATCTGCAAACATAACGTTACTCATGTGAGTTATTTCATTCCGGGTGATTCTAATTTATTGTTACGCGAAACACAAACGTCGGAAACCTTGTAAACAAAACTTCGTAGCTACAAAGACGGAGAGGCTCTGCGTGAAAACACAGTGGGTGGTACTTTTCAAGCGACGCAGTAGCATAAACACGACCCTTTTCGTTAATGTATAGGAACATTTTTAATTCGATTTGCATTTTAGTTCGTTGACGTTATGCTTCTTTTTCAACTTTCGTGCTGTACATACGTATTCAAAGAGCTGGGAGAACAAGAAAATAATTACTTAGAGCATGCGAGACAGTAGAAATATGTTTTGATGTCGCTGTCATGAAATAACACCAGACAAATTCTATATAATTTCAATTTACTTAAGAAAATATAAAAAAAATTTAACTTTAAAAGGGAGCCTCCTGTATTAGGACGTACGTATTTTAGAAATCAAAGAACGAGATAATGACACTTAAATGCAAAGACATAAATATAACTTAATACTAATCCTCGTGAATTGTACCGGATCAATTTGACACGAATCCAATGTTTGATTCTTAATCATATTTATTTACTATAGAAATTTCGAAATTAATTTCACACCTGTGGGTAACAATAGGAAAATATATTTCGTTAAGTTGATTTCAGACCCAAATTACTTCAAAGACTAGTGACGCAATAGTTTAGTGGAGAGTGCACAACGGTTACACTGCTTCGATATAAACTATTTTTTTCAAATACTAACGTGAAACGTATTTGAACTGCAAAAGTCTAGGAACACAAAAAGAAAATTTCGATTTCTTAAGTCAGGTATTTACAAGGAATACTATATGTATCTAATTTAAAGCATACAACAAATTCTATCTCTGTGAACGTTTTTATAAATATTAATGTTGTTTACAATGTTGTTCAGAATGTTTCATTTGCTTCATTGAAAAGTGATAAAGTAAGAAATAATGTAATATAATGTTTCGAAATAATTTAATGTATATTGTTTTACTATTTTTCGGTACTTATATTTATTAATTTGAATTATGTAAAAGAAGGCTGTGCAGTTGTTACATGTGTAACAACAAATTAATTTTAATTTTAATTTTACTACAAATTTAATTTACCGTTTAAAAATTGATTATATTTTATTCGTAGAATGTTAAAAACTAAGAAAGTTAATCTGTTTTAAATAAACAAGAAGAGATAACTGATACAATTTGTCCATACATCCCATAATCCAACGCTTAATTATCTCAAAAATTTATTGGTCAGAGAAGGCTAGATGAAACTCGCAAACTGAATGAGGAACAACAATACATTTATAACAATTTTATTTTGAGTAATTGTTATTCATTAAAAATAATGTTACTTTAAAAATAATCTTTAGATAATATCAAGGGTAGAATGATCACTACACGTTTAAAGCAGTCAATTTAAGAAAAATATGTCTCAGTAAATGGGTCAAAGAATTGGAGAAAACAAAATAGAAACAAAGTAAAATAATACAATTTTAACCAGTAAGTTTAATGATTACATTGGCACTATATTCAGGGTGTCTTTTAGTGTGTGGAATCCATTTTAATAGTGGACGGTAGATACAGAAACAATGAAAAAAGTTCATATAAACATGTGTCCCATTTGACGTTGGTCCTGAGTTATAGAAATTTTTGTACTCAAATTATTCTTAATGATAAACTGGCCTATCTAATACAGCTGATTTTGCAAAACTTTCTGTATACAGTGCTACACACAACTCTTTCATATCTCTCCACTTTGTTGGCTACAGTAATATGCCAATTATACGAACTAAAAGGGAGACAAATCCGTTCGAATAAGTGGTTTCTTGGATAATCGATCCAGAAAAATCAAAGTCTAATAAATACCACAAAAAATTGGAAATAAAGAAATTTTGAAAGATGGATATTTATTGCATGTAATATAGATAATAACATAAATAAATATGTACTACGATCATTTCTTTAGCCTTGTCATTGCATCCTTTAACAAAAATAAAATGAAACAATATCATCTTCGTTGACAATTTTATATATTGGATTACCTTTGTGTATTTCAAATCCAGTATATTGTGTTATCAATTAAAGCGTTGTATAATTTATTTTAAACTCGTTCAAGAGTAACGGATAGTATGCTCCCCGTGCTTCCTTTAGGCTAATTCTTTTGGAAAATATTCGTGACTCATCCAGTGTTCCGATAATCGATATTTGGAATAACCAGCCGTTTTGATAATTGACATTCGTACTACGAGTTGATCCAGTCCGTTGTCTTGGTAACAGCACTTGATAATGCATTCATTTGTTATGCGTTACAAGTTATAACGAATCAGTATTGAAACTATTTGATATATAGGGTGTCACACCTAGAACCGAACACTTAAATATTTTCTTTATTTTTAATATGAGAAATATTTCAAACACAGTTCGAATGGCTTCAGAAGAGTATACACTGACAAAACATACATCATAGATCCAAACAAGTCCACCTATGTAATGGAAAGTACACACTGTCTACCAAAACAATACCTGTGACCTAAAAAGAATTCGAAAAAAATGGTCGTAAAAGAAATGTTCCATGTACGATACTACCCTTCTGAAACCACTCAAATTGTATTTGAAGCATTCCTCGTATCATTAAAAATGAAGAAGACATTTAGGAGTTCGGGGTTAGGTAGGACACCCTGTATGCACAGCAACACGTGTGCATCTACGATACAATGGCTGCAGGTTTGCATTCAGCTCGAAGGTAACCATTTCGAACACTTCCGATGAAGGTGAGAACATTATTTGAATACAAAACTGGCTGTAACTTGGGAGCAAACTCAAATAGTAGATGTGGGCACAATTACTGTATTATATGAAACATAGTGAAATAATACATAGTAACAGCAGCAGTATCTAAGAGTGTCATCCTAACCTTTGAACAGGCAATCAGATTAAATAATTGTTTGCCAAGTGTCTACTCATTCAATAAGAAGTATAATTTTATTATAAAAATTAGAATTTCCATGTTCAATCGATACAAATGGGGAAGTACTTTTTTTTAATTTTTTATTCGTTATGCGATTCGATTATCCAGATAAACTCTTCAGCCAGATAATGAATTTGCCCATCTCTGTCAAATAGGGCAGATGAACTTCTATCATTGTTTTCGTATCCCCAGTTTACCACGGAAGTGCGTCCTACGTGATAAGAAGCACCGCGTGTATCATAAATTTTACTTTCTCATTTTATCCAGACTTTTGTTTCATCAGAAATAAAGTAGTATTACATACGTAATCATCTTTAGAACGACTTCACTTGTACTAACTCGAATAAGAACCGTTTTATGATGCATACGAAATTCTCGTAGATCCTCTTTAACATGACATACTTATGGATCGCAATTAGTATAAATATGTATTTCAGGTAACATTACTCCAAACGCATACGAAATGTAATCGAACTTATTATTGAACCAAACAGGTGTATTATCCTTGGCAAACAATATTTGATCGATCAAACAGAACGAATATTATGAATATTCTTTTATATGTATTTTAAATATTATTAGTTTGATTAATGATGCAAGATATAATCATCTTTATTTAGAGGAAATATTAAAATTCAAAGTAAGAAAATTAAGCAGTGATCGAATGAAGTTTATATTCAGAATATTAATAATGATTCAATACAACGTTGTATTACATAGTACTCTCACGTTTCACATCACTATATTTGGTAAATACATAACAATATTTTTTATTTCGCTATTATTTTCTTGTAATATCGTCAATTCTGTTATTTCATTTTTCTAATGCAAATATACCAATATATTACATTTTTAAATACGAAAGCAAATAATTTTGGCAGCTATCATCTTAACCCAGTTGATTAAACCCTATGCGTTGTTCGATAAACTCCAGAATTACTCCTTGCATTATAATGGGTCTAGGTCAAAATCGAATTAAATAAATATATTTACTCACTGCTTGCTTCTACTATATGTAAACTACCGGTTTCAAATTAATTTACAAATGTCTATGATAAAAAATAGAATTAAAAATCGATCTCATATTTAAAATAAGAAAAAGTACTTTCTACCAAGGTTCAGTATTATAAATTCTTGTCTTTGCATCAAAATACGATCGTTCGATTATCTTAACGTGTTGCGTCACTAATAATCGAAATTCTTTCTCGTTTTAATAAGAGTATCGTACAAAATATGGTAGAGTAACTAACGACTATTAAAAACTACTAATTACGCTGAGGGGAGTTTGTATTCCACGGAGAGCAAAGGACGGATTGACACGTTTAAGTTCAGTCGTCGTTTGAAGTGAGTTGGATAAAGAAAGAGGGCTTTAAAATTCCCCGTTTCGCTCAAGGGATGCAATTATAACTCGAAGGCGGACAATACCCGGCCACAAAGGGGCTCAGAAATTACTACGTAGCGGATATGGAACGACGCTACTAATACTCGTGCGAGCATCGTGATGTAGATTCGGTGGTATAAGTTAATATTATTAATAACCTTAAAACATCTTTATTATTCTTCGCCATCCAAAAGGCTTTAACGCGATTCCTTCGAGTAACACGGATGTACTGGCTGCATGACTACCGCTACTTATATCACGGGAAACGGGATGTCCACAGTTAAATTAACGACAAACACGCCTAATTAATTAATTCGAACAACTGCATGCAAATTGATTCGAGTTACGTGTATTCCTGATATCCCAACTATTATACACAACGTCGCGAAAGAATCATTCAAGCATTAACCAACATCACAGTTTACAATTAAAGCAACGTACATCGAGTAACACTTTTAAACGGCAGTTTGCGCGCAGAAATTTATTATCAGACTGCGGATTTTATGCATTTATCGCAAATATGAAGGCAAAGAACACGATAATAGTAACAATTTGCGTTAAGATTGACATTAATTTCATTTTACTTTAGAATAAACAAAATCGATATTAAAGGAAAACAAGTCCCAGATATAACTTGAGTTAAATAAATTAATCCATAAAAATTTGAATTTGCATACGGATCCACAGTCTATCTAATACTCGAATCTACGATACGCGGTAGGGAAGGTCCAACTGAACAGGGTTTCTGCGTAAATATTAATAACTACTTATGTTCACATTACTTGCCATATTACCAGTAACGTTCACGGTTAACGAACTCCGACAGTTTCCCCTCGTAGTGGCTCACGCAAATTCACTCAGCACTCGAAAAGAAAGAACAGAAGAAAACTAGGGCAAAAAAGATCCACCAGTATTAAAAGTGTACGGAGATTGAAGAATTTCTGTTAAACTGTATCCTTGATCGACGATCGATTATTTATCTAAATACATTCACAGGTGGTCCATGATTCATCATTGTTCAGTCTTTCTTCAGCTCCCTGTCGAGTCCTTCGTTTAATTGAAACCCGTGGAAATCTCTGATGGTCCACTGGATTCAAACAGACCCACTAGATCGTATGTACAGTCGTTCCACACAAGGGGTAAGTACGCTCGTCGTTGGAAAAAGGGATCGATCCGTACCGATCGCACACGTGTCGTTGTATCAACTGGCCGTGGTTTCCGTTGCTCTTCCACCAACGGATTTCACACTGAAACGTCAGGAAAGGATATCCTGGTGTGTATGAACGCGACGGCACTACCGAGGGTAAATGCTGGCCAGTTTCGACGGCATCTGATTCGGGAGCGGCACGCTCTCTCCGTCCCCCTTCTCCGCTCGCCGAACCCGCTCTTACGTCCTTTGGCGGCTGGGGATCGAGATGCGGCTGCGTCACAGAGTGACGGCGCCGACGCTCTCTTGTCCTTCTCGTAGTCGATTCCCGCTCGTTACCGAGAGACATCTCTTCACTCTGATCAGCTTATGTCCCGTCGATGGCGAACGTCCACTGTCTAACCAGTGACCGATTGGCCAGCATTTACACCGGGTTGAGTTACCACGCGTGGCAAGTGCTAATTAGGTGGATAGTTCGACGGGGGATCGGACGGTACTGTTGTTCGAGTTGGGACCATACGTGCAAGTGGGTCTTACCTCACTCGTATGTGCCACGTTTGACCGAGGGAAAGATCGTTAGCCGTTTAGATCAGAGTTAGTGACCGGGCACGTTGGAAAAACGGCGCCGTTGGAATCTTAAACTGAGGATGTTTATGGAAATTTTGGGTTTTCTAGACCGTTACTTCAAGATGAAAATTCTGTACAGGGTGTTCGTCTTAACGTTGCTCTCACACTTGAACAGGCACTGAAGAATAAAATGGTGAAAGTAGACACATCTTCTATACCTTTAAAAGAAAAATAGTCGATTTCTTCATTTTTTAAAGATGTTTTATAATTTTTATTAATGTAACAGATAATTGTCTACTTTCACTGTTAATACATGATTTTAATTGTGAATTGTGAAGCCAGTGATTATTCTAGTATATTAGCGTTAGGTCTGGTTTAGGTAATTTTTATTAATATAACAGATAATTGTCTACTTTCACTGTTAATACATGAATTTAATTGTGAATTGTGAAGCCAATAATTATTCTAGGATATTAGGGTTGATTTCATTGCAAAGACTACCTACACTTTTGCCTACAAAAAACCAGAGAAAATAAAAATCGATTTTTTCTGTCCGATATTGTAGGTGGCATAGAAACAAATTCATTCTTAAATGTAATGAGATAATTTATGAACGCGTGTAAGTTTAGCATGAACGTGCATGAAGGCGACATACAGTTTTAATACCTGTTAGCTATGAACAAGAGGTTGAATATGTACATGACAAGTCTGTTAACTGTTTACATTCACTGAATTACGTTGGCGTTAATAAAGGATGTTATTACGTTTAAGAATAATTTTCTGGGGAAATTATTAGAAAAAAAAACAACTTTGTATGACATCGCTAAATTTATCTCGATGCCATCAACAATACCGAATAGAAAAAATTATGCGGTGCTGTTAAAAAAATCGAACATAATCTTCAGTTTTTATTGCAGATAAAACTTTTTAGCAAATTTCAATATCGTAGATCGTTTCCGATTGATTACCGACTAACTTTTGATCATAACATTTTTTATCGGATTATTGTCCGAAGAATCATGGCAACCGTTACGATGAGCACCATGTAGATGTTTGTTTTCCTTGTTAAAGATTCTAAGAATTATTATTTCTTAAGTCTCGTTTTACTGTGTTTTATGCATATAAAATCGAGAATCTACTTCTTATGTTAAAATGATCAGAAATGTTAAATTAAACCTTTACACTTACACTTCTGTGCACACTGTTGCTCCATGTATGGCGGACCATCTGTTGCGTAAGTCAGCATCATGTAGTTTTTCTTCTATGTGAGATTGTTGTACTTATTCATGTACCAGGTGTTAAGATAAATTTATTACAGACGAATGTTTGAAGAACTACGTCAATTCGGAAATTCTATTTATTGGAGGTTATTTGATATCGAAGTTTATAGCAATTGGTCAAATTATATGTTTCTTAGGTGAGTCATGATGAGCATGTGAAACTCATTCTGATTTCTTAAAATAACATTATATATTTTTAATCGCCTATCCTTGATCCCTGTTACGGTCCCCAGTTTAGCTATATATTCGAAATAATGACAGGGAAGTTGAAACACCTAGATCAATAATAATTTCTTTGCACATTTCGCAAACCTAAGAATATTTCTAAAGAGACGAGATTAAAATTAAGTCGAACGTTAAGACACTTTTGTGTATAAAGAAAACTTACGTAATCTTTAATATTGTTCATCAAAGTATAGCTCATTTTCATTTCACTGAGCAGAAATAGGAACATTTTATACTTTGTGTTAAATTAACTATTGTTAAGTTAAAATGTATTGAAAAATACTTTTATTTACATTTAATTATAAAGGGAGGTTTACATTTTATATCTAATAAGTTTTTTTCGTCGATTGTCGCATAAATAAATAATAAATATCAATATCTGCGATAGCAGAACTTTTACATGATTAGAAATAGGGACATTAACTTTACCTGTATTTTATGAAGCTAGTTTATGCATTTAATGGATGGAAATAACCATCTGATCAGAAAATATTTGCTTCACATTATAATTACATTTTTTCTCTAGTATTGTTCGAAAAATGTTAAGGAACTTTTTTTGTTTCTTTCAATCGAAGTTATTCCCGAAAATAGTAAATTTTTCAGAATTTCGTTATCGTGACAGTACTGTCAGTTGTGCTGTCTCTGTATTAACCTTATTTACGAGTGCAGTAGCAACGTATGACGTAATCTATTAGTCACGTGCACGTGGATTCCATATTGATTCGTCAAATTCAATTTTCCTGGGAACGACATTTTATATAAAAATTGCATTTTGTAGTGTGGATTGATGTCTATTAAAGAATGAATTGAATGATTTGTTTTGCTTTGTAGATGTACAAGGTCAAACATATTAAAAGGTTGATGTCAAAATCCAAACATCAAGTTTTCGAACCGTTTTGAATTTTAACTACTAGAATGTTGCACCATTTCTGTTAAAATAATATGAGACAGTTTTTGTTAATTTGTAAATTTTTTTATAATAAAATATTTATGAAACTTTACAATTTCATGTAAGAAGATGAAGTTCTTTAGATATTAAAACTCGAAAAATCTTTTAATTGAACCGTTTATATTGAAAATGGTGTAAGTCCATTCTTTCCTGTCACGAAATATTTATGAGGTTTGAATTTAAATCGATTCATAAATATTGATAAATGTTAATAAGTCTCGTCCATGTTTTTAGGAGCTTAAGTTTATGTGAATTCATTATATAGGTAACGATATTTATAAGAATCACCAAGAAGAAATGTTTTTATGAATCATAAATCGAGTTACACTACTTCCATAAGTATTGAATTGTTATTTATTATTGTTTGTTTATTCTATTTTCTAGTTATTTTAGATTGCGTTTATTGTAAGATGAGTATGAATGTATATAATATGTTTATGTTTATTATAAGAAGTTTAGAATTGCATTCTGTTCTTCTTTTGCTATGTAGTTTAGTTGATGTCTAACTGGGACTTTGTGGAAAATGTGCTTACACCTCCTTCATAATAAATGATTGTGTATTCGTTTTGTAAATTGCTTATAAATAAAAAGTTTACATCAAATCGTAACCGAAGAAAGTGTTATCTCAATTTTTTCCTAAAAATGGAGTTACACCAGTTTTATAATATGTAAACAACTCAACTTAAGATTCGAGAGATGCTCAATTAATAAGAATCACGTCATTATGTAAATATAATAGATTTATTAGATATTAACAATTTTTACAGAATTCGTATCTCGTTTATCTTAAACAATGCACAACTACAAATAAAAAGTATTGACACTCTAGTGAACGGACTGGCGGCGTATGTAGGACACATACCTACATTACAGTTAATGAATACCAGACTCTTGTAAATATACATACGATCAACACTCGCCATACGACAAAAGTTTTAACATAAATTTTCTGAAAACTTTACTTTTTTAATATCTTTTCTTCATTAACGTAACGTACGCTAATGACGAATGCAAAGAGGTTTCTTACGCATGAAAGATTGTGCAAGCACACATTCGATTGATCGCGTTAAGTACAATGTCCTGGACTTATTGTTTCGACGTCATTAAGTAATCATTTTCCCACTCTTTTTAAATACAATATATTAGGCACAACGCAATAGTAACAACCCGGTCGCATTTAAGTGACGAAAACTGATAGAAAAGGAGGGTAAATATTTCAAGAAATTGTTGCTGTAGATATAAAAAATTGATAGAAATGGAGGGTAAATATTTCAAGAAATCGTTGCTGTACAAATAATAAATTCATAAAAGAATATTAGTGAAAAAGCGCCCATTACTTTTGCATATACCTAATATTTATTATTTCTTTATATACATGCACAGACATTCAATTGCTATAAAAAAAGTACAAGTATAATAAATATACTTTTTTAAAGACTTTTATACAGTAAACCATTGATGAGGAAATGATCCTAGGTGGACAATATATTTTGATCCGATTATAGTGAAGAATAACTGTACACGCACTGTAATCTTGGATCAATTTTATGCGCAACTGGAGCTTATTTCGCACTTATAGCCCTTTGCTCACGGTGTATTGCACTTGTATAAAAAAATACAATTGAAAAGGATATATAAGAGAAAATTCTTAATGAGTTCTGGATCTTACATCGGATAATACTCTTTTAATTGATAACATTAGGGTGTACATAACGTATCATTATCATTTTCATAGAGAATAATTGTTGTGAAATGTCTAACGCAACTTTCTTTGAAATTTAACAAGAAGCGAGACAGTAATTACATGTGACATTTAGTTCGAAGGAAAACAAGATACAGTGGTGGTCGAAACAATTTATAAATTATAATTAATTATGTTCTTATAAGTAATTTACCTAGTTGAATTTTATTCCCCGTCGCAAATATTTGTTCATTTGGTAAATGCTCGATAGAGACAAAAATAGTATTAGTTATTATTGGTTTAAATAACATTGCAAAATCCCAAGTATTTTAATTACATTCATAATATGTACCGAATTAGTATGTGCAGGGACTACTGGTTTGAAAGACATACTCATAAAAATTAAAATAACAAGATCTTGTAAATAAGTCTAGTCTATTACTACTATTATTCCTGGACAGATTAATCCCATCGTTTTACATAACCACTATAAATTACAGCTTGTTTTATTTTCTCGATCACATTTTAAATTTTCTTTTTACCACCACTGTATTCGTAGGATCTTTTAAATCGGTGCGTTTGTGAAGATCTCGAAGTCAACTCTGCTGATTTCGAACAGCCGATTAAATTTTATCTATCTATACTACTTTGACACCTGAAACGCGTTTCGTTCAAACGATACGCGTTAACACACCATACCATTCGATTAATCGATCAATTAACACCACGAACGATCGCCTTAGAGCACAGTCCGTTAAATCACATTTTTTTTTCTGTTGACGTATTCGAATTTCTCGAGTCGAAAGAATTATTTTAAGTAGTAAATACTACGCTCGAACGAGAGGACGCAGAAGAATAATACGTGTATTGTTCACGGAAGGTTCTGTACCGATACACTTTCGTAACAATAATAATAAAATAATATGAGCAACCGCACAGTTATAAATAGAAAGATAATATTATACAACAGTTTTACGTAGGTTTCTCGTACATATACATATAATAAGTTCACGGGCCGATGACATTTACATGATACACACGCATACAACACACTCGCAGAAACACACCCCTTAAAAATCTACTATTCTATCAACCCTTACAGCTAGATTGGACGGGTACGTTGACTCATAGGTTCTATGATTCCTCCTCGAAAATATTCTCGAACACCTTCGCACGATCAATCACGTGGCAAAATGATGATTGCGCGAGATAAACGGTTACGCGCTAAAAAAATTCGTATAAAAATCGCACGATCGAGTTCCTAACAATTACATTTCAATTAACTTATACTCGCCGCCACGATATAAATAATCTTGCATTCTCTAGCAGTTTAGCATCCAGGCGAAGAACATTGTTCAGCCTATTCGTTGTATCGTTGAATCGATGGCAATCTTTCGTTGTTCGGTCCGTGACAGGAAAGTTCATGCTTTCCATCCCATTTTCAATTCGAATTTTCGTAATTACGAAACACGGTTCCCGTTGTTCCATTCAGAATCCCCTTCGAAAAGATTCCCGAGCGCGACGAACAGCGCAACGCTTTTGTTTTGGAACTCGAATAACTGCGGCCTCGTTTTCGACGCGGCTTTATATTCCGTCGGGATAATTCAATTCGTAGACTACGAATCGTAGTACGTCGCTCGGAACGAATCTTGTACACGCTTGGAGATGTATTGGTATATCTGCTCACAGTTCCGTCTCACGCGTGCGGCTTGGTAATCCTTGACGAAGTTTCGAAGGGATACAACGGTTCACGGATTATTGTATGTACCGCGTAGTAGGACGCCGCCGGTAAGTAATCAATTAAGGGGTTAGACCGCTTTGGATTACAAAAAAAAGCTATTCTTTCGCAATTGTTTATGGGGAAATGGTGAAGTGAACGAGAAATCTGTTATAAGACATTTACTGTACATATCTTCCGGTACGTGCAAAATGTTTTGTTTTTATAGAATAAAATTGGGTTGTTGGGGCTTAGCCACGTTGGCTGTTTTTAAACGAGTACCTAATTGGCGTGTAAAATAACTGGAAAACGGTTTAACCTAGAATTTTATGTTCTACAATGAAATTTACTAAAGAAATATGTAGGAATTTTGCGATATGTCAAAACGTTTCTTTGCTGTAGATATTTTTGTGAAAAATGTTTCGGTTAAAAACCGTACTTCGAATATTTACCATTTGCACATCATATTTCTAAAAATCCCTACGTAATTTTTTAGTAAATTTCATGTATAACATAAAAATGTTTCGCTTTTTATTCTAGGTTAAACCGTTTTCAAGTTATCCTGCACACCGATTAGGTTGTCATTTAAAAACAGTCGAACGTGGATCAGCTCCAGTGTAACCATTTTGTTTAAAAAAAATTGTTTTGCGTACCTGAAGATGTGTGCAATAAATGTGTTTTACTATATTTCCTATTTACTTCATCATTTTCGCAAAAAAATTGCACAAAAATAGCTTCCATTTTTAGGCTCCAAAGTGGGCTAACTCCTTAATTGAATTTGTTTCAACACTGCTTAAAATAATTAGAGAATCATGTAATGTCGTCAGTCTGCTCGTAGGTATAGTCTCAGAACGGTGTTTATACAAAATATAACTAGGTTGTTTATAATGTTAGTATTATACAGAAAACATATTAATTCATCAAATCTATAGTACTTCTTTCGTCTCTTTCGTTTGGTGAAACTTGGTTTAACGATTCCCTAATTCTTTTCAGTAGTATGTATACAGGTATAGCCACGGAAGCAGCCGCTCATGCTTCAAGGATTTCATTAATGTTAAAGTCAACATTAACAATTATAATTTGTGTTAGTTATTCATTTTGATTAACATAATTTAGATTAAATCGCTTTCATTTCATGCACAGTTGATTTTAAAAGGTATTGTTGTCTCTATTAATTTATCGCAACTCAAGTTGTTTAAAGTAAATATCCACTTTGGGTGGATAATTTTGTGCCTGTTCTTTTACTACTTCCATTAATGGTAATAAGATTTTTTCAGTAAACTGTGCGTGATTTCTCAATTGAATGCATTATAATCTAAAGTGTATTAACCATATATTACATATGTATAATCAGTATTCCTAACTTCAACATTGAGTAAATATGTAAAATGTACTTCGCGTATATGGGGGTAGTCGGATACTTCTGTGATTAACTCTACATTAGATGTACCATTGAATAATCCACCATTTTCTTTTAAAAAGTGTAGAAAATAGTTTAAATTAAAAGATATCTCCCCGACTATTTGCTTGATAAAGTCTTCATCTCATGAAGTCTTGAAAAATCAATTCTTGATTTCCATACAATTGAATACCGAATTTGTCGAACAATAGTGAATTAATCAATGATATTAGTCACTCAGTTCATTTAATTTGTTCCGAGTGATGTTACGCAGATCAAGTCTAGCTGATTGTGAGTGAGAACAAAAGTAATCGAATAAATCGATTATACAGTCACTATTCAACAAGAAAAACGATCGAGGTATATTGGCAATGGGAGAAAGAAGTAACAAAGTAAGTGTGCAAGATGAGTCATCCGTTCACGACTATAAAAAATGTTATATTCTTCATTATACTATTCGAAATGTATTAGAAACGATTTAACGAAAATTTTCCAATAAAACAAAAAAAAAATAAAAATGATCGAATTGTGAACATGCTCAGGTTCGCTATAACCATGAAAATTTGACTCAACTTTTACGTAATATTTTCACTTAATTCTTTTACGAAGACAACAAAAAATATAAAAATTAAAATCTTCATAAGCATCCTGGCCTGACCATATCTATGTAGTCCTGGCCTAGTAATTCATCACTTTCGATCCACACAGGTGTATTTAGCCTGTGGTTTCCTCGTGTCAACTACGCGAAGAAAATAGACAATGTATGACCTCCCCTAACACTGATCCAAGACGGAAGAAGCGTTCACTGATTCGTTCAGTGCTGTGCTACCACTTGAACTGTTTTTTGGTATCGCACTCAATTGATAACATTCCTTTCCGATTCCATAATTTATACGGTTTATCAACAATTTCCAATACAGTCGATTCCACGAAAGGATCATATTACGAGCCCGTTAAAGGTCCTTTGTTTACAACACAGCTTAACCCGAGGAGCCGGCCGAGAGATTAGAATTGAGCATCAAAACACAAACGTCGTATCCACAGCACAGCGTGGTCTTGTTTACAATTCCGTGGTAGTTTCCACCGGACTCTGTTCACCCAGGTACGTGAATCCAAGATGAGAATAATCCTTCCTTTCTCTGAACGTCACGTTGTCGTTCGATGGAGCCCAGAGTGGAACGTCGCAGGGAATGGATGTTCGTGTCGCCGTGTGTGCCAACTATGCTCGAAGCACGCGCCGTGGTCGCCGCCTCGGAACTCACCGGACTTTGTTGACCTTAACAGATGATAAATACGGCTGTGAATCTTTCTGTTGTTTCCGCTGATTATTTGCTTTCGCGGGGGTTTGGGGGGGGGGTACCTTTCTGTTGGTCGTACGAAATTTCTCAGCGAGATGAAATTTCAAGAGTTTTTGAAGTTTCGCGAACATCAATTTTTGTAATTGACAGCAGCTTTGGATGGTTGCTTTACCAGTGAGGAACAAGGGAGGATCGTACCTATTACGGTCGAAGTGGATGTTTCATTTTTTGAAATTGGAGATAATGCTTCTAGAGGTTAAAAGAGTAAGCTGTCATCCTACGAATTGACTTTGTTATGAATACTCTATTGTTGCCAGAGTTTCGCTGGTGTTTTTTTTTTCCATTCTATATGGGGTGAATCGCGTAAGCTGACACGTTTACAGCCATAATGATCATCGATTACAGGCGTCACTAAACTGTACGAAGAAACATTGAATTTTTGGACAGGAACATTTAATATTTTATAAATATAATTAGTGGTAGGTGAATAATGATAGTAATGAGTGTTCAAGTCAACGCGTTAATAGCAAAGATTTAAACAAATGTATATTATGTGATGATATTGTCTTACTTATTTGATGTAACTTTTTAAGTTCGAAAAAATATATACAGAAGTTGCATACTATTTTAAAGAACATATGACTCTAGAACAATTTTTTAAAATAACCTATTTGTAAAGAAGAATGTGTATATAAAGATAAGATATATTTTAATACACATTATTATAAATCATACTGCTATTTTAAATTTTGACACAAAACTATTTAAAAATTTACTCAAACTTAAACTTTGTTACTATTCATCCAAAGTTGATGAAATAAAAACCATTTTAAAGTTTGAACTTTCTAGTTTTTGGTTCTTTAAATCAATTTTAGCAAAATGGTTATGTAGAGGGTAAAATTTACCCTTAAATAGGAGTCTGCCAAACTGTAATTTTCTTTGATGTTCGTCAAGTGCTACGGTGTGCAAACAATATTTTTTTGCAATTTTGCGATTCTGCAATAATGCTTGAATAATTCCGATCAGATCACTTGGACAAGTGCTTAAAACATAAAAATATATATTTGCAACGATTTGAAGAACTGAAGAGACACGATAAAAAATTACTATTCTTTTTTCAATGAATTCGTATATTATCATATGACGTTTGAGTTATTTTTTGTTACAAATAGATTATACGTTACTAATGTTCGTACAATTTCATTTGATGTGAAATGATTTAAAAACGAATGCCCTACAATTTCCGTGTAGTTGTGCAGCATCGAAAGAATATTCCCATAAACGTTTAAATAAACGTATGTATTATATGAAAGCGACGATCGCAGTATTAATTTAAACGTTGAGAATATTAAATAACTCTTAGTTTTCAGGTTTCAAAATTTCTTTTGTTTCTAATTTTCATTGTCATTTAACGAATGCACCTTTTTTAACCTTCTTTTTCTAAACCGTAACTTCTCTAATTTACCTTGTAAAGAGAAAAGTAATTTTCTTTTGTCACTAATTCAATACAAATTGCAATACATATTTTAGTTTTCCATGAAACAACTACTCCCACAAAGTTGCGATAAAATCGTGAAGTCTATATGTATAGACACAATCGCTTAAAAATAAATAGTCTGATAAAGGGTTATTATAACAGAATATTATAAATACCTGTGCTTTCTCCATGATCTTTGGTAATATAACTGACGTTATCCAAGCTAAACGCGTGGTTCTTATTGCTGAAATCAAGCTGGAGATCGTTATAGCTGTCGTTGTCATCTACGGGGACGCTCATCTGAAGCACCTGTGTCTCATATTCCTTCAAATTGGGCTCGACGTACACAGGATCGTAACGAGGCACCACGTACATACGCTGCATTCGTTCCTTGTACGCCTTGTATCTGTACAAACGGAAGTCCGTGCATTTTACATATTTGAATTTGAATAAAAAATGTGCGAGTTTCGAAGCCCCGCAGAAAATCAAGTAAACAGTTCCGACAGGCAGAAAGTGTTGACGCATCACGATCGTGCTGAATGTTCTCAGAGGCAACTAAGCCGGAAAGCGTGAATTAATACTAATGGAAGTAATAACGAGAACGACGAATTTGCATGCCCTACCGCACGAATAAATATTCATGTTAATACTAGAGAACACTTCTTTCACACGATACTAAGGCTAATAGTTTTGTTGTCGCGGCAGTTGTAACCGAAATAAAGTATCACGCGGAGAGTTTTGGAAGTTATTTGTGTTTCTGTTCCAAAGACATAGCAGTGCAAATTGTAATTTTACTCTGTATAGTGGCTCCAACATGGAATTATATGCGTATTTTTACGTTTTTCTTCTGTTTTTGGCACTGTTTGTCGTGCACTATAGTCGACGCCAAAATTGCCTGCCACGTATTGTAATTACATTATCGTTATCATTACTTCTGCTTTATCTTTTACTGGTCTATTCGGAAAGTTCGTAGCGTTTTTAAGGACAGAGTTTGAATCTATATTTGTCAATTTATATGACATCCTTATTTACAACTTTTTTTTTACAATTTCTTTCCGTTTTTCAATTAATTTTATTGTACCAATTATACACAACTTCGATTGCTTTAGCTCAAAGAACCTTTCAATCTGCTTCTAAATGAATTTTGTTTTTAAAGTTTTTTCTTCTTGACGGAACAAAATTTAATTAATTGAGTAAAAGACATGAAATGTTTCCAGTCGAAGTAGTATACTTTGTTCACAAGTTTCATGGAATGTAATGAACTTGTAAATACGTTTTGTTGATATGTCTCACAGAAAAAAAAATCACTTCACACCCAGAAAATAGTACCTGTTCACCAGATCAAAGTAATCGTTGAATTTAAGTTAATGAACTTAATATAAGTTAACCCTCGAATGATAAGGTGGGTTTTAAAGTCGTACTTGGCAAGGTGGGGTCGATTTCGACCCAAGCTCTTTTTTGTTATTTTCAGACGTATAAAAAGAAGTTATTATCTTAAACTTATATTTTTATTTGTTTATATAATAAGGAATAATAGTTGAGTTATATAACATAATAATTTACTAAATAATAAAAAAAGTCTAAAACGAGAATAGTAAAAAAATAATAAAAAATAGAGTGGGGATAATGCAAGAAGTACTATGCATTGGGTCGGATTCAACCACGAGCTTACCATTAGAGAGTTATACGTATGTATATGCATTAGACGTTTATGTAACTTGACATAGAAAGGTGTAAATTATTTCGTTTGAACAATTTCGTACGCACAATATATATACATAAATATTAACATACTGCTTACGAGTCACGAGAAATTACTTCATTAATTTTCAAACAATTAAGTTTTGTGTACATTTACTCTAAATACAGAATTCTTTAATAAACAGAATGTGGATTTCTTGCATTTATAATGTATAAAATGCAGTGAAACAACACCTTTAACAAAAATTCAACAAAAGTTATAAAGTATTTTTAGCTTAAATAAAATCCTTTAAAGAACCCCTAAATATCAACCTAACAGTTACATTTATGCATTACCAACGAACACTAACATTGCATGAAGATCTGTAATTTAGTATCAACTTGTAAAAAGAATGCGGTGATCAATTCATATAAAAATGCAGAAGAAAGTAATTTGGTGATAAGTAAAATTATTTTCTAATCTAACGAAATCAAACGAGCGATGTAAATTAGATTGATAGTTCACCTGGACCAAGAGACGCAGATGTAGATAATGCCGGCAATACCCAGAATCAATATAACGCAGGCGATGATTATCAATGCATAAGGGAACACTTCGCCGCTAAAAGCAATGGCAGTTTGCGTGCGCACAGGCTCAGGTGGCATTACAGGAGCGTGGATGCCGATCGCGTTCGCTCGAACCACAACAGATACATCGTAAGTGATATTCGACATCACTGCTTTTTCTATAATCGATCTGAAACCGAATAAAACGTTAAAATCAGTCTCGTGTAATCGTACATGTGAAAACGGTACAAATCACAATCGTACTTCTCGATGGAGCCGCACTGATTAGTAAGAATGAGGATTACGTAGCGTTTGACGGTTACCGCGGTACTTTACGATGACTTGATAATATTCTTACCTCCGTAATCCTTTCCAAATTTAAGCTTAATTAGTGACATTCAAAGAGAATTAATAGTTTTTCTTGAACTAGTAACTCTTGAAATCCAAAGAGAATTAATAGTTTTATTAGTCAGATGTGAGAATATTTCGTGTGATGAATAAAAATGAAATGTATAAATGTTGTTCTTTAAACTAACTTCATCCTCGCTTATCGAGATTTAATCCAATTTATCTCTCTTATTATTGTATTAAAAAATTTTGTTTTTTTTTACAGGTGTAACTGCATATTTTAATATTTACGCTGCAGGTGACGCATACGTTGCGTTCCGTCAGTTGTTTCAATAATGCTACTGACGCACCGCGTGCGTTTTTGTTTGTATCAAGTAGGTCTTCAATATTGTTGTGTTTTTTCGCGTAACGGAGAATATCGTGTTACAGTTATAATTCTACGAGGTTGTTTTCATTTTTGATAATTGGTTTGCTCAAATAGTAGTGGCTGATGAGTACTTAAATGCCAAAAGGTCAAAAAGATGTGTTAAATTCATATTTGAAAAATTTATTACGAACGAAGAATTAGAAAAAATGTTGTATCAGTCAGACGATGATGCGAATGATCCGTTATTTAGTGCCAACATGAAGGTTATAGTTCCTCTAAGGTTAAAAACAGTGATTTAAAAGTTTATGTGTACAATACTTTTTTGATTTTTTACTTTTTTTCTAGTTTATGTGTACGATACTTTTTTAATTTTTTACTGTTATGTATCTTAATGAAATAAATATCAATTAAATAGTAGCCCCATTCATAAAATAATTACATATTACTTCCGAACAATACTAGCAGTATTGTCGAATAATATTTTCATGTAATGCTGCTGACGCACCATATGCGTTACGACGAAAAAAGGCAAACAAACAAAAAGACAAATGAAACAACGACCAGTGATCTAAAAACAAACATTACTCTATAAAACAAAGCCATTTCCGAGAGGAAAATAATAAACCGGCCCTGAGAAGGGAAATGAAATTTCAGCCAGTAGCGAAAGTGTTAATAAAAATGGTAAAAATGATTGTTTTTCTAGATTGTAGATTTTTATGACAATTTGTATTTTTTTTTCGAAGTAATTAGTAAAAGATGAATAGAATAGAACTTTTAAAAATTATGTTACGCTGTAAAGAAATTTATTAATATACTGTTTTGTAGATTTGCGAATACTATAAACTTATAAAATCTGAAGTCTACTCATCGCATTTGTGGTAAGTTAATTAGAAAGATATGAAAAGGAATAACGGAGCAGTAATTATTTGGCATAGAAGACCGCATTCTATAATTCACAAATAAGTACGAGGAAATACTGTAAAGTAACACAAGATTCTAAACAGGTGTTTCGTTTTCTATGTAAAAGAATTATCAACTGCAGAACGTATTATCAACATTCCTTTAATAGAATTTTGCGTCCCTTCAATTTGTACTCAATACCGAACAAAATATTCCATAATACATTTGTAACTGATAATTTAAGACACAACTGAAGCACATCTGTAAATAAAACAATTTTGTTTCTAAATACGTATGTAATTTATAAAAAAAATAAATATTTATCGTTTTTCAATTCCTGGAATCATGAAGCAATGCTACCAAATAATCGTTTTTTAATTTTGAATTTAAAAAAACGTAGTTCTACGTTATCGGTTCTCACTTTTAAGTTTGGCAATATGTACAGCTAATCCTCGTATACCACGGTGTTTAGGTCCCTAAAAATGTTCCTATGCGAATTCGTGTTACACGAAACTAGGGTTGAAAAACAGGGTTACGGTTCAAAAACCCAATTACACTATTCTACACAATTCTTTAATCGTGTCAGTGCGAAACCATATTGTAGAAATACCGTGTTATTCGGCAGTTTTCTTATTTCTCTAACTGTGTTAGTGCGAAACCTTGTTATACAGGGGTTACCTGTAATGTTACATGATCGTTCGAAAATTTCTAAAATTGTATCGCTGACTGCAGAAAGGGTCAATTTTGCTAAGTAATTCCCTTTTTGGCAGGGTACCACTTTGTAGGCTGAATACACCGTTTACTGCAAAAAATGGTTATACCTATACGTTATCTAGTGAGCAATAGACGTAAATAATTTCCAGAAGGTATTCCTTGAAAATTAGAAGATTTTGACATGTCCCCTTTCTGCAGTTAGCGATTTCAATTATCGCAGGTTCCTTCAATAACTTTTTTCAACAAGCTGAAATTTGATGGTCGAACTCACCTCTGTATTCGCGTGCTATTCCTATCTAAAATTGCCTCGGTGTCCGGATGGATTGCATAAAACCAGACATCAGAATCTTGAGGATACATTTCGATCGTTCCGTTCTTCGTTAAATTCTTCCTCACGGCGATCCTATCGATGCCACATCAGATGCTCCTCGCCGATCAGATTCACTATAACCGGAGCGACGATTGAGTTAAAGTTGTCGGTGGAATTGGGATTGTCCCGGACGAGTACGTCGAATTTGAACGGGAGCTCCATCGAGTCCACGTTGTCGAACGTCGTCGTTGTTCGAATTATTCCGGAGGAACTGTCCATCGCGAAGTAGTCTGATCCTCGGCCCACGTGGATCTTGTATTCAAGCTTCCCGTATCTCCCGTTATCCTTGTCGTTGGCCTTCACTTGTATCACCGTCGAGGCGAACTGCGCTCCGCGTGGAATCGCGGCGAAATAACGTCCCTTCATCAAATTGTTATTGCTCTCTGGGAAGACGAACTCTGGTTTGTTGTCATTCACGTCGAGAACTTGAATCTTCACCTGTAATCCGAAGGGACAGGTGAAGTTTACTTCTCGAACTAAATTATCGTGCAATGAAGCTTCGGGAAACCTATTTCTTTGTAGGTACTTTTAACAAAGGAAGGAAAGCGAATTAACGGTGAGTAATTTGCTTCTGATATAGTGCTCTAATGCTTGTAATATCTAGCCTTTTTTATTGTAACATTAAAATTATTTTTTATTTTTTATTTGTTACATTATAACCTATAATGTACAAAAATTTTATGTTTTAAATGTATGTGAAAATAAAGGGTGTAAAATAAAGTATTGAGGTAAAATTACAACAAAATATTGTAGATAAACAGTTTCATAAGTAACTTCTTTAAAAATACAGAACATGTTTTAAAATGGGACATCAGGCAGTTCTGTTATTTGTATTTTGACAATCATCACAATCCTATGAGATAACAGCTTCGTTTATTTTATCCAGCACGTATGAGGTCTGCCAGAAAAGTAACGAGATTGATAGCGTAGAAATTTTTATTCTCAACTTATCTACAAATCAACTTTATCCCCATCTAAGTAGTTCCCTTGGGAAGTCATATACCGCCAGAGACGACCCACTCCAGGAAACAGTGCTGGAAGTCTGTTGGAAGTATAGACTATAGACAGACAAACCCTATTGGCTTTTCGCCACATAGGCCTTCGTTTTTGAGAAAATGAAGATTAAAGATTTAAAGATTTTGGAGTGTATATCGAGACATAATCCGAAATACGCAAGACAGCAGATACAGTACACATCTTACAATACGAAGGTGACCAGTTGGTGTCCTTGTTTTCCCTCATACAATTTTTTTCTATTTTTTGCTTGATACCTTTTTATTGTCCTTTCATTGAAACAATAAAAAAAATGTTCCATACTAAAATAGCATTTCTGAAATTGTATTTTATTTATTTATGGGCGTTGTATGCTATTTCTTAACAGTATTCATGAGATACAAAACCAAACGCACAATCTAGATGAATTAATGTATCAGGTTTCTGCGAACACTATCAATTCTGCAAACGATCAGGCACAGCTGCGAGAAACAAGTAACAAAGGATTATATAAAGGCTTTATCTTCACTCACCATTGTTGTGTTTCTTCCAGAATTCAACAATCCCGTGAGCGACTCGAGCTTGATCTTGATCTGATAGGATTCCGTTGTTTCGTAATCCAAAGCTCCTCTCTTAAGCTTCAACGCGCAATTCCGTTCCTCTGTGACGTTCGCCTCGAACAATCCGTTCTCGTTGCCGCTATAGATCTCGCATTTCAACGGGGTCGTGTCGTGGGTATGGCTGTTAATGATCGTGATAATCTTGATCAGCGTGTTATCGCTGGCGTCCTCCGGTACGTCGACGTTGTAAGAATTCTCCGCAAAGCCCAGACCGATTTCCGGCGCCACCGTGGCAACGTGACGAACGTAAATCGGCACCGTTGTGACGGAGGACAATTGTGGCTCTCCCATATCGTGCGCGCGTACGTCCACCTACAATATTAACGCGCATTCGTATCGATATTTCCACGTAATTAGAATGTCCCTGTGCAACAGTGAGATCGTCACGATGGAAGTAAATTAAATATTGCATAAAAATAACTCATCGGTACGAATAAATTTAATCGTTTCAAAGGGGGTCTGCGTGGCAAATTTTCAAAGCGAGGAGAATGCATGTATTACTATCGTATAATACGTATTATGATAGGATATACGAGAAATCATGAAAATTATTTATCTCGCTTGTGAGAAATTCGCAGATATCGATACAATCGGGAAACATAGCAAAATGTAATGGGGAGAAAATGGAAAATACTGTGCGTATCGTGATACTTTATTATTTTAAATCCTCTTAGACCGAAACTAATTTTACTGGCCATAAGATGTTTTACTGTTTGTACATTACGTATTAGTAGACTATAGACTTTATGCTTTTATATTTATTGGTAATATTTAGAAGGTAATTCAATGACAGATTTTATCAAAGTTTAGAAACAATATTTGTATTAGTTTTGTCGTACCGACATCACTAATAAAAGAAATAAAATTTCACTCAAATTCTATTTCTGTAAACTACTTTTCGTAAGAATCCGTAATCTAATTACTCAAGATCCAGTGGAACTTTTGTGAAGAGCTTGGGATTGAATATAAAAAATATTATATGCGTATAATTTTGCGCAATACGCCTGAGAGTTTGGTATCAGTAGGATAACTGCATCTAATGCCGCCTAGCAAATAATATCTCGAGATGAAAGTGCTAAAATCTGTTGGTAATGAACTACACTACTGGCGGAGCCTGATAGTGTAAAAATTTATTGAACCGTGACAATATTACGTTAAATTTGCAGAAGGCAAATTTAAAAATTCTATGAATGCATGAATATTTACTGGGAGTATCTAATTAATGATATGCTTCAGTGATTTAATCGATTCCAACAATGTTGTTAACAAAACGATTTTTGTGTGTCTTGGCCAGCGTATAATCAATACCGCCTACCATTCAGTGGAGTATTGGCTAAAACCGGGGATATGAAATTTGCAAAATTACAGGGTTTAACTTTATCTATCCAGCATATATGTATACGTGATTGCCCCCCAAAAAAATATGTAATAATTAGACTGCGAATTTTTATGCAAAATGACATTTTCTAAAGTAATTCATGAACACAAGAGTAAATGTACGAATTTCTTTCTTCTCTTAAGTATATCTCATTGGGTTCAGATTAAAATAGGAAACTCGTTGCGCCTAATGAAAGTTTTGTCCTTTATTGTATTTCACTGATCAGTATAGGCTATAAATGCATAAAATCCGCAGTCCAATAATAATATAGATATTATTTTTCTTTATTTTTATAATCAAAACAAATATATTTTAAAAACAAAAATATCAATTAGCTTTCAATTTGGGTACGCGATATTAGATGCGCTTATTTCGCGAATTCCGCGTGAGTATTTCTATAGGTGGATCTGTTTCGACAGTGCTTGCCTTAATTGAAAACTTTAGAAATATGTTTTCATTAATACCTGTGATAATCCAGATTATAATATGCGTAACATAAAATGAAAACGTCATGTGTGTAATAATACCTGATATTCAGTGTCAGTTTCTTTGCGCAGATCATCCCTTATTCGCAACACACCCGTGTCTGGGTCGATCACGAAATACTTGTTGGCTATTCCACGGCCGATGATTTCGTACCTCACCTACGATCAGAAGGATAATAAGAAACGTTGTTCAAGTCTTGAAATTATCATTCGCCGATCGAAAGTACATACTTGATTTCCGGGGGCGGTGCCATCAGAATCTGTTGCTATAAGATTAATGACCGTCGTGCCAATGGGAACGTCATCGTCTAAAGTACTCGGACGAGGCACTGATGTGAACACTGGCGGAATGTCGTTGACGTCCTAGTGAAAAATGGCATCGTTAAGTACATGACGAAATACTGTACGATTATGCATATTAATCTTCGTGCACTGTTCGGGTGAATTTGACCGAAACTCAAACTTGAATTTTTAATTGTATTCTTTATCACAGAAACTAGTAAATCAGTTTTGACACCAGTAGTTTACAGATACAATAATGATTAAGTAACATGTAAGTGTATTACATTAAATCGATTTTTGAACACACAATTTGGAGAAGAACTTGACATAGCTTTGAGGGCTGTTTTTACCCCCTAGATCTGAATTTCAGCAGCTGCAAAAAGCACGTGTCATATATTTTTTAACCTCTTAACATACGATTTTTTTTACGACTTCACACTCAAGGATTAATGTATCGTTAATATTTTCCCAGATACAAAAGGAATTTTATTCTTATGGCAAGTGTTACATTTATCCTGAAACTTAAATGTTAATACCAGCGAAACAGTATCTCATGTAGACTCAAAGAAAATGAATAATATACATGTTTACTAAATTCAGTTTGAAATCGGTATCACGTGTCTGACTCCATGTTGTAAGGTTAATGTACTACCTGTGTGCCAAATGGTATAAAAATCGGCGTGTTACATTAAGATGAGATCCGTTCTTAGACCAAGTTTGATTCAAGGAATAGCAATGCGACGATTCATCGCACAGTGTACGAAGGTTAATATCATGCATAAATATTTTTCATAATAATTGTATACATCGTTAATTTATTAAAAACTACAACTATATCGGTTTAACTGAAACATTAACGGAAGATTCTTAAAATAATATCTACTTAGAATTATCAGAATTAATAATTTATACACCTCGTTAGTCATATAAAATACCTAAATAACTGTTTCAAATCATTTATCGTAAACATTTTATGCGTTAGTTTATAGTAATTATTTGATTTATTCTCACACTCAATATTGCTTTCAATCGATGTTGTAGAAGTTTGTAAACTTATTTAATAACACAAGAGCAAATTGTTAATAAGTAAAGTAAAACATAATTAGTAGTTTACTTTTTAAAAATTATATGCATACCAATTGTTGTCAAAATAGTTAAAGAAAAGTATTGGGATCGATAAAGGAAAAAGACATTCAAAATATTTCTTACAGTTAGTACATTTTTGTAAAGATATATCGCGTCGAATGTAAAATAAAAATATTATCTTTATCGTTAATAACATATATATTATTTTTGTATATTCAATAACTATTTTACAAAATTTCGTAACTGTTTAATTAATTCTCAGTATTTTGAAAAAAATTCACATTATATAGTATAACTATACCCAGGTAAAAGGTGTGAATATACTACAGTTTGACTGAGAATATTCTGATGCAAATACGTGTACTGAATATAAAAAGGATAATCCTTAAAGTTGTCTAAAAGTACCTGAACATTGATCACAATCTTAGTTGTGGAACCTGGTAGATCATTGGTGTTTTCCTCGGTACCAACTATGAGAATATGCTGGTTCTCTCTCTCATAATCTAAACCGCGGAGAGTTTTTATCACTCCAGTCTTCGGTTCTATGCTGAACAGTTCGGTATCCCCTTGTCTGATCATGTATGTAATTTGCTTCTTTGTATCCGGATCATCGGCCTGGAAATAAGCGCATTTACTTGAAATTCCAGGGGGATGATCATCCGTTCAGAATTTACTAACTACGAAGATGTGACAGAAATTGACCATGCAAAGTGTAATCTCGTTTGCATTCTTTGTGTACCTTACCAATAAAGTTATCTAAATAACGAGTACTTATTACTAGAGAAGAATTGTAATAATTAGATTTAGTCAGAAACAATTTCTGTTTTCGATTTTTTTAAATTTATGTTAATCCAAGGCATGTTCCAATCAACATTGAACCGTTAAACATTTTCAATTATTATGAAACTTCATAATTGTTATTCAGTAGAGATATCTTTATTATTTTTGTTACATGACTACTATGTAGTAATTTTCAACATCTACAACAGAAACTTTTCGACGTAAGTCTCAACCTTACACATGGTGTAGCCGGAAGAATGATACAAGCGAGCAGAAAGTTATTCTACATGCAAAAACAAGTCGAACATGTAAAATAAAAGTTGTTCAAGTAGTACTTTATTTCAGTTTTAATTGGATTTGAAAATTTGCTAGACACATGGGCAATTGAATAAAACTTGCCTAACGTGTCCGTACATTACAATCCGTTTCTACTTATTGTCAGCACAAATATGTATACGCGTTTTGGTGGATGAATTTCTATATTCGATTTTCTCAAAATTTTGAGTTATTTGTGCATAAGGAATCATCTCTCGCTAGCTTATCACATTCTTCCGGGCGTACTCTGCGTAACTAATAATATCATAATTTCAGTTTTTCAAAATGAGCCAAATCTTTTTGGTTTTTAATCTTTATAGGACGGGAAGCTCATTTTTAGGCTCTAGAGAAGTCGTTATTTTTCGTAGTAGAATACCACAACAAAGATATAAAAGTTGTAACTCGAAAATATAAAAAGCCATGAAAAAACCTGCCCGTCCTTTAAAGGTTAATCTACTGTAGATACATTAAATTTTTCTATCTATAGAATTATTACTTTTTAATCCGGAATTGTATTATTTATGTATATTTATTGTACTTTTTAAATCCGACTTACCATCACTTGTGTAACAGTGTAATCTGGTATATTTTCCTTGACTCGGGCCTCATAGCTACTTTGACGGAAAATAGGAACTTCGTCTTCAACATCTATAACTTTCACCGTTACTGTGGCAGTAGCTAGGCGATAGTCTGGAGCACCATCTCTCGCGGTGACGACGAATTTATACTCCTATGGAAAAAAATGTAATGTTGATATCAATTTTACGATAGTCTTTGAGAAATTGATTTTGATAGTGGTTATAGGCGACACATTCCATTAAATTATATGAAAAAACATTAAATTTCTAAACAATAACATATATGTATAATCATATAAAATTAGTATAAAAGTAATAATCCGAATAATAATCAGTATACAACTCAACAGATAAATATTTATATTCATAATAGCAGAAATTTAAAGATATCTATTTTTTCAGAATTTCGTCCTAATAATAAAAATTTGGGCCGTCAATTTATTAACATTTATTTAGAAAGATGGTACACTTAAAATTCCGTACTATGGAAACTGTCCTTATTTTCGCAGGTGTAGCGCGCTTAAAAATGTTAGATGGTGAACATTCTACTGATTTCCAAAGAAATAATTTTAAAATACCTGTTGAAGAATTACGTGTAAAATATTTTAATACCCATTTAATCACCATCGATTATAATGAAACAGATATTAGTTACATCTGTGTCTACAATCGGAAATTTTAAATGAACTCCGACTTGACTGTAATTGGACGTATGGAATAATTTCGGCTGCCAGAATGTTACATATATTAAATGGGTCTTGATTGCATTCGTGCCTGTAATTTCAAGTTTTTAATAAAGATCACTCGTGGACGTAGTCAGGGAGGGAAGCTTGAAAGGAATTTCGATTTCGATACTTTTGTAATTAATTGTAATGAACAGTCTCATATGAATTACTTTCATCAAAAAATTAAAATACTATTTCGCTACCACAATGACCAAAATTAGAAATTTAATCGGAATACATCTTTCTCGTTTCCGTATGTAGTATTAATTTATCGTTTATTGCAAGTGCCTTAATTAAATTTAATATAGACAATTTTCAGTAATTCATGAATGTAAATGTACTCTTGGATGTAAAATAATGTATTGATATCAGAAAAAATAATATCATAATCTATCAGGCACACGTTGTGAAAATAATTACTCGACTGTGGAATTTTATGCTTGCATAACACAGGCAAATATGCAAACCCTATGTTAGGTACGCGAAAGATATATACAAGGCATATCATATACATATATATATAGCGACGAACGCTAACACCAATTAAACGTGGATACATGTGAGTACCCATGCAAATATACAAGGACATATACATGTATATACAAAATCCATCCATTTACGGGAAACATTAAAAATAAAATCTACATCATTAACATTCTCAACTGACGAAATGAATTTCTCTCTAAATTCCGTTTTCGCAACATTATTCTATAAAAATATTCATTCATCTGAACATCCACAGATCAATTATTACGATTCAAAATGTTAAAGAAATGAGTTTTCCAATTTTAATGTTATTTGGCCAGTGCAAAATGTCTGATGGAATTTCTTTGTAGATATTCTGATCATCACGGTGTTGGGGAAATAATAAATAATCATGTTAATATATTATGTGACGATATTAATGTAATACAATGAACTGTTTAGAACAAAAATTGGAATGAAGATAACAGATTGTAAATAAACATTTACGATCTGTTCGCAAATATTGTGTCCAATCCCGCTCTGTGGTAAATCGTAAATTCACTAATATAATTTAATCATATAAATTCAACGAATAATAATATTTCAGAAAAATTAATCATTAGAATAAAAATATCAAATGAAAATACATCCGTTACAAAAGAATCACTATGTATTTCATTAAATTATTATTATTAAACTATAATTCAAATTTATTATCAGTCTACTATTTCAGAACGAAACCCATCGAACCTTTTGCACAGACTCTACATAATAAAGAGCAAACACTCACGTCATTTTGCTCGTAGTCCAAAACAATTTTCGTCAGGATGTCTCCGGTATCGGGGTCGACCGTGAAAGGAATATCGTCAGGCGCGAAATACGTAATCTCGGCGTTAATTCCCTCATCGGCGTCCTCGGCGTGCACACGGCCAATTAATTTTCGTGCCTCCCCTTCTTTCACGGTGAACTCGTACGGCAGGTCCACGAATTCCGGATTTTTGTCGTTGATATCTGTTACCTTGATGTTTACCGTCGCGGTGCTGAACAGACTACCGGAATCCTCGGCTTTTATCAGCTGTCGGAAGAGATCGTTTTTCGAATAATACCGATTCCCGAGCAGCAATCAGGAAAACGAAGATTGCGTTTTCGTGTAAACTAGCGGAATGCAGAATTTTTACGAGGATATTTAAACGACTCGCTGACCAAAACTCACCAGCTGATAACGGGTCAGATCCTCTCTGTCTAACTTCCTTATAACAGTAATTACGCCCGATTTGTCACCGATCCCGAATTGCCGAAGATCGTTTCCAGAAACAATGGAGTATGATACTGGGTCGTTTTCTGGATCAACCGCCTGTAAAATAGTATTAACAATATTGATCTAGACAATATAGGAATTTTATAGAAAACACATGAATATATATTGTAATACAAGTCGACAGGAGAAACAGATTGACTTTCTTCATTTTCCAGAAAATTAGCTTTGACGAAGATACTCTCATTGTCAGTGACATTACATTCGGATTAGTATTCGATAGTAATATTTTATTTATAAGGGTTACATTTTAAATACTTTAGTCGTCCTTTTAAACGTCGTTTATATTTACTTTACTTCATTTCGAGATATTTAAGGTTCTGTATTTTATCCTATTTAAAAATATTGTTAACCACTAATAAGTTTACTTTATGCTTCTAATTGTAAGATTCAAAACGTGTTTACTTTTATTATACGACCATTTTTTATAAATATTTTCTAAATGGAACACTGCTTTGTTAACCGCAAATAGACTTGCACCATTTTCAACAATAATAAATTGTCAAGAGCGTGACTAATATTAAATTTTAATTTATATTTCAAGTGACGCAGAGTTTTCTGAAATGTAATTCTGTAATACAAATGATAATAATTACAATATAAACAATAAAGCTATATTATTGAATGTAAAAATATGTTAATTTGATTTACATTTTTGAGAATTTCATTATAATAAGTTTAATAAAATAATAGTCTGAAAAAATGAAAATACAATTGTAGAAATAAATAATATTAGATACTTGTATTTGTATGTTATTCGTTTTGCTTCGTAGAAACTATTAAACGAATTGAACATTGTTACAAATGGATTTATACCAGTTAAAAAAAGAACATTTATGCAATTCCATTTAATAGCCAAATTTCTTTAAACTAGTTCATGACAATATTAAATTGTATTGGCTTTATTATTATAAATATAAAAAGAAGACATTCATTTTTAAAAATTGGCTCATCTTAAAAAACACTGAATGAAAATTCCCAAGTTCTGGTCTGTTCTCTTCAAGTCTTCTAGTCGGTTTTTGTAAACTTTTGCCAATTTGCTATCTATGGAGCTGAATTATAGAGGTTAAGCAACAATATAAACACATATACATAAAATACTGTTATTTCTTTAAGGAATTTCTTGTTGTGTTTGACAAATATAAAGAGGGTTTTCCACTATAGAGCATTTCATATTTCCTTTAAGATATGAGATAATGTCTCTTTAACCTTTAGCGTATGAACGTCGACAAATAAGCGGTATAAGATTTGCCTCTGTAAGATGAAACGTCGCCGCTTATACGTATATGTGATGTTTCTCAATTCTATTGGAACTGACAGATTCCAAATTTTAGGTTATTGCACGTGAAATGACCGTTTTATTAGTAGCACTAATATTGTATTGTATACAAATTTGATTAGACAAAATAAGATTAAATAGACTTTATACACGTTTTTCATTCAAATACAAGTGATGGATTCATGAAACACAATTTATTACATAATCATTAGGTATATTAAATTTAAAAGTGGCGCTTCGAAGACAATTTTAGCTGCCACCTTTTCGCCGAATATTATCAACACTAAAGAAGGAGAATCTTTTAGCACAAACTTAGATCTTTATTACGTTTATTTATGAATTTGGTTTAAATGACCATCTGTTAATATACGTAAAGGAAACGGTCAAATTTAACTGAGATTATTTAGAACTTTAGTATTTAACATAATTGATTTTATTGCTTTGTGCGATAATACCTTGAAACAAGTAGAGTACACCATGGAATTTTGCGATACATAAAGAAGCAATGTTAATAATTTGCATTTATTTTCTTACACCAATTCTCATAAAAATTTATTTAATCAGATAAGTGTGCTGAAGTTAAAATTTGACAATACAGAGTGCTTGAATATACATGGTATCGTTCTAGATCCAGTACGTGAGCATTAATTGAAATCGATATACAATACAGTACGTACATATCTATGTACATTTGACACCTCCATGAATATTGCGTCAATTGCATGTAAAGTGGGACTGGGGAACTGAGAACAGTATCGATATTACAATACTGTTTTGAATTCCCTTTAGATTCATAATGGAATGCAACATTTTTATTCTTGCAACACCAACAGTTCTCGCCATCACGCAAGCGGTGACGTTTGTGGCTTATAATTAATTGGACTCGTAAAATTTTATATTATATAAACTTTTGAAATTGAGCTTCTATTATTAGACTATTTTTTAAAAAGAAAATACCGAAAATTAATTGTGATATTTATAATTGAAGTTTTGTTGTTGATATTTATAGTGTTTAAACAAATCCATGCATTGTTAAATAAGAGTTAATTGTTATCTCAAACTGAAAAAGGTGAATAATGAATAAACGGAGGATTTTATGCATTTCTAGCCTATACATAGAGCTGCGTAAAATAACCCAAAAGACAAAACGGTCACCAGATGCAACTAGTTTTCTATTTTATTTTGAATCCAATAAGATATTTAAGAAAGGGAAGAATTATAATGACTAGATTAAGAACACGACATTCAAAAATTATCTATTTAAAAAATTTAACATTTGTTACTGTCTACAATGCAAGAAAGTCATACGGATTAATCGTCTTCTGTATACATACATATATGCATAAAACACGAACCGTAAAGGAGAAAGTGCAACCTGATGCCAGAGACGACACTCACAGCCCAAGAACAAATTGCAAATACATTAAATTATATCAAAGAAATTTTACTCTACGACAAAATCTGACCCTAAAGTCGAAATACACCAGTTTATATCAACCGAACACATCCAGACTAAGAACACAACACATTCGTAGTGATCTAGCAGTCGATGGGACTTAAACTTACAAATAAACAAAAATTCCTACGTTCACACTTGCCTTTACGAATTACTTTATAAAATCTCATTTTACATAAAGATACATAAGTCTATTAATGAATTATGAAGTAATTTTATATTATTTAGAACCACATCACTTTATCCTACATTGTTAAATTTAATTACTTCAAACTGTCAATTAAAAACGCACATTGTATTTGAATTTTGTGGAATTTAAATATCGTTAATATCCAAATTTGTGAATGCTCACCGTAATTGTTGCGACCGTCGAATTAATCGAAGCACCCTCGCTGACCTGCACTTCGTACACCGATTGTTGAAATATAGGACTTCTGGTGTTTGGACCGGGGATCACGTTCACTTCCACGATCGTTTGCGAATATTTTCCACCCTTGTCGGTCGCCTGCACCGTAATACTGTACTGTTCGCCCGCGTTCAATTTTCTCATGGACTCGATCACCCCAGTTTTCGGATCGATTTTAAATTTATGCAGACCGTTGTTCGACACATGGTAAATACTGTATGTTATTTCAGCGTTCTCTCCATCATCGTTGTCCGTTGCTTCAACCTGACGTGTACAAATTAGTGTATGTTAATATACTTTGTTCATAAAGCGAAAATCCTCAAAAAGTAATTTTCTTTATTTTTGATAAAAAAAATATTGGATAAAGTATTCACATTATTAAGTGACGTAATTGCATTATCTTTTGGAACGTGTATATTGTATAGTACCGATAACCATTGATTAGTAGATGATAAAGAACAAATAATGATTTATTAATAAAGCAAACAAATTATGATTTAGTTAAGCTGTAAATGTTTATGCGATCTCACATATTCTTGTATTTCTAGATTTGATTTCTTGTATTGACTTAAATATAAAACGAAACTATTATAAAAGTTGATTAAAAATTACATTTGTAGTCTAATCAAATTTATTCTTATTATTACTATTTTCTAATGACAGATACATATCGTTTATGGTGGAACAAAATGCTTGCCGTTGTTGATTTTCTCGAATTTTTTTCATAGTAAACTATTAAAGGCTTGAGTTTGAAAGTTAACATAAAGTAATTAGAGTAAAAATAGAAAAACGATGAGTGTTAGGCAATATGAAATGTTGCTCGAAAGTTTTAAAGACAATGTATCGTGACATCTTTATTCGACGATTTACACAAATAAACTAGTGAGAAGTTCGCAACTACGTTAGATCACGAAATTCTTCTACAAAAACTTAAAAGTTTCAAAATGGAACGCTTCTTATCGGTTTCCCCGGAATTTATTTCGACGTGGTCCTCTCTTTTAAGGTTAAACTATTCCCAACTACTCTCATAAATATCGCCGGAATTTCCTACAGCACTTGAGCGGCAATTGTAGCGAAACATGAAGATTTAGTCAGGCGTTCTCAAATCTTAAGCATTAAATGTAAAATTAAAAATAGGAAATAATTTAATCGTGTCAAGAGTCACTAAGCAAGGGAAGTAAAGATATATATTAGATCGTAATACATGAAACGTCTGTTTGAACGCTTTAGATTCTTCATCTAAATTGTATCAAGAAATAATATCGTTTTGCCTGCTGTATGTATGGTTCACGTAAAATTGAGTGGTGATTTATGCTCTTTTGTTTTGTATATTTTTTTATCTGAAATAATGTTGGAAGTTTTCAGTATTTTCTTTATAACGATACATACAATGAATACGTGTGAAATTCAAGTCATTTTCCCTTGTGAGCTTAAATTCAATCAGTCTGCGTCGTAAATCTACACATAATATGAACTCATTAAGTCTCAAGCGGTGAAATAATACGTTTTTTACACATATAAATGTTTATGGCTTATAAAAATGTGCAAGAAGAAAGAAATTGTTTATAACGATACTTTTTGTGTAAGAAAATGTTGCGTTTGTGCAACATTTAAATATTTTTAATTGGAAAACGTAAATACATAACTTATATATTATTTTTCCGAAATATAAAAAATGTATTATAATACTAGACACCATATTATATGTAGAAGCCCACTATATGAGAAAGATACACCAACAAAATTTCCATGATTTAAGAAAAAATTGGTTTATCATAGTGCTATAAACACGTCAATATCGTCAAATTTCAAAACGTCGTAGGATCTAAGTGAAAGAAGAAACACGGACAAAAAAAATATTAAGTGAATCTTTAAAATCCTCTTTTATAACTGCAACATGAAAAAACAATAATGTAAATTCACTGAAAAAAAAATTACAAGTGAAATGTTGCGTTAATGTAACGTTGAATCCTAATGGGTTAATATATCTTTTAGGATGGGTAGTTTTAAATAGCTTATCATTCGTCGTTGGTTTTCTAAATTTTCATCCCGCGATATCAACTTTAAAAATGAAGAGTAGGGTAGACATGTACGTACGATGACAGATGAAGATTTGAAAGTCTTGATGAAGCGTATCCATGCAACTTGCAGAATTTGTTGTTCAAACTGATACAAATGCTATGACAGTATTAAAACATTCAAGGAAAATCGGTAAAGTGAAGAAACTCCAAACGTGGGTTCCTCACGAACTGAAGGGAATATTTCATATGTTTACGAAGGTTTCATATATGGACGTTTTCATATGTTACGACCTCCTCAATTTGATTCGTGGGCGAGAGAAATGACGATGTCCATATTGTAGCCAGTTATAATCCCGCTGTGATATAACGCTGGTGTTTTTCTACTTTTGACATTAATGACAAGGAACTAATTACAGTCAACTTACCTTCGTGACCAACTGTTTTGTTTCTCCAGCTTGAACAGTGATGGGAGCCGTCATAGGAAGCATAGGGGCATTGTCATTAACGTCGTTCAACGTTACCACGAACGATAATGGCGCGGAAGCGGCGACACCCGTTTTTTCTCTGGCAACCACCTGAAACCGGAAACGACCGGGACTCGGAGGATCTCGGTCTAAATTCTCCTCGTTTACGACCAGTATTCCGGAAGGATCGATTGCGAAAAAGTTGGTCGTTAACTCGAACGTGTATGTAGGCTTCGGATCTTCGGGACTCTGAACATTATTATTAATAACTCATTAGCATTGTATTGTTTTTTTTTTTTTAATAATTAGAAGTACTTCGTAATTGTAATTGAAGATATCTTTATAGATGTTAAATTCGTGAATAATAACACTAGAACTACCAAAGCAGTCAAAATGACTGGTTTGTAAAGTCTTATAAAAATTATTAAAATGTCATAGCAATGTATTTTCTGAGATTCTTCGGAACTTTTATTGTAATATGTAAGTGCAGAGTTTTTTCAAATTTGTCGATTTACATATATTCAACAAGCTTTCCCTTTTACCAACGTGACAAAAACAAACATACGCGCCTTCTTCGGTAGTTCTAGCGTTGATATGGTTCAATTTTATATATATATATAAGTTTGGATAGTTTTGCACAGGATATATAAATGAGTCAACGTGCATAATTAGATTTTATACGTTGCTGTCTTAATTTGACTTGGAATGGAGAAAGATATAAAAGTTAGATAGTAAACTATTTCAGACCTATGTTTAACACATTCATTGTTGCGTCGGTCACAGGTGACCGTCATGTAATACAAATTCAAATGTCAAAGAATACAATCGGCGTGAATGCAAAATAAACCGAAATAGGCCCCGCGATGAATGTACTAATTTTAAAATACATAGAATATATACAAATGAACATATTAAAAGTATTAATATTAAAAAATTTATGGAATACGGAATTGATCATTTTGGCTTCCGAGAAATTCAAATAAGGATTTCAACTGGCACAATGTTTGTAGACGCATATTTCCTTCTTCTGAATACAAAACACGAATAATGAATATTGATGTCAAAAAATGGATGTGTTGGTACTTATGGTCTACGAGAATTGGTACACGAATACCCGACCACGAGTATTCGTAGGAATTGGCGTATATCTGTTAACGAAAGCACGGATCCGGCGTTATAAAATTGAAAGTAGTATCTCGAATCTATAAACAAGGTGTACAACCCAACAGGGGATGATTTCACGTGAAAAAATATGAATATATATTATTTTTTTAAAGGGAATAATATATTTTGATATAACATTTTTTCGTGCGAGGCTTCATCTTCGAGACAATTGAATTTGTAGATTGGTCAGATACGCGTACGATTGAGTACGACTTGGCTATCGTGTCATTCCGTTACTGATTATTTCTGTCTGTTTATAAACATTGACAGTGATGTGGTTCAAATAATACAACAGGTTTTTTCAGATAATTCGGTTACTTTATTGTGTTACAAGTATTGTTTTCATTGATTGAGCAGAACTTTGTATACAATAACGGGGGCTGGACATTTCGAACAATACTTGTAACACGTTAAAAATACTGCAAAAACCTGTTGTATTATTTTAACTATATCATTGTCACTGTTTATGAACACTAACACAAACAGAATGAATGAGTAACGATCAGTAATGGCAGGGTAGCCAAATCGTACTTAATCCTACGTGTATCTGATTAATCCTCAAATTTGATTTCCTCGAAAACGAAGCCTGGGACGAAAATATTTTATACCATATTTTGTTCTGATTTTTTTTCATGTAGAATGACTTCCTTGCTGGTTGTACTGCGATTGCCGATCCACCCTGTGTATCTAGACTTTTTCTATTATCGAATTGTGAACCTCTATTTTGATTTTGATTTTTCCAATGACGTTGATCGTGCTTCCATCACCGGTCAATATTTTCATGTCACATCAAAATATGATACGCGTTGTATGGATGACAGGCAAACATCGCGTGTGCGATTGGAACTGCTGGAAAACATAGAACACTACGAAAATTCGCGTTGGAGGGAAATTATTTCCAGTTTGTTACGCGACTGCTCGCCATGCGCATCTTTACTTCGTATACGATATCAAGATGATGTTTTCTGTTTTAGTAATACCGTATGGTCGAATATTTTTCATTTCATATGGAAATATTGGGTTAGCCAAAAGCAATGTCGGATTTCTGAACTAGATGATACTCTTTTTATTTCAATAGAAAGCACTGCTCCTAATTAACAAAACATATCCCTACATATTCTTAAAGCAGACACTTCAACGCGATGTTTAAAAAAATTCATTACAATTTGGGTAAATTTTCTTGAATTAACCTTGCTTTGAAAGTGACGAAAATGTAAACTTTTTAGCCATTATGTTTCTTTTATTTCCGTTCGTTAATTACGCTACCACCGAGTACGTAGGAAAATTTTTTCTTGTTTGTGCCGCGTTTTCCTAGTTCCGGAAATAAAAAACCATAATTGCTCCAGAGTACACCTTCTCGTCGCTCAGTTTCAAAGTGAGGTCAATTCAACAAAATTTAATCAAATCGTAATGATTTTTTTGAACCACGAGTTGAAGTGTCAGATTTCAGAATGTTATATGTTTTATTCGTTAGGAGCAATAGTTTGTACAGAAAAACAAAAAGAAGCATCATCTACAGAAGAAATCTGACATTACTATTTTGCCAAACTAATATATATCACAATTCATACTGTTGGCTTTTGAATAAAATCTCAAACGTACGTTTAGTGACACAATTTTGTCTTCCCTAAATTTTATATGGTAGTAATTCAGGTAAGCGTTACTTTCAAAGAAAAATTAACGCCCTACCTAAGTTTTTATTATTACAGGAACATTGTATATCAGCACTGTCTCTGACTTTATTAGAATATGCTTGCTAACTCTTACAAAAGCCTCATCTTCGTGTCGCCGATTTTAACAAAACTTTTAGTACATGTTGTAGGATTCTTTCCCTTTACAAATTCCCGTCGTACAGGGGCAGATACTAGAAAGTTTTTGAATTATTTGCTTTTGAAGTTTTTCACGTAACGTAAATGCAAGTTGTGCTGCCCGATTATTCGCAGGTGCTGTAGCGTGACGGCAACGTTCATGGTATCTACCGGGACGGTCTGTGTTCATATACAGGGTGTAACAAAAATGTTGTCCGACCCGGAAATAGGGCACTCGGAGGGTGAATTGGAACAAGTTTTTCCTTAGCAACAATCTAATCTGAAGCTTCGTTACCGAGATATTAACGAAAAACCCCGACCAATCAGAGTGCGAGTTAGCCAGAGGAGTTCTCGCGCTGCGATTTGTAGCCAACGCTACCGTGGGAACTCGGCTGGCAAACTCGCGCTCTGATTGGTCGGGGT